CTGCCTCTCCATTATTAAAAGTATGATCATTGCTTTCCTCGCTTTTTTTTTTTCATTCTACAGTTACCACTTCCTTTCGGTTCAGATTCTTAATGGTAATGCTTAAAAAGCATTTCATGAACCTTTTCCTTATAACTATATATGAACTATCTGTGTATCTTCCAACTATCTGCGTCCGTCCTAAAGGACAGATTTTTTAATGTGGAAAGCTTGAATAATGGGATACAGATGTTGCATTTTCTCCTCTTGTCGGATGGTTTTCGAGAAGGACTCGTTTAAAATGCCTCTAGAGCAGGGACTTCCAACCTTTCTCTTACACTGATCTCGTTTTAAAAGAAATGTTTCCTTCATCAACTGTTTGTACACTTTTCTCTGTAATGTAGATCATAGAACGTAATAAAAACACACGTAATACAATAACCAGAATAAAATAGTACAATAGAACATAATACGTAATACAATAAAGCACAGTATGTGATACAGTACACTGACTACCAATAAGTATTTGGACACCTATGCAAATGACGATACCCAAGGTACGCCACGGACTTCGCCGGTATATATCGTGCAGGAAACAGCATCGGCTTTAGTCGCATGCGAGATGCCTCGCAGTTCGGAGCTCTCTGATTTCGAGAAAGGTAATTATCGGGTATCACAAATGTGGCCGATCCTTAAGGGACATATCTAGCGAACCGAAGTACCTAATATCGACAGTGGCCTATGTGATTAAGAAGTGGAAGGTGAGCGGTGATTGTCGGAATGTGCCCCGAGTCGGCAAACGAACGAAACTGGGGGATAGAGACCGACGAGTGCTGTCCAGAGAAATTCGGAAGAACCGCACCCAACCGATAGCCCTCAGTTTCAACAGGCATCCGGGAGTATTGTTTCAAAGAATACCATCCGTAAGGAAGCACATCTGCTTGGTTTTCATGGTCGTGCTGCTGCCCATAAGCCTTTGCTCAAAAGTCCAACCGCACTGCTCGGTTAATGTGGTGGAAAGCACATCGAAATTGGACCGTAGATCAGTGGAAACGGGTTCTTTGGAGTGACGAATCAAGGTTCACCCTTTACCGTTCGGATGGCAGGCAGTTCTTTGTGGCAGAATCTGGGTCTGGCGTCTACCTGGAGAACGTCTCCTGCCAAAATGCATTGTGCCAACAGTCAAGTTCGGCGGAGGTGGAATTATGATCTGGGGGTGTTTCTCCTGGTATGGGCTGGGACCCTTGGTCTCCATTCATGGTAAGCTCAACTCCGATGCCTACTGCACTATTTTGGATGACAATGTGCTTCCTAAGTTGTGGCAGTTTTACAGGTTTGACCCCTGTTACTTTCAGGACAACAATGCCAGTTGTCATGTTTCGACGTTAACCAAGGCTTGGTATGGTGCCAATGGAGTTCATCGAATGGACTGGCCTGCCCAGAGTCCAGACCTGAACCCTATCGAGAACCTCTGGGACGAGTTGCATCGCCGAATTCAGGGGTGCACTACTCTTGCAAAATCGGTGAAGGAACTTCTATGTCTTCTCCAAGCCGAGTGGAAGGAATACTACTAGCTGTCATACAAAGACTTGTGGAAAGTATGCCCCGGAGGGTCCACGTTGTAATTACCTCTCGTGGAGGATCTACTAACTATTGATTTTGAATAAAGTTAGTTTTTCTTTTCTATCACAGTTGTCCAAATACTTATTGGTAGTCAGTGTAGAACATAATGCGGGACAATCATAATATAAATAACTACAAATAAATGACTGAAAATTAACAGTTAGACTAAGAATATGAAGAAATAGCTTAAAAAAAGGATTTTTAGGTCTTTTAGGCTTATTATTATTTTTTGTTACTACTATTACTGCTTTTATAATGTAAGCAAGTTTTAGAAACAAAATCAAAGCTCCTAATTGCATAAACGTTCGATTACAATTAACGTGATGGCTGCGCTTCATGTCTTAATGTAATTTTTTAAATGTTTTGCATTTAATTGCTTATTTTAATTCTTAAAGTACTTCGTTGAAAAGTATTCAATTGTTTTCCGTAGTAAATTATCAACTCGACTAAAACCCGCTTCCATTGAGTACGAAGAGAGAAAACTCAATAATGTTGGTTGGGTAACAACTTTTGAGATATTTCTCTCGAATGAGTCTTAAAATTCCAAAAGTTAGCTTACCCATGCGTTTTGAATAACATATGACTTTGTAAGATTAGCTTTATATGAATACACAGTTATTAGTTTCATTAACAACTTCTTGTAATCAATGAAATCTGAATAATGCTAATTAATTGCTACTGCATATTTGGCTGTCGACCCCTAGTTTATACCTTGATCATCATTGACCCCTATAAAATTTTATTGATCCCCAAGGGGTTAATATGACCTCTTTGGGAAGCCCTACTGTAGAGGATTGATTTTGATATCTTTTAGATAAGAAAATTCTACTCCTATAAAGGAAATTTGAAAACACTGCTCCTAGGTACAGGTACGCCGGGGTAGGAAAACTTCATTCAAACCCATTTTATATAACTCTTACATACCTGAATGATAAAGCACGGTCACCAATACGTTAAATTAATGAAATGAGAAAAGTTTTGATAGGTACAAGAAGGATTTTCTGGCACTCAAGAATCAGTCTTTTGAAAATCTAAGTTTAATAAGCGGCGGAGAAGAGTTTAATAAAAGGCGGTTTTCTATTGATTTGTATGATATTGTTTTGGTTTTTCGAAACTTAAAAGCGTAATAAGCAGCGTAAACATAATAAGCGATGAATACTGCATATATATCCTTCGCTCCAGAGATTACAAAACTAAACTGTTAAGAAGCTTATGCTTTTGCATTCTTTTTCTAGTAGTTTAATGTAAGTTTGAATCCATTAAAATCGACGAAAGTAAATTAAGTTGATTGCGGGTAATTTGGTACAAATATATCGCGAATGAAAGGCAATTCTTGTTAAGATCTGTGGTGTGAAAATGCGTGGAAGCAAAAATCTCTCAAATGGATTGGGCAGGTTATTCATCATAATTGAACACGATTGGAGGTATGTGGGATGCCTTGGCTGCTGAATTGCTAAGTGCCAAATGCCTGCCTGATTCCTTCAGGATCTCAAAGGTGCACTTTTAGAAGGCTGCGCAATATTTTGGGAAACATGTTAAACAGTTTTGTAAATTCTATGAAACTAAAATGTGAAATTTGAATTTCTGCTAGAGAAAGCCTATTACAGAAAGCTTTGCTACAAAGTAAGGAAGATAATTTTTCTATCATTTTGAAATTTCCATGCACAGGATTTAAAATTGAATATTTTGAGATTAATCAATCGAAGGCTTTCCCTTCTGGGTATCTTTCGAGGCTAGAGAAAGGAATGAGGACACCATTTTGGGACAGTTGAAGAGTGGTGTTGCCAGGAAAGCTAGGAGTAGAAATGTGTTATCTACTGGACTGTTAAAACAAGGGTAAGTAACAATCTGAAAATTTGCCCTTGTTCGACTTTTCCAATGTCTTCAAGGTATAAAAAGAAAAAGGAAGCGATTTTCGCGCTTGGATGATTCCTTTTGGACGTCCTTGCTAAGACCCCAATCCTTTCTACTGGAGAAGACGCGACACCTAGGGATTTGTCTGAAATTAAAGGGCTAGATTTCTCGACAGAGAGGAGTTAGTCAAAGCTGAGAAGCTGAAGCAACAAGGAGTTTATCTTATGGTGCAAGAGGAAAGGAAGAAAAGACCATGGATCGAGGTGGCTATTTTAGATGGCCCGACGAAAGAAACCGAGACTCTAGTTTCCAAGGAGATTTGGGTATAATAATTTATTCTCGATTTCTTCAGATGAGATGGCTGAGTTTTCGCGTTTTTCAATGTAGACCATTTTGGCAGAGTTTGGCCATGGGGGAAGATTACCAAATGAAACCTCAAATGTTTGATTAATCTGTAATTGGAAAAAAGTTAATTCTCAACCCGGTTTTAACCGGTTGTGTCAGTTTTGGCATTTATTAAGAAATGGAGAAATTATATTTTTCTATGCACAAATGATTCTTTGATTTAGAATTAGGAAAAGGTAAATTATCTACCTGGTGTAAACCGGTTGTTTCAGTTTTGAAAATTATGAAAAATAGAAAGATTTTTTATTTTAGTACAAATGTTTTATTAGTTTGTAGTTTGGAAAAGCTGGTTCACCTGGTGTTAAACGAACTTTCAAAATTTTCTTTATTGTAAGAAAGTAAATGTGAAACGCTTTTCAATTAAACTGTTGGATTGTTTGAAACTAAATTTATTTTAATTTCACCCTTACATCTCATGTGATTAACTAAGTCTTGTCCGTTTAAGAAGTATGAATGAATTTTCTAAGCAACATCTGTAATATCTCCTTTAAGAAATTATGTTGAATCTATGGTATACTGAAATTTAATAATTCTTATAAATTGGAGTAAAACTGGAGTGGCCGCTTCCTAATATACTTTTTATGTCAATATTGTTCCTTTTAATGTATACCAGATCTGCCACCTGTGAACCTTCGCCTAGGTGTGGTACTGTAATATTAAACACTAGATTAAAGAAATGTGATTCTTTGTAAAACAAAACCAGCTTGTTAGTTTAGAAGTTTTGTTCACATATATATTTCCATGGACCGCTAACTAGGCTCTCACATTAAATTTTATACAACGCAATTTTGTTAAATTATTCTTGTTTAGATTTGAACACCTAGATATAGTTAGCTTTTGCTCACTTGTTTTAGTGATGCATGAATTTATTTCTCATTTCTGTATATTGTACGCTTATGCACATCACTTTTACTGAAGTAGGTAATATCTTTACTGAGTGTCAATAATTCACGCTTTAATAAGAGGTACCATTCGGGTTTAATACTATTCGACTTTCTACGCATGCATTCTGTCAACCACAGATGTGACTAACGAGGTATGTCACTCAAAGTGATTCCTCTGTTTGTCAGATAAATGAATAGATTCCATAAATATACGCTCTTCTAATAGATTACTGTTCATTTATAACATTCTGAAATTTCATTTGAAGTTATAATATTGAGAAGTGTTAGAGACAGCAAGTTGAGAATGAATTTCCTGATGAACGTATATTGCTGGGTTTCGTTTTTCTCGTGTAAGTAAAAAAGCGTTCTTGTATTTATTTGAAATTATAGATTTACAGTAACACAGATTTTTAGTGGATTTATCTGCAATTAGGTTAACAGTAGAAATATTCAAGGTATCGATCGCTGTTTCCTCGCCTGTCCAGTTCCTACATCTCTCTTTTCAGTACCTATGTATCTTAGTCCTAGTCTGTTATAGTATATTGCAAATCTATATTGAAACTGACAGATAGATAATGAGCTAGCTTCTCAGTTTCTTTATTAATTATTCATTGTTTTTATATTCATATTTGTTCTTAGATTTAAAGCATGAGAATAACGAATTCAATATAATCATCAGAAATTATTTTGGACTTTTTTTTATCGCAAGATAACGTTTAAAATAAAATAGCAAAAAGCTATCTATAGTTTTATGTGTTTTTATTTAAACTGTCAGTTTTATCTGAGTAAATTATATTAATCATAATGCAAATAAAATGAAACAAATATGTATTAAGCTAAAAAATTTTCATCTTATGTTGACTTTTGTATAGAAATGTCTATGCAGTTTCAAAGAGGTTAACATGTCTCTTTCTTTAAAAGACATTGTTAAAGACTTTTTCATCCTACCAAAATGTATATAAAAAGGTTTTTATCTATGTGAAATGAAATATAATTTCTTGATTAATTAACCCCATTTATATCCTACACACACACACACACACATATATATAATTTATTTACTAAACAAATACTGATTATATTATCAATTTTAGATCATTCAACATTATATATATATATATAGATAGATAGATGCATAACGTGCATGCATACACACATACGTGTATGTAAGCAATGAAAAGAAATGAACTTTTTGATAAAAAAATCTGTATTTTTATTTATGTAAAACGATATTTTATTTCTAACATTTTTATAATTAATAATTTTTCGAAAAAAATTTACTATTTTTCTTAATCTTTTGCTTTTTGTCACATTGTTATTAGTTTCTAAGAAAGACTTCTGTATATAGTGCTTAACAATATTTCTAAGAAGCGAATTAATATTCTTTCTATTTAATAAAAAAGTAATTTCAGTATCTGTCCAAAATTTACAAGCATTCTCTTTAATATTGCCTTTTGCAATACGTAAATAAAAAAGCATCGAATTCAGAGATTTTATTAATTTCAATTGTACTTTCATAGTAGTACTCATTCATATGCTCCTGATTAGGATAATTTTGATACAGCTTTAGTCGGAATACCGTAATTTCTTTAGTTTGATACTTTAATGAATTTGACTTAAAATAAGTTTAAATGTTTGCAAACGAGCAGCTAAAGATATTTATAAGTTTTAGAGGAACGGTAAATATCGCTTCCCTGATTCCTTATTTGATTCATAGAAAACTTTCTTCGGATAGTCTACATTCGTCTTAATCATGTGTTCTATCGGTATTTGTGTTAAACACATGTTACATTACCTGCTTTCGAAAAGGAATATTATATAAATGATAATGAAGACTTATTTACTTCTGGCTATTGTTAACTAAAATAGCTTTTGATAGTACATTTTACAGTGATACATCAATTATTCGTCCGTCACGAGACTATCACAGTCAAAGAAGTGAGAATATACTGGAAATAAAAACTCTTTTTCTACTGTCGGCCATTACAAGGTATGGCAATCGATAACATTGAACCATTTTCATCGTATATTTTCCGTTGACCGGTACAGATAAAATCCCTATTTGAATATTAAATTATCCCATTTTACATCTTTAACAATATGTATAATATTAGTAAACATTAATATATATGTATTTACAATAAAATAGAGTCTTTATCCATAAGCCTTCCAAAAAGTCTTTTTTCCCAATCCACCCAAAACGTATTTATCCAGTACCACGACAAATATCAAACGTTTTTGATTTTGAAGGTGTAGCGTTATGTTATATCTGAAAGCTAATTTAAATATCCTGAATACCGCACCATAATGGGAAGCGAATTATCGATTAAGCAAATGACCAAGTCATAAAAAGGCTAAAATAACTTTTTTATTTAACTCTTAAATGAACAGAAAAGTCCTATTTGTGCTACATAATAATTTCTATTAATTGCGGGTACATAAATTAGCATAAGATAAAGTTAAATTCAATTGAAGACAACGTAGTCTGTGACTAAAACACGCAAAACACACAAATGGACTGCTTAAACTGGATCAAGAAAATTAATAGGGCATATTTTAAACGTCCTTTAGCAAGATGCTGAAACCGGGATAACTTCGGTAGAGCTGCGGATTAGCAACGGTAACCACTATACCCCGGTTGGGCGGCAGCACTATTTGCGCTACCGATTAACTTTCGTCAATTGCGAGTATAGAAATTAACATTTAAAGTTAAATTGAATTATATCTTCAGCTTAGCTCGTCTTGGAAGTAATCGTGTTCGCGATTCCTTTTCCTCCAATAAAGTTTAAAATCATTCTTGGCATTCGGCAAAGTTTTTTAAAATTGTATATAAAACCGATACTATAAAGAATATCGCGAAGTAGACTTTTAAATAGACCTTATTTGCGAGACTCGTGACAAAAGATAACCGATGCGCATCACGCCAGTGTTGCCAAATATTAGGGTAGGTTATGTTAATATAGCTTTGAAAAATCCCTAAAGTACATAAAAAATTGCTATGTTCCTTTTCTGCTACTGTCTCAATTAAGCTAAAAGTTGTCCCAACTGAGCGTTTAAATAATGTACAAGTTTATAAGTTTAGTGTCACAACATTAAATATTGCATTAATATTGCGTAAAGAATACCGTATTGCTTAGGGAGAACGTTGAAGAACTTGCAGACAAAACGAAGGCAACTGTGGATAAATTGAGAGAGCAAAGATCAGAGTGCTGCCATCAATGTATCATCGAAAATAGCTGGCCTAATTTTAAGTTAAAGTTATGCTTTGTATGTGAAACGAATTGTTAAAGAGCATGACGAGGCAGATAATAACAGCTATTTTTTCTACATAAAATCTATAACAGAGTGTCGAAAAGTATCAGCAGATTTTTAGGGGGTAAAATGGCATACTTTTTAAATTTATAAGTTGAATACTGTATGGCATTACAGCATCTTCAGCTATGTTCTGAAGACCATATAAGAGTTATCTTTGGAAAAGTTTAAAAGTGGAACGTAACCTTTAATCACGTACCGTTCTCGACTCTGTTTCATTTCATGGTATTTCGGAGGGGAATATTTTTTCGTAGTAGTATGAGAGTAATGCATTCTTCAATCTAGAACCGCTTTGAAAATTTCAAGAAAATGAGAATCTAGGAAGTCTTCCCCACACACCTAGAAAATCCGGACCTAACACCATGAGCGCAGCTTCAGTGTTGCTCCTAGTTTTAGATTAAAAACTATATACATGTTCCTTCACATTACACTGCATGGTGTGACCCCTCCGTGTTTGGCAGGAAGGGAGACTGCCAGCATGAGCCACGCTGAGAGAATATTAATACGAATTTTGTACTTATATCGATAATTTTAGTGAAATTGTTGTAGTTTTCTGTATAATGTAACATGAAATGCTTGAAAGAAACGATGCTCTAGCGGGAGAGTAAGAATACACGGGCAACATTAAGTAAATGACTATCTCACTAAATTAGAGAGACATCGCCAAGCTAGAGATGATATTGGCAATTAATTGTTGTAGCGAAATTTGGCTAGAAATCGCCAAAAGTTACCAGACTTGGCCACCATTTGGCGAGATTTTGGCTCGATCCTTGTATAATTGCCACGGGCATTGAAAATGAATAACTGTAATCGATCTTCTATGCAACTGTAACCGTATCCGGCTCTCATATGTCTTCTAATAATTTCGTGAAGTAGTAGAAATTTCTCGGTGGCCGGGGGAAAACTGTATAAGACTGGTAAGAGCATTAGTTTCTCAGTTGTTATTTGTTAGTTCAGCGTGAGTTCGGAGTACTCAGATACCACCGGGTTTATGCTTTGAGATGGATAAAGGATAACTTATTTATACATTATAAAATATCAATTTATAGTGATTGTCTGTCTGGTCTCCAGGCCTTAAAAATTACGAATGTAAAAACTCATTAATTGTTGATATTAAATGTCTCTATGGGGAAATCACCAAAATTCATGTTGTGAAATTTAAATGGGTTAAGTCCCATGTTGGGATTTTGGGTAACGAAAGGGCCGATGTGTTGGCCAAGGAGGCAGTTTTGGGCGAATTCGGGGAGTGTTCCATTGTCCAACCATCCAGAAGAATTCTTGTAAATAAAATAAAACAATTTATATTGATATGTGGAAAAAGGATTGGAATGAGTCCCTGATAGAAAAAAGGATTACAGTTATAATTTGATCCCTACATATAATAAAATGTATTTCATGCAGCCTGGATCTTAATCAAAAATTATCACAGAACATGGACGCTTCCCGGAGTACCTAAAGAGATTCGGTCTACAAGAAAATGAGTTATGTTATAATTGTGGAGTTACGGGTTCAGTTAAAACATTTTGTAAATGAATGTGATTTAACTTATGATATAAGAAAAAAGTTTGGACATATTAATACATTTATTGCAAAAAACACTGAATTTGAATTTGCTAGGGAATTAATGAATTTTATTAATAATAATCGTGTTAATGTCGGAATTTTGATTTAACATGTGTTTAGTGTTTTCATGATAGACCATGGTCTGTGTCTTGTGTTTTGTCCTTTTGTTTAGTTAGTTTGTAACCATTGATTCTATTTATTTTAATAATTATTGTGCCGTTAAGGTCCATTAGGTTATATACTAATGGGCGTATTTTATTATGTGGTTTTTAACTTGGCGCCCCCTGGAAAAGTCATAAAATCAAATCGATTAGGTGGATGGGGGGCTGCGCCTCTTTCTGTACCTCCGGGTTAGTTTCGCTCTTTAGATGCGCTTTGCATTGTCTTGTGTTTAACTTTCTTAGTAGTTTGAAGAATAACTGCTGATTGTACTCTGAGATACCGTGAAGAGTTATACGATTATTCTTGCGGAAAGTTCCAGAACTGTGAAGTGTGGTTTTGGTAAAATTAATTCTATCAAGCTATCATCAATTCTGTATGCATTCAATCTGCTAACAACATGTACGCACACAAGAATACGTATCATGTACTTGCTGAAGTCCCGCGCCCCTCCACTTTCTATCTACTGTAATAAGTAAAAAATACAATATCATATTTTATAGAAATTACAAAATAAAGTAAAAAAAAATACACTGTATTTAATATTTATCGCATTGTTTATATAAGGTCTTTTCGAGCTTATTTTAAGCATTTTTATTTCATTTAGTTGTAAGCGCGTTAAGGAAATAAAACAAGAATAATATTTATTTCTGTTTTTTGTTTTTGTCAGTAAAATACAGGTGGTATAGCAAAAAAACAGACCTTCATTATTGACATGAGTATTTTATTATTCTTTACAATGATGTCCAACTGAGACTGATTGATAATGAAAGCTCTACTCTGTTGTTATTATTATCATGACGCATATATATATACATATATATAGAGAGAGGTTATCTTTTAATAAGTATGTGAAATGGTTTCTTCCAGGTATCTGCATAGCAGCTAATACTGATGTTCTAGAATCGCCTCGAGTAACCAATGACTGTTCCAGATGCCATGATGCAGGTGATATTCTGATTTTCACAACTTTGTTTTTCTTAAAAGTGAATCTAAAAGAGTTTTGTGTTTTACCAATAGAAACTATTGCATTTGTTATATTTAGAAATACTATGATATAAATAGAAGATTTCAAAATGATTGCTATGTAATGAACTACTTTGCTATGTAACTTCCACCTTATTTACACCTTATTGCCATTCTTATTTACCGAAGATCCCCATTTTGTTTACATAAATCATCGTTACCATTTCTCCCAAACAATTATTGTTATACTCTTCTACACATACATTAGCAGATAATCAGAGTAACAATGTTTTGCTCCGTATCCCCGTGTAATTTCATTATAAATATCACATTCTATGGCTAATAAAATTACCTATACCTTAATTTTGGATAAAGAATTTGATAGTCCTCAGAAATTGAAACTTACTAAAGAAAAAAACATAGGACAGAATTTGAGCTGCATAGTTTTCAGTGAATGTTCTGCTTATATTTCTAATTTAAATTACATAATATAAAGAAACGCAAACTAAAATATTTAATTTAAGACAGAACCACTTTCAAGGAGATGATTAAATACGTCAGCAGTTTGGCTATATTTTAGTAGAATTATAGCTGATAATTTATTTGAAATGATACATAATACTGATTGTAGAAGATATTAAGTGTTACAGAAAAGTACCCCTTTTAAAGAATTATACAAGTTTTCACACTTTTCAGATAGAATGTAAGATTACATATATTTCTGAATGCAAAGTTAATAAGTAATTATTAAGAAAAGTGAAATATTAGGAATACCACACTACAATTATTATTAAACTAGGAAATCATTCCAACAGATTTTTTCAGTTAAATTTTACAGACATATTTGTATAACATTTTCCTTAATTCCACTTTTATTTTAAAAACAACTCAATTATAATTACATGCCAAAATAAATTGTCCAAAATACCTGAGAAGAAAGCGTTTAATTTACCTCACTACTATTAGGCCAGTCATCACATATGCATCGCCTGCATGGTCGTACGTAAAAATGATATTAAAAGGCTGCAACTAATACAGAATAGAGTGCTTAGTACTATTACTAACGCGCATATGTATGTCAGTAACTTAACTCTTCACCATGACTTGCGTCTGGATACACTTTTGAGGAGCACATACGCAAACTTAATAGGCACTTTTATGATAAGGCACTTAAGTGTGATCACATGAATATTTTTCTGACTTTCAACTATGTCATATTAATGGAGGATAAAGACCTATGTCTATTCGTCTATTCGCTGCCCACGTCTGTAACTCGAACTTCCCCACTTGATAATTTTGTATATATATGAAAATAGTTTGTTTGTATTATATGACAACATCTCCACCTCTGTCCATAATGCTTAGCTCTCCTGACCAAATGATGCCGGTCCCTTTTTGCCACCTCCTATTTACTGTATGTACGTGACGATAGACTTATCGTGATGTCGCCATTGGGGCTAGTTTGATAGAGCTGGATACGCAGTTCACAGGACTGCATTGCCGGCAATAACCTGCCAGTCAGTCAGTCAATTGTCCAAAATTTTATTCTCAACGCGCCATCTTTATTTAGCATTCGCACTACTACGAATTCACAAATCAGCTCGCTCTAAAATGTGGATTCAACGTATATGGTTAATACAAATTTATTTGAACTAAATTAATCTAGCCTTCATTTCTGCAAGGGGATTTTCATCTCGAGTTGTACTGTAAACTGAGAATGCTAAGATGAATGCAACAATAATATTAAATCAAAGAAAAATGTATTGTAGATATCAGCATGAAATAACACTTACTTTTATAGGGTATTTTTTTCCTCTCCTTCCAAAATGCATTCGTAGTGTAACGGTAGCACACTAAAATAGAATAAAGAATGCTGGAAATCCGATCCAAGTTCAATCCCTGGAGAATGAGCTGGCTGCGTGTTGGGGTTTCATGGTTTTTCTCATGTGTAATGTGATTTCTGTTAGAATGTCCTCTGTGAAAGCATTAAGGTGCATTATATCAGCTGTAAAGATAAGCTTAGGTGAATAATAAGAAAGCTACAATTAATGTAGAAGATTAATACAAAAGAAACAGTAGATGACTGCATTACAAATTTTGCGAGCAAAATATTCACATAGTCTGACTGATCACATACAAGGTTATGCATATTGTGTATACCGACTTGCGTATACAAGGTTATGCATATTGTGTTGTTATAAAATGTAAAAGTTTACATATTATAACAACAGAAAAAGGATGAGGGCCTGAAGCAACTTTTATATGACTATTTAATAACAGTATATATAACTATTTAATAACAGCATACACATAGCTATTGAATTCGTCGAGGGAAAGCAGTAGATGACTGAATTACAAATTTTACGAGCAAAATAGTAAATATTCATATAGTCTGTCTGATCACATACAAGGTTACGCATATTGTGTATACTGACTTGAAGCAACTTTATATGACTATTTAATAACAGCATACACATAGCTATTGAATGCTGCGAATACACATGCATCCGTGCAGTTAGAAAATAACTTCCTCTAAATGGTCTCCATCTGCTTGGATGTCTTCGCGTTTTGGGCCGATGCAAAAGGACTTCCATGACAAGTCTCAACGTTTCCTCCAAAACAGCATGTACCAACTCCAAAACAGCTGATAGAAGCTTTCACTTCATCAATCGTCCGCAAACAATATTCAAAGATTAGTTCCATCAAGGAATTCCTGAGAAAGAAGTCTGGAGCTGTCAAATCTAGGGAGCAGGAAGGCCAAGTCAAATCTTCAAAGAGGGAAATCAGCTAGAGATCTCTTGAAATATAACCATGCTTGCTTTTGCCGTTACGCCGCCCTTTAGAAACCAAACTGTACGCACCAACTGTCTTGCCTTAAGTTCTGGTACCTTCATTGTTCCTCCACGAAATCCGCCTTGCGTGCATCGATAAAAACCCCTGCGAGGATGAAGGCTTCCTCCTTCGAAATCCGAAATTACATCGCCCAATAGTCTACGTCAGTGATCTTCAAACTTTGTCTATTCATGGAATCCACAAAACTAGAAAGGATTTTCAGGAAACTCATCCTACCCTTAGAAAAATATATCTAAAAATAGTATTTAAAGTAGATCAGTATGTTACAAGTAATTTATGTAAATACCGTTATTGATGTTATCTGCAGTCGAATTTCATAATTTTGCATTAAATTTATTTCTATATTTTGTTTTCTTTCCACACGCTGTGAGAAATGTTTTTCATTTAAACTCGTTTTTCCGAAAGGCATTGAAATATTGATAGCTGTCTGAGAAACATTTTTACGCACACACTTGATTGAGCAATAAAAAAAAAAAAACAGAACTACTCTAGCAACGTCGCCTTACTGACGTCTTCAGCCCCTCCACATAAAGCAGCTTCTGATTAATTTTCAAAGATAAATTTCAAAGTAAATGTATCTTTATATTTTAGTTACTAAACACTAGTCCAAGCTTTTAATGTGAGTGCTTTATAATTTTCTTTTCGAATTTCTATTTTGACTCACGGTACCTCGAGGTTCCGTGGACCACAGTTTGAAGACTACTGGTTTAGGTTGTACTAACAGCATGACTCCTAGCTCTCTTCGTATGCAGATATATCCTACATGCGGACGTTCATTCTTTGAAGAGTTCCAAATTCATCTTGCTCAATACAATGCACGCCATCTTTAAAGACTAATAAGATTTTAGTTTATTGTTCGATAATTTAGTTGCATTTATTTTAGCTGGAGTTTTTTTATTTTTGAGTATATGCATTGCATTTTAGTGTATCTTATTATTTAAAAATTAAGCATGGGAAATTATTATGCATCAGGTTCTTTTTTACACTACATTTTCTACGCCTCAAAGGAGATATATTGTTTCTACTTAACATTTAAAATTTATCGTAATAAAATGAAAGTGCAGTTGAGATCACGATTCGGAAACTGGCCATGAGAGCGTTATTCAACGAAGTAATAAGGAGTTTAATTTATCTTTCAGATTCAATCTTTCTCTTATTGATTAAAAAACTAAGCAATTTAAAAGTACCAAGCGTGTTGCTTAATTTGTTTGTTTAATTTAATTTGTTAATTAACGCATCTAATTCGTATAAACTGAGATTCTTTTATATATTATAATAAACTAAAAAAAATTTTAATGAATATTTTTCGATTTGTTGCAAGTGATAAAAAAAAAACCTTTCTATTGTCATATGTTACATATGTATATTACTTGTACAAAAACATTTGTGATTTATTTTTTTATATTAAGAGAAATTACTGCAGTCTTCTGTGTGTGCTCGCCTAGTTTAAGTGCTAGCCTGTCTAGCTAGCAATGGATGACCCGTAACTCGAATTCCGGAAAACAAAATGCTAATTTTTCATACATCTTGCTCAGAAAAAGCAAGAGATCTTTACACTACCTAATAATATTTTTCAATTTTTAAGGTAAAATATTCTTCGAGGTTTAAACTGAAATAGGAAATTTCACAATAGAGGTTTTTAAAGCTTTTATTCATCTAAAACAAATTTTACATATTAAATCATTTTGTAGTGTTAAGGAAATATATATAAATTTTAATGGATTTCAATTTTATGCCGCGAAAAGTTATTATTTGCTGTATAAAATATATTGAGAGAAATACATTTTAAGTATAGAAGATTAGACACGATGAAGCGTTTTCTATTAAAATCCTTTACTATGTATATCGTGGAGCTAATTATTAAGTTTCTCTTTACGGCTTTCGAGGACTGCCAGAGATAACATTTTTAATTCTTAGTAATGCGCTTCGCATCCCTTGTCTTTAGGCTAGACTTCAAAAGGGTAATGGGCACTCAAGCTTGGAATTTATAGTTAAGTAACTGACGACATATTTGTCACCTTTCTAGGGATCCGGATCAAGTCCTCTTTGGATGAGTCTGTGCATCCTTGTGAGAATTTCTACCAGTTCGCCTGTGGTGGTTGGATAAAAGATCATGCAATTCCTGAGAACGGATTTTTGTCTTTTATCAAATCCAAATTTAAAAACAGTAGTACCTTTAATTTCTGGGGTAAGTAAACAACTTTAAAGTTTTGAAAACTAATTTGATTTTAAACGAAGTATTATAAAGGTAAAGCGTGATTCTGAGCGAATGATTTGATCATATGTTTCCTTGATACTAAAAATAAGTTCTTAAAAGCTAGGTAATAAATTAATATACGTCAACGCATTTTAAAATTTGAGGTTGTACACTTTCCTAATGCTAAAAAATTAACTTCCAATTTTAGTGACACAATTCAGCTATCTATACTATTGAAGTCTGTTTGTTTGTAGCTTTATCTGCTCTGAAACAGCGGGGAGTTGAATTTCGAGAGAGGTACTCTTGGATTCCAAAAATTTCGACCATTATCATCTTCATGTGACTTTAATTAGCGGAGATATTAATTAAAAACTCTGAAAGCGCTAATTTTCGCCTTCATGTTTCCGACTGGTAACAATCTTGCACGCATTTATCAAAATAAAAATCTGCTATATTTCGAGAAGTGTTGCCACTGCTCGCTTTCAAATCGTAGAGTTTGTTAATAAAAAATCTCCAAGTGTTACAAAGTGTGAAATAAAAATAACATTGCTAAACATTAAGTATCCAAAAATTCCAAAATTTCCGATTCCAAAAATTTGTGGGAATCTATTTCGACTGTCGGAAAAAAACTACACTTTCACTAAAATTATTTACATATGTACAAAATTCCTAACAATACATTTAGTGCATTAAGTGATTTTGAAATGTGAATTCTGAGGAAAGGCTGCACGTAGTGTTTGGAGTAAAAATGGAAAAAGTTTTAAATATTAAAATGAAGTAATGCATATTATACCCTGATTTACAGCTTTTAAGTTATTGTTACGAATTTGTACATAGATATATGATTTTAGTGCAATTATATGTGAACGTGTTGCATTTTTCTGTGTAATGTAAAGTAAAAAAATTTAAAGCGATAAGTTAACGCCCGAAAAGTAAGAATACAAACTTAAATTAATTTAACATCGAGTAGATGGTTATTTCGATAATTTCGCGAGATATCGCCATGTTGACAAAGGCTTTGGTGACTTATTTTGTTACCAAATTTGGCGAGAAATAGCTAAGTCGTCAAACATGGCAACCATTTGGCGGCATTTTGGTCCAGTCCCTTATCCCCGTAATAAGTATTGTAATTGCATAAATCACTATACTCACTGCAACCGTAATTCGACCCTCATATTGCTCCCAGTAATTTCTAGAAGCATAAAGTACTAGAAATATCTCAGTGGCCAGTTGAAAACTATATAAGGCTAGAGAGAGCACCCTGATCTCAGTTTTTTTAAATTGTTATTGTTGCGAGTTGTTAGTAAACTAAGGTATCTCCGGGTTAGCTTTTTTCTTTAGATGTGCATTACATGGCGGTATGTTTAACGTTATTAGTTGTTAGAAGTGTAACTACTGATTGTACTCTGTGATACTGGGAACACCTGTACGAATATTTCTGTGGAAAATTATAGAAGTTAGACGTATTTCTTTTGATAAAACAAATTTTTTAACCTATCATCGGACCTGTGTACATTCAGTCTATTACAAACGTATACGCACGTAATATTATTCAAATTATTATCTGTTGCATTGAAATAGACAGACACAATTTCATTTTAAATGAACAACGTCAGATGGGATGAAACTCTCAGTTATGAATATTCTGCGATGCATTAAGCTACCTGTGACTGCATAGTGCTCTCTAATAATGTCATTAACTACAATTCATTCGTTCCATTGTTTTAATCTAGACTTAAATATCTGTTGAGAATAGATCTCAAAATTATGCTTATGTTAAGCATAATTTTTTATCAATCTTCTGGAAGATTCACTGATCCAACTGATAATTTTTAACTCGCAGATTCAACTGATAATGTTTCATCAACTATCAAGAATTACGTGGATCAGATTGAGCAACCTTGTGACGGATCCAATCAGTACGCCTGTGGTGGCCGGAACAATTCACTTGTTATTCCTGAAAACAGATATTACGTTTCTGTCTTAACTAAACTTCAGCAGTATGTTCCCTTTCAAATTTGGCGTAAGTAAATATTTTTAGAATTGTAGCTATTAATTTAATATCAGATTCTTGTTACATAAGAAAAAGCTGTGATTCTGGATGCGTAAGTTGCTTATATGTTTCCGAGATACTTAAAATGTGTGTTAATTAGTTAATAATTAAAATTATTATGTTCATAAAGTTCGAGTTTTGAATATAAAGGTGTACTTTCGCTTTAATACTTACATTTAATATTGAGAAATTCCATCCTCACTGCCAGCAACACAGATCAGCAGTCAAAACTTAAATCGCTACCTTAAGATTAATAAGTAATTTCATATAAAATCAGTATTCTTGTTTCTGTCAATGTATTATTGCCACTCCGGCAAAGTGGTTAGTGACGAAAACCAATGAGTTAACTTTCGGCCCAAGTACATTAAAATATCCATGCGGAATCGGAACGCCAACTCAGCAGGAGTTTTCACTATCAGCCATTCACAGTCCAGGGGCCTGGCTGGCAGCTTAGATGGCATTTATTGAATCTTAAGTAAAATTTCAGAATCATAAAATCATGCACATCCAAATTACAAGGTTAATCCCCTGAAACACATCGAAAGGATTGTACGTAATATACATCCCATTACAAAATGTTACACAGGTATACTAAAAAAAATGTATATTATTTACCAAGTTACATGCTAAAAATTTACCTTAAGACTGATAATATGTGCTAATTATAGCTTTAAGGGCGATAGGACGAAAATTTTGCTCAATTGAGAGCTAATAGATAACACTCTCAGTAACACATATATCCTGCTATAAAACATTATGAAAAGTCCTTGTTGTGCAATAGTATATTAGAGATGGTTAACATCGCATGCCATATTGCTGCCATATTGATATATAAACATTCATGAATAGGGTCTCTGGATGTACTTCTGTAGTTCAACATTAGTTTGTCCACAAATTAGTACTTGGAAACAAACTACAAGATGTGTCCATAACAGGGAGAAAAGGAGTAAGTACTAATGGTAGTACTATTATGAATGCATATAAGAATATACATATACAACAAAATACATACAACAAAATACAATAAAAACATATAATAAATGTAAAATATATACCGTATTTATGCGAATCTAATGCGCATCCCCATTTTAAAACTTTAAATAATAAAAAAATTGTTTGTCGGCGAATGTAATGCGCATCAAAGATATGAGGAATTTATTGAATCTTATTTTATACAACAATGGATTTGTATATAAACTATCAATTAATGGTATGATAATTTTATTTAAATTTAGATACCCTATTTTATACAACAATGGATTTATACATAAAATAGCAAAACATAGAATTAACCTATTAGTGGGCTATTGTCATGTGAAACAATCATTGTTAATTAGCACTAGCGGATATACGGTACCTATCGTAAAATATGAAACATGAAATAAATCGTAACATTTCTATCTAGCTAACGGTTTCTACAATCAGTGATTAACAGTAAACGTCTTTATTCACTAATGTTTTCATCACTGGAATCCTCGCAGCTCTCTTCGTCAGAAGCAGATTCATTTCTTCTTTCCTCATCATCGTCATCGTCATCCTCGGCGGGTGCTTCAATGCTTTTCCAGGCAGCAGAAACCCAGTGTGCAATAATGTGCGGTGCAGCACGCTTAATTTTCCCTGTCGGGGTCAATACACGGTTTGGCTCACAAAACCATTTTTCGTACTCCGCCTGAACGTACCCCTTAAAAGGTTTATTTATACTAACGTCCAGGGGTTGTAACACAGACGTCATCGCTCCAGGAATGATAACAAGATCACTGCCTAGGCTGTGCATCTTCTTTTTTAAGTCGTCGGTGAGATGACCACGAAATGCGTCCAGACAAAGCATTGATGGTGGATTAGAGAGCCCACTGGGACGGCGTTTCCATACATTTCGGAGCCAATCAAGCATTAATGATTCCGTCATCCACCCCTTCTCTTGGTTTCGAATCAAGACATCATCTGGGAACAGCTTTTCATTCTTAGGGTTTTTAGGGCATGTTTTCCGTTTGAAGATTAAAAAAGGGGGAAGTTTGCACCCGTCTGCTGTTATTGCCAGCATCACTGTTACGCGTTGTTTTTCACATCCCGAAGTTTTGATGATAACTTCCTTAGTCCCCTTCTCCGTAATAGTGTAGTTACGAGGCATATCAAACCAAATTGGCTGTCTCGTCAGCGTTGCCAATTTGCCCCATTGAAAAATTCTTTTCCTTTCCGAAGTGTGATGACATATCCGCTGAAATGTTAGTAGTTTTCCCTCAAAATCTGCAGGAAGCTTTTGGCATATTGTTGTACGGCGTCTTAGAGATAAACCCATCCGCTTCATAAACCGATCCACCCATCCACGGCTAGCCTTAAACTCTTGTTTCGGTATTCCAAGAACTTCAGCCTCCTCTTTTGCTTTATTTCTTATGGTGTCACTAGTCACAGGTTGTCCATTCTTCCTCCTTTCACGTACAAATTCCAAAGCGTTTTCTTCAATTTTAGGGTGTCTTCCTTTGCGAGGGCCAGTGAATTTCTTTCTACTAGCTTTAGTTGCAAACAGTGCCATTTCTGTTGCCGCCACAAGCGAACATTGCTCTCAGCTACGTTGAACTCTCTCCCTGCCTTTCTATTGCCATTTTTTTCAGCATAAAGAATTACTTTACGTTTGAAAGTAGCTTCATATGACATTCTTCTCTGTTTGCCCTCCATTTCGTGACTACGTACTCTGCAGTGTGTATCCTCTATGCAATAATGTGTCAACGATAAATGTAACGGTAAATGTAGTCGAGAAATACGGTAATTCATTGTTACGTTAAGTTTGGTTGACGTCATCGGCGAACTTTGCACTCGAATCTAATGCGCACCCCAATTTTGAATACTACATTTGGCCAAAAACGATGCGCATTAGATTCGCGTAAATACGGTATATTCAAATACTATTAGCAATACACATACAATAAATACAAAAAATACACACGTTCAAATATTATTAGCAATAAAGTATTTTTACCCGACTCAACGTGTTAAAGAAGCAGTGCAATTCGTTTAGTAAATCACTGACTTAAAGGAACTGGTATGAATTCAAGCCTACTGCTACATTTATAATTACATTTTCTTAAATAAAATTTTAAATCTAATCTTTAACTGAATTAATTAAAACCATGTACTTATTGGTGTCAAACATGAAAGAAAATAATCTTAAATTTAGAAATTAATCTTAAAATAACTGCTTTTTGTTTGGATTATATATTGGATTATTATATATGGATAAATATAATTGAAATACACTATATGCCAATAATAAATTGGAGATAGCAAATGTTTATCTATATAGACTTGCACATTATTTTGATGCTTGACAACAAAACTAATAGCAATTTTGAGGCACTTATTTTGATCCAAGTGCATACTGATCTCCTAGAAATGTAATATATAGTGACATTTGGCTATTAAGACTTTTCATTTGAAAATAAATTAAAAAGAAAGGAAAAAATTCATTGCGGTCATGTAAATAACAGTTTACTTTATTTCCAGATCTCTTAAACATGACTTCGTCGGGAAATGAACCTGATTTCTTTCGCAAGATAAAAGTAATGTTCAACACTTGCATGGATGAAAGTAAGACTCATTTCCATTTGATACTGTAATCATACAACTGTAATCGAACTTTGTATAAATTTTGTATAAACTTGTTTTGTATTTGTTTATGCTTTATTTTCCGAAACAGTGTTTCGCAACCGGTGATCTGCAAAATAATATTTAAATTAGAATTAATTATATTAAATTTATTTTAAATTCAGCTCTAAGCTGTTCTGTGTTAGAAGTTTTTTTTTCATAAAATTCACAGAAAAATATTTAAAATTCGAGAGGAAAAGAAAGAGGACGAATGGAATAAAGAGAGAACTATCTGTGCCGTGAAGATTATAGAAAGTTATTAGATTGTAGACAGAGATTGTAAAGGAAAGATTATAGAAAGTTCAGATTATAGAAAAAGAAAGGGGAGTTTCAAAATTGTTTCTCTTGTCTATCGCATCTGTAGTGCTCGAATGAATAAGATCACTAAATATTAGTTTTTTGACTCGGGTTCGAACGTAGTGGAACGGGCTGGCTGTTTGCTTGGTTTTCACGTTTCTCCAGGTGTAATGTGAGTACGAGCCAGTTTTCCTAAGAAAGTCTCCACGAAGGCATCCCTACTTTTAGACAGATAGCCCTCGTGTGCTTTGCCATATTCCAGATAATCTAACCTAGTCATCATGCGGTCTGCTGGCCGATACAGCTTGGCAGTCTTAATTGTAGAGATTGGCTTTCGCCCATCATTAAAGCGGACAACACACAACGGTACTTGAGGGTTACTACTGAACAGCCAATCTAACCTAGTATACATTATCTCACAGTAAAAGGAATTTTACGCATGCATCCTTCAAGGTGACAGCGAAAACATCGCGGACGAAAACGTCGCGGAGAAAACAACGCAAAGCGAAAACGTAGTGGTAAAAAGATTTTAGGAGAAAAGAAAACAAAGAGTTCTAAAACATCGTCGTACAAAATACCGTCGTCAAAAAATAAAGCGGTTCAAAATCTTCTCAGTTGAAAAACATCGTTGTCGAAAATATCGTGGTAAAAAATAAAGTACCTACAAATCATCCGATGACGATAACATCGCACACATGCGCTTTTCAGGTTTTAAAAGTTGTAAATGCATATTGGCATAAGGATTTGGAAGCGCAAGAAATGTTAACGACTCTTTAAGAATAAACAGAAACAAAACAATATATAATTTTCACTAAAAACAATGTCAGATTAACAAACGTGAAAGAAAGTAATACTATAATTAATTAAGCAATTTTTATAAAGGTAACCAACCTCATGCAGTTATTTATCTCCCTTTTTCTAAATACTTTTGGGTTGTATTTTTCATGAAAATTTAGGATTAAAACTTTATAAAAATTTTTATTAATGACCATTGTTAATTAACTAATTAAATTCAAAATTCCATTAAGTGCTATAAGTTACAATTATTTTCAACTTTTAAATGCTAAAGTTTCCTTCTAACTTTTTCATCAACAATTTATTAGTTCATTCAAAAATATGAAATATAAAAGTAAAAAGTTCCCTCTTTTCTTCTTGCGCTCCCAAATCATTATGCGAAAATGCATTGTAAAAATACATTACGCGAAAATATGAACAGCAACAACATAAATATATTGCAGCATAACAAGATGTAAAATAAGGACATGATTTGTACAGAAGAAACATTTATGCATGGAACATGAAACATTTGTGCATAGAATAGATATATATGCCCTACGTTTAGCAACTAAAATAAGAAAAAACAGAAATCAAAGCAACGTAATCCAATTATTTACAGTATTTTCAAAGTTCTAATACCTTTTTTATGTTTCATTACCATTTTTCTTTACAGATGGCGTTATTTTCGCTTCCACTTTGCACCACCCATTAATTTGTATGTAAAATAGTTATCGGTGTTTTTCACATTCGCGATCACATTTGGGTTCTGAAAGGAAAGGTACTTATTACTGATTATTTTTGGAATCAATAGAATTTTCTTCAAAACCTACCCAAAATTAAGCTTCTTATTTGTAGTTTTAAAAGTCTAATGTTTAATGGAATTATTTCATGTAAAATATTCAAAATGTACTCATTTGCAAAATTAAAAAATTTGAAAATTATGTTTTTTTTACAAAAGTATAGAAATTTATTAATTATGAATTATGTCATGATAATACATGCACACACAGAGTTTAATATTTCCTGTCAGTCGTGTCTCAGTAAGTGCCAATATAGTAATTGATAGTTTTCAAAATATTTATCTGCAGAGCACTTTTGGCTTATGTGATTTTGGCAAAGCACTCGAAGACTAGCTGCCTAGGGGAAGGGATACCTTCATGTAGGACTCTTTGGGGAAAACTGGCTCGCAATACATGTTACGCATGAGGCGGGCTACGTAGGCGCCCATGCAGCCACCCCTTGCGTTGGGATTCGGGCCCTAGACCGAACTACCACTTTTCAGAAATATTACAGCTCGTATGCTAGTGGGCCCTTAGTCTTAAGGTTAGAGCTGATCTCTTATTCCACATACCTTTCGCTAGCGTAAGTACAGTATTTTGGGTTAAGATAACAATAAATATTGTGCACCTAGACCTTGTGCATTATTTAAAAGTTAGAGAAAGTGCACGTCTTAACGATCACATAATTTTCAAGAAAATAGTAAAAAATGTGCCTATTATTTAATTTAGGAAAATAGTTTAAATGAAATGTATAAACAATGCATGTATTCATCTTTAACTTTTGGAATTTTTTTAGCTTGAAAAAAACAAAATTTATTTCAGAAAAAACGAACAATGAAAGTTAAGAAATGAATTGTTTTTAATCTATTTGAGGTGTTTCTTTTGACCACTTCAACCCTAGAATATCATGGGCACGAGAAGTAGAGAGCTAATCTCACACTCTAATTTTAACGGGAGCAAGAATGAAGGGGCTAAACGAAAATTTAGTGAAATGTTACAGAAGTATTATTTTGTAAATACTGTTCTTTATTCTTTCTATGTTCACTTAAAATTTTATGTTCATAGGAAGCATAGAAATAGCGGGAGACAAACCTTTGAAAAAGATTCTAATCGAATTGGAGGGCTGGCCAGTAGTGAAAGGTGATTCCTGGTATAGTCACACATTCAACTGGACTCACGTTCTCGTTACTCTCCGAAAGATGGGTTACGATCACAATATTCTCTTTCATGTATCTGTCACAAAGGACCTTATGCACGATTCACTGAACATTTTAAAGGTACGTATCTTAACAAAATGTTTGGTAAATACATCGCAGATCTTTATCCAAATGCATATTTTCAAAGAGAAAGCATTTATGTGAATATGACGACTATTGTTAGCAAAATATTAGATAAATTTTTATTGAATATTCTAGATAACATTGACTGTAATTTCTAATGCGGTAGTACCCAAAGAATGATGTGAGAAATTTTCAAGCTTATTTGAGAGGTTAAGACCCCTGGAGGTCGATCCCAGACCCACAGAATTGTTGCATGATGCAGTTTCATGATTTTTCCATGCACAATGTGAACACGAGCCAGTTTCCTTTAGAAAGTCCTTTGCGAAGACATCTCTACTCTTAAGTAGCTAGCCTTCGTATGCTTTCTTTTATGTAGTAATTGTCTCAGGGTCTTTTCTGACTGTAGATTCTTTGACAGGAAATTGGTCGTTGGAATGGAAAGTTGGAGTCAGAATTACGAGATAAGAGGTAAAAAATAGGACCTTTCGCTTTCTGTGTTTCTCCTATTAACTGTGAAGTTGTTTTCCCCCTTCCTTAATGAGAAGTCTGGGCACTGGGCGGTCTGCAGGAAACGGCACTTGATAAGAGGTAAAAAATAGGACCTTTCGCTTTCTGTGTTTCTCCTATTAACTGTGAAGTTGTTTTCCCCCTTCCTTAATGAGAAGTCTGGGCACTGGGCGGTGTGCAGGAAACGGCACTTGATAATGACTTGAAGGGAAAGTTAAGACTGTTTATATGCAGGTGGCTACGTTTGTAAAATAAGTATTGTCTGAAGAGAGGCGCCTTCATTATATAGCTTTACTTGATCTGTGATGCGAATAGAAGTTGTAGACAAATATATTGTTCACCGTAGGAGACGTTTTGTCTAGGCTTTATGTTTTAGGATTTTTTTCACAGGAAGAGGAATGTACCCTGAGATTTTTGCATGCTGTTGATAAAAAAGAATGTGCAACGCTGACTCAAATTTTTACGGAGTTATTATTGGCTGGGAGAAGATCGTGGCAGATTGGAATTCACCAATTAATATGAAATGAGTTATGATTGTGTCAGTCGTTGCTGTATGATTAATAATTAGGAGACAATTTAAAAAGAGGGAGTATAAGAAATGATAAACCTCGAGAAATAGATTGGAATGCTGTCAAAAAGTCATTCGATACTTAAACACAGCTAAAGACTTGACGTTGGTCTTTAACAATATTCAAGAATCTATACTAACTGCATATTCAGATGCAGATTGGGGAAATTGCAGAACAATTAGAAAAAACATTAGCAGATACATATGCAAACTGGAAAACAATTGCATTTCTTGGAGCAGCAAAAGGCAAAACTCCATTGCATTATCTTCAATGAAGCAGAGTATGTTGCAGCAGCTAATCCAGCTCAAGAAGCACAATGTATGTTAAATTTATTTGAAGATTTAGGGCTAAAACAAAATCTACCGTTTACTCTCTATGAAGATAACAAGTCATGCGCCAAACTTTCACAATCAGAGAAAAAGAGTTCCAGAACAAAACATAGACATCAAATACCACTACTTGCGTGAACTTCAACAAAACGGAATCCTAAGCCTAGACTACTGCAAAAGTTCCAACAGAATCTCAGACTTACTCATCAAACCGCTAGAACTTAGAGAATCGCTGCAAATGGTTATGATGTTGTCCATCAAGTAGGGGGTGTTGGTATGCTGTGATGAACAAACGTCAATAAAGCGATGAAAGATGTAATCTGGTTGTGCTATGGAAAAAGTTAGACTCACTTTTTTCTTTTTCCTTCTTCTCACTCCTTCATGTAAGGAGAGTGTTAAAACTCTCTCATATAACTGCTTATTGAACGCTCTCTTGACATATATTACGAAAATTCTAATGAATCTTATTTGACTGTTATTATGTCAAAAATAAATGTGTTCGTTTGCAATTTTCATGTACAACCTCTTTTTATGGATTATACATTAATTATGATGATTCTGCGCTCTACCGAGAAGACAAAGTAAGAAAAAATTATTCGTTTGCTTACTTGCGGTAATTTGTTGCAGAAACATTCACAACAATTTCTAGACTTAGCGATGTAGATTTTCTGAAGTTATGAGGCCTTGGTCGATGGACAACGATAGCTTTTCAAAACTGTTATTTAATGAGCGGATGGACATATGATTCTGAATGTACTGAAAAATTCCAGACTTCGCGATGTCGATTTCCCGAAATTATCAGTCCTTAGACGAAGATCAATGACACCTTTTCGAGACTGTTATTCAATGAGCGTAGGAACAGATGAGTGTGAATGTGCAAAGTCGTAGACTTCAAAAATTGGCTATCAGCTGTGTGATGTGGCGCGATCCGGAGTTTGAAGCAATAAGGTAGAGAGTAACTTAACTCTCAGTGTACGGTGGAAAAATGACTCTCCGTTTTTTTTTGTTTAGCAAGATCCAATAGTGTAGAACTCCGAAGTCTGCAAACGTAAGTTCCTCTACTTTCTCTCGATGTATATTTGGTTATGAAATAAAATTTTTTTAAAGATTTTTCTTTAGCTAGGACATGGTCCTTGACTGTGATTTTATTGTGTATTTAATATGTTAAATGGAGCAATTATGTCCTTGGAATTGTATAGTAAGGTTATGTTATTATTTAGGTTATGTTTTCTGCACATGTATGTATGCACATATTTCTGCACATGTAAGCTAAGAGACTGAATATTGCATTATATTGATCGAACCTGGGTTAGTTATCTAGTTACTGTTAGATTTGTACTAAATTGTTAAAATGTTCATTAAATAGTGAGATGATTAATCATTTGTAGTTTATCAAATTTCGGTATGTGATTACTTCGTATCAAATCTTCGACGCAACGTTTGCCATATTCCAGTAAACTAACTATACCAGTTTTTGAGAGCCATCAGACACTAGTATTTCGACACGGGTTTAAATCCCTGCACAGACGTTTAGGCGATTTTGCTCTATGTATAGTGTGGATAGGATCTGATTTTCCTACTCAAATTCTCCTCGAAATAACATTAATATTTAAGAAGATAACCCTCGTATACATTACTATTATTAATTGAAAACAAACATTAATCCTTAAGCAGATAACCCTTGTAGACATTACTATTAGGAATTAAAAACAAACTAGCAAACCACAATATTCAACATGAATCAGAGACGATATTTTTCATTAAAATCACACTAAGTATTCTCGGCGCATATTAGCGTCTATTTCGTCTATTAAAGTTTTCCGAGGAACGATTGACACGACACTAAGAAAATATTCTTGATAAATAAACTTTCCTCAGTTTCCAAAATTTTATTCCGTTCATCGATTTTAATATTAGAATGAGAAAGTAAGGATCTGACGTAAAGCTATCTCTTGTCATTATTTCAATCAACTATTGTGTTGTGATTAATTTGGAGCTATTGTTCATAAAACATAATAGATGTTAACTCCTGATACCACAAGCCATCAGTGGTTGAGCGACTAGAAACTACTGAGCGCTAGTTATTCATCAAACTCGGTAAAATAGCCTACCTGCACGGTCAGTTTTAATTGTTCTTCCATGTGTAATGTGACTCATCAAACTCATCAAATTCATCAAACTCGGTAAAATAGCCTACATGCACGGTCAGTTTTAATTCTTCTTCCATGTGTAATGTGAATGCGAGCTAGTTTTCCTCTGAAGGTCCTACACAAATGTATCCTTCCTCTAGTCTTTGTGTGCTTTGCCATTTTCAAAATAACCTATCCTGACTCCATAAAGAAAAGATACTATGACCTTAATAAAAGAAATGCGTCATCCAGTAGATAAAGTTTGTGTTCGAACACTTTTTTCCCTTGGCTTCACAGCCATTTCGATTTTAAATCATGTATTAATTTTATGAGGTAGTTACTCAAACGCGATCTTTAAGAATGATCCTTGAAATTCTCTTCAATCTTTTAAAAGGAAATATATGAGGATTTGACAAATGCAAAATCACGACCTGGGTTATAGTTTTTTTTTTTCAAAAAAGCTATGTTTACATGAAAAGCCTAGTTGTGCCAATGATGGTTATAAAGACAATTATCTGCTGCAAAAATGGCAAATGAAACTGGTGCTGAAGAAATGCTTCAAAATAAAAGAAGGATCAAAGCTTTCCTGGAAAGCACCTGAGAAAGATTGTACAACCAACCTTTAGAACAACTGGACGCCCACCCGCTATGTGATGTTAAAAACGGGTCAAATGAGACAATTTCAGTCTTTAGACAATTTTGGTCACTTGAAAACATTTATAAAATTCAACAGAAAAGTAAAATTTTCTTACTGGACACACAAAGAAAAATGTGAATGATGTTTATTTATTACCGAGTTAACCAAACGAAAAATAATCGTGCTTCTATATGATCAAGATTATTAATCAAGATAACTTTTTATTTTGAACGCATAGAATCTTCTCGTGCAACACAGATGTACAACACGGGACTCACAAAAATCAGTGAACGAAAACATTAAATATTATACGCATAAATAAATCGAAAAAGAGAAAAAAAAGAACAACAGTCTGGACTTCACGAAAACAGGTAAGTTCACTGGCCAAACGACGCTAAATATTTTTAAATGGTTCTGTAAGCATAATCTAGGGCCATCAAATGTAGGGCATGAAAAAATCAAATTTTCCACATTTTGAGGTATGTTTTTTGAACATTCACATAAATTCTTCGATCGTAGGTTGAAACGAAACAGGTAGCTTGCATTACTGTGACTAGATAAAAACTGAGATATTTTAAAATTAATAGAAGAGGAAAGACTTGGAATGCAGTGTATGGTAAATACTTCTATCTGCACTACATTCCGAGTCTTTCAAAAGGACTTTTAAACATTGAGAAAGAACATTTAGATTATGTTTTCAAAGGAGCCCTCAGCATTACAAGATGAAATAGTATATTCCTCATTCCGCTTAACTAAAAGTTTCTTATAGTGAAAGGATTTCCAATAGCTCTTTGGAATACTGATATTGATACCTATGGGTAAATTTAAGGCATCTTTAGCTAAGAAATCATCTCAATTGGTTCTATGGCTCCCAGTAATTATTTCTAGCAGTATTATGACATTTTTAAGTTTGGAAAGAATAACCCATGCCTGTTGTATGGTATAAGAAACAGTTAACATTTGCGGAATGACTGTTGACCTGAATAGTTGCTTTGTCTACTGAGATGTTCAGCTGTGTTAGCTTACAGCCCGCGATTTATTCAGCGTTTGAACAAGAAAGCTGCGATTTTCTTTCATGGTGGCAGCTATAACATAAAAGTAGCAAATTGTATTTAAAAACTGGTTCTGAAGTCTTTCTTTATCTAACTATAATACAATTGTTCTTTTCGTCCCAAGATCAACAAGCCGTCATTTGGAATAGATCCTAAGTCTCTCATAAATGGAATGAATGATTCCTCCACAGCTTCTTACTTAGACCTGATGATAAAAGCAGCTCACCTATTGGCTTTAGATGATAGTTCCTCTATGGAGTTTGAAAGAAAACCGAATATAGTAAAAGAAATGAAAGAAGCACTCAATTTCGAAATCATGCTCGCAAAAGTGAGTATAGAAATTCTTATTCCATTATTTCACTAACAATATTTATCTTCGCCTTATGCATACGCAGAATTTACTGGATAATTCTTTGATTTTATGCACGTTATTTCATATCACTGCAAAATTCCCTAATATTAGTTCACAAAAGGCATCTAACTGTGATAACAGCATATTAATTAATTACAAGAACAGCATATAGGCTTGGAAAAAATATTAGGCATTCTGTTCCAATGCATTTATTTTGAAACAGTCTGAAGCAAACACAAACCGAGCTTATTATTTTTAATTGAAAAAGAATATTGATTCTCTGTTTTAATATTTCGTAAAATATTTTTATAACTAAGCATCATTTTTTAACTCAACACTAATCACGTTATCCTTTACATATTTATAATACTCTAAAGTGGTTCACTCGCCATTTATTAGACTATTTGGATATAACTAAATATTTTAAAACTTCTTCTATAATAAATGTCGCAGATATTTTATTTTGTTGATATACGAGGCCTCTGGCAGCCATTCTAAGTTGAAAATCTTATCATCGTGATTTCATTGCATTAAAGCAGTTGATTTATAGCATAGTGCATTTTCTTGTTGTAAATCCGAAGACATTTATATTTTAACCACTGAATATTTTGCAAAATGATGATGCTGATATTGTTGCAAGGACTTCAACTGTATTGTGTAAACGTATAATGTCTTTGCGGAGGGAAGGCACTAAAAGTATACGGCGAGCCAAAAGTTTTTTAGAGTTATTTGGTGATAGAAGACTCCTGGACCTGTTCCCTGGGGAAATTCTCGCTCAGAATTCGGAAAGAACTGAACAAAGTCGTGCTGTTACCTATAAGGTAACTCATGCCAACAACAGAGGCAATCTTTCTCTCATAGCCACAATGGAATTTGTGGACTTGATCTGATGTTACTGTCAGAAAAGTGAGATATGTCGTAAAAGTATTTGCTACTAAAAATGGTTGAAATATTATTTTTATATGCCACACATATTATACAAAACTTTTTTAAAGGCTTGACTCACCAGAAAATATAGAGTTTGGCTTATATTTCCTTTTGAACTGTTTATGTGCTAGATTCTGTTTTAGTCCTAACTCTTTGTGTTTCTCTAAAAGTCAGTCTTTCCTTCTAATACTCTATTTTTTTTACCTTATGAATATAATACCTTTCGGTATATTTTGTAATAAACTTGTTAGTTTCTAAAGTTCTGTAAAAGTTAGCCTAACAGAGGGTAATTCCATTTAAACTAAATTGCCTTACGTTTCCCTATAAACTTGTGTTTAAACTAAACGGAGGGGGGGGGGAATAAAATAAAAAATTTTCGCTTCGTTTCTTATACTTTTCTAAAATTTAAAATGATTAAAATTACAGTATAAGACGTCTTTTTGCGATAAGATACACGCCTTGGAGAATTTCTATTATGTTGGCCTGATTTTTCAATGATTAAGGTTTCATCAGTTTTCGTCATCCTTTTATTCCAAGTTATTTTATCTGAAAGCCAAAATATCTATCTATATAGCTTTTCCATTTTTCACTTTATAATTTCCTTGCGTAAATTGATTAGCTTGAGGGCTTTGCAGGTTTTTCAGGTGCATTTTGAAAATTTGCCAGGTAGCACTGTATCGTCAAATCTAGTTATTTGTTATGAGTTTTAACTTTCTTTCTGTAGCAGCATGTGACCAGTGCTTGGTTAGGAGCAACGAATGTTAGTAGTTCGACTCAAGTTCCAGCCCAGGCCAATGGCATGGCAGCAGGATTGAGTTTCAAGATTTCTTCCATGCGTAGCGTGAATACGAGACATTTTTCCTTAAGATCTCCTCTACTGAGGCATCCCTCCAATTAAGCACATAGTTCTCAGGGCTTTGTAACATTCAAATAACCTAACCTACAGCAGCTAAAGTTTGGATTATTATGTATTTCTAGCAAAGCAGATTTGTACCCTTATTCACAAAATTTGTGAGCCTAAGGTTGGGAGACCCTAGTTGTAAGATGCAATAATATCTACATAAAATGTAGTTAAGGCTGATTCGCTGTGCCACACTATAGTGAATCAGTAATAAGGTAGTGGAAAGAGGAACTAACACTACTATTGGCAAGTTCAAAACATGTATGTATTTTCCTATTGAGACATAATTATGCTGAACCCTTTACAAGAGCTCAGTATACAGAACAATACATTAATAGAGGGAAACTATTTATATTTTGAATGTTCCTCTCAGCATATATTCAAACAAATTTGTATAATATTTCGTAAAATATTTGTTTCCGTCTCAATAATACACTTTGTTGTTAGCTGAAATAATATAGCTGTGTCTTCTTCTTTTGTTCAATTTACTGTTCTCCATCTAAAGCTTCCTGTATCACATTATATACAGATCAATCATTAAAGTAAAATACGAGGCAATCAGTAATAATTGGTAAAAAGTCTAACAGAAATTTCAACAATGTGTAAGATATAAAAATAGGAATCAGTGCTATTCGAAGAGGAATTAGCAGTAGTATTAGAAAAAAAATAATTATTATGTAGTAGTAAAGTGTTTTGATAATCAGTTAAAGCACTAAGAGAATTTTCAATAACTTAGTACAGTTATTAAAAAGTTCTTACAGACCTTTTGACCGCACATTAAAGGATTTGCTTGTTCAAGCTAAAAGCTCCCACGAGGAAATTCTTTTGAACAGCAGAATTTCCTAATTTAGTATGTATTCGATTCCAAGTAACGCACAGTACATTTCCCATTTTTAGCTTCGAAATTCCTGAGAATTGCACAGTCCGAACAGTCGATAAATATGTATGCGGCATTAAAAAAAATCGTTTTTTTCTAGCAAAAAAGCAGCATGGGAGTTTTCAGTAACATTTCTTTCTTGTAAATGGAAATTATTCAGTGAAATAAAAGTATGAGAGTATTTAAAAATGACACGCTTCTGAATTGAGCTTGGGCATTTAAATGCACGAGCAAATGATACCATATATAGTTCAACATTACATGGTAAATGAAGCAAATGACTTAAAAAGGAGTTTAGTACAAGATGCATGACATTAGTAAATATGTAAATACTTAATGCGCTTTTTATCTCTGACGCTAAACAAAAGACTTAACTTTCAATCTCTACAATGCCAGATAAAATGAAAACATTTAATTTTCGACTATTTCATAAGCTTGCACGTGCAACCTACAAATTTAAACGATTTTCCTTTCGTGAATCACTGAACTCAGTCCAGACTAAATTAGAGTATGATTATTAGCAAACTAACATTCACCTCATTGCTATTGATTAAAAACGTTGCAGTTAGATGCATAAAAGCTGTAATTTTTTAATCTCTTAGTTTAATCTTCTCTTACTTTAACCAATTATTTAATGAAAAAGAACTTTATGTTGGAATTTAATTTGAAAAATTTTTATAGGATATATTTGATGCAGGAATGTGTATGCTCTTATGTTCAGGTACATTGAGAAATCTACAATGATAATATCTGCATGACCGCTGACAAAGGGAAACAATTTTAATGGCTCAGAAAATCCATTCTTTTCAGCTTTTAATTATCTTCAGTTTATTTATTTGATTTCGTTATCAAATTAATACTATAACTTATGAAAGTTATATCTAATAATCTGTTTATATGTGAGATTTAAGATCTTTCATTCTATCATTTATTCAAGATTCGTCGTTATATAGGCAATATACATGTCTTTATGCTAATTAGTTACTTTATATTATAGATTTCTTTGCTGTTTGAGGAGAGACCATACGAGATTGTTAAGGATCCAAGGATTACTGTTCAGGATCTTATTAATAGGATGCCAGAGGTAAAAGTATTACTTTATAAAATCTTGAGCTAATATCGTGATTATCGAATAACAGTAATTATCTTCATAATTTGAGGTGCGGAAAGTCTGGGGAATTTCTTTTCTCAAGAACTCAAATTTCAATCCGTATTTGATAATACTTGAAAGTGACTTGTGCTTTAAGCTGTAGAAAAATATCAAGGATGAGCCTAAGTAAATTAATTATTGCTTATTTTCGTATTACTGTCAGTTGCTCTTAAGCTTAAAACTACAATAAAGGATTTCTAAAATAAATGTGAATATGAGAAATCAGCATTTCTTCTGAAGGTTGTAAGTTTGAATCACATGTAATATTTTGCTTCCAAATCTTCCATACGTCCAAATATTATTCCATTAGAGTTAATTTATTTATCTTATATACATTGCATACCCATTGATAATAAAATTTTCATTTCTAGATGGGAATTAACCTAAAACCGTGAAGAATAATTTTAATCATAATTCGAAAGCATTCAATGCGAGAATACTGTCTACAAAACTTTACTAAAGTAAAGCCTTATCTACAAAAAATAAAACAGATAAGGAATACGGTATCACGATATATACATTTAAAGCAAAGAAGCAAAGTGTAAAGAAAAGAAACGGTGGAAAATATTAGATGAGTATTGGATCAGTAATATAATTTTGCTATCTTGAATTGCCTAATTTCAGTGCTGAGTATTAAAATTGGTGTACAATGAATGAAGCACAGCGAAACTGAAATTTGCATGAAAAATGAACGCGCTGGGTTATGCGATTGACTAGCATTTTACAACGTGCGGCACTGCAGACAGGAGGAAAGACTTTTCGAAGCAGTAAAAAAGGCGAATCGAATTATCTATTTTCAAGTTGGTAAATCGTGATTGATAGCTATTTTTGAATTGGAAGTTGCGTTTTCGCTTATATAAGAAGAAGGAGGAACTCATACAAACGCATCTCAGATCTACGTCGTGTGTACCAGGACTGATGATTACCGTACTAGTCTATTCCTGATCGTGCTGGTCGAGGTCTAGTAATGTTACGGGAATTTGCAATGATCGTCATAAGTATCTGCAGTGGTCTCGTGTGTGATCTCAACAGCCCCCTTCCACTGGATAATGTCAGAAGTCACGATATGCATTTCGCAGTTAGGTATTCTACAGACACATCACATAAGCTGTGTGAGGAATACATCACATACGCATGTCTTCCCGTCCAAAGAGATTTGCAAGCAGTGTTTGAGATTAAATAGGGAAGTATTCTAACCACACTAGCCGAAATTTCTGCTGAACCCACTTAATTGAAGTGTTGTTTAACTGAGAGATAAATGAATGAATTATAAATAGCTCTTATCAGCTATATAAATAGTTTATTCCTGATCTGAATAATCAGATTTTCGCTAGTTTGAGTTTTATAAATGCGGTAACACCTGTCTTGTCACACTCCAGCAGCTTTTCAAATGTCACTGTTTTCAGAGAAATTGTTAGCAATTTTACTGGACATTTAAATAGGTATTTGCCATTTACGGTAGATTTTGCAGCTTCATCTACGTTTTCATTGCCCGGTATTCCTACATCAGTCAGGACCCAGACTATGTAGACGGAACTGAGAAGAATACTGCAGGAGTATTCGTGTTAACTCTTGTACATAGCAGCTGCTGTTCTTAATCCTTTTAATAGCCTCAAGACTTAAAGTAGAGTTAAAACGATATCCACTTTCCTCCTTAGTTGTGGTATTGAATATTTCATGACAGATTTAATGCTGTTGTTGCTGTTTGAAAGACTAAGTTCAGGATATCCAGTTTTCTTCTCCATGTTTTGATGAGCTGGTTTCCTTGCATCGTGCAGTAAGGAATTCCATCTTCTTTTTCTCTCTTTGAGCCATTCGTAAGTAGGAAGAGATTGTTCTCTCTGGGATGGGCATACTCGAGCTGTATAGTGAGGGTTATTTGCCTAAGGCAAAGAGTATCTTCGTAGCGGACGTGCAGGAAACTTGCTTTTATTTACGTTACACATAACAAAACCACAAGGAGAGCTAAGTTGAACGGGCAGTGGACATATCGTTCAAATCGCTTACTTCAGGGACAGCTGATTTTTACTCGATTAGTTTAGCGATCAAATTACGATAACCATGTTCCCGAGTTCTATACTCGGCAGCTCAGCGTCAACCAAAAACACTGATTTTCACTCTTCCCCTTTATTTGGCAAACACATCGCCATTAATATCTGAGTAGACAGTAGCAACTGATTCATAACATTAATTATAGAAGCCACGAAATTGTGAAGGTCTAAAAGAAGCTTGCGCCGCCAGATTAGTATCTAACAGCCGCACACGTTCCAACAGACCAGTGTCTCTCAACTATGTCTACGTGTACAAAATAAGCTCGCTCACGCCACTATACAAGTCATCTATTAAAAAAAATCACACTTATCAAATTGAGGTGCGGAGACGAGGTTACGGGGCTTTGCGCTTCCCGCGCAGGGATATTATCGCTAAATTCGCTCACGTCAGAGACGACTTTTTTGATTCTACTAGTTTCGTGGTGACGCGCTACAATATAGATGTTCCCGAGTTCTATTATGTGACTAAATAGGAACAATTGATTCATAATGCGAATAATAGATGCCGCAGTAAGATTGGCAAGGTCCAAGCAAAAATTTCAGAGACGGTACAAACAATCGCCGCCGCACGCGTTGCCAATCAAACAGCCAGCCCTTTCGCTTGGGTTTGAAAACGAGACTAACTACCAGTACTCATCAGTTTTTAACCACTCCTCAAATCTTTAACCCAGTTTTCCTATTGTGTCTTTTTACTAGTCACAAATGTGAAGCTTTGTAACCATTATGCAACCATTTGGCTAGATGTATATTTTTATTTGCATTTTTCTGATTTTTTAGTTGCCTGCACTCAGAGCTTGGTTTCGCGGAGAGGATTTAATTACTGTTCGATTTTTAAGTCTGTAGTTGTGGGACTTAAAGTTAGAAGGATTTTTGGATGCCCTCATTTGTTGTTAGAACGGGTGCATCCCAATACAGTTATAAAACGAACTTCGTTCGTCAGGCGGGCCGGGCTGCCTGCAGATTTGCTCGCTTTGCAAGTGGTTGGACCTTTTCGCCTTTGATTTCATTTCTGATACCAGAAGTCCTTACGCCTTCAGCTTTTGTCTTCAAATTTGACCAGAATTGCTGCTCATGTTCATATTAAACATAACAATTTAACGAAAACATTCTGAGCGGCATAGTCATTTTCAGCTTCAGCGTTTACTCAACAATGAAAACGTATGTGTGTTCCCCGTATCTTATGCTAAAAAAATCGAAGTATCTATAGCTTAGACGCACTTAGCTGTTCATTGTTTATTACTGTTTAACAGTGATTTTATCCAAAGCATTGTGTACAGTGAGCTTTTGATTTATTTTGTTATTTATTTTGTTAACTTTGTTGCTCAGTGATGCACTAAGTATCTTTTAATTATTCTAAGCTTTATTTAATATTATTTATTTATTATTTAATTTCGTTTAATCTTATTCCAGATTTTAAAATTTGTAGGCAACTTTAAAGTTGGATTTAATTTCTAATTTTTAATTCTTCTATCTCCTTCCCATGCAATTTATACCGTAGCAAGTTTTACGCGTTCGCTTATTCCATTCGTTACAGAATTAGAGGCATACTTGTATTTGAGAAAAATCTTAAAATTTAAGTTAACAGACTAGTTTTCCCTGTTTGTCACGTTCAAGAATCATGTGACTAAATGGGAACAGCTAACAATTTGCATAACGTGTTGGCCGATATATGCACTAAAACTTACGAAAGATGCGAAAGAACCCTCAAGGTGGCGTATTTTCTCCGCAGAGTGTTATATTTCTTTCAAAAGTTATGCTTAGAAAGACCCATGCTTCATGCTAGTATGAAATAAAATATATAAGATTTTGATGACAATAAAAAATATTCTTTCTAAAATTAGCAGGAAATTCCAGAAATCACATAACTTGGCAGATGCTGATAAAATGACAAAAGTTGAAAAGTATTTCATAAGAAATCAGATTCATCTCTCATGGTTTTTAATACAATATCAAGTTGATTATAGTTTGTAAATCTGTATCGCATTTTCTAATTCATATTCTTCTAAATTTTATTTTGCTGCATAAGTTTTGTAAGGTATGTTAGAAACCTTTAAACTGTTTAAAATTTTGCAACGTATTAAAATTATTAAACTGTAAAACAACTTTCTTTTACTTCTTTATAGGTAGAGTGGCGTTACTTCTTAAACAACATAGTCATGGAACCAATCAATGAAAAGGAATATTTAATAATTAAAGATCTAGATGCCCTTGAGAAAATCGTCCGTTTGACCAATGAAACTAGTCCTAGGTAAGCGAAAAAATTACATTCTAAAGCTTGTTTAGTATATAAGGAATTATAGAACACTCCAGTGCAGGCTCTCGCGTTGTCACTTCCAAGTAGCAATCGGAAGATAATTGGTTCGAGCGTGTTTTTCTTATTTCACGGCTTCGAAAACCTAATGTTCTCTATAATACGATCTCGCTGGAATGAGGTGGACAATAATCCTCACCCCCTGGACTCCGTTTATGTTTTTCTCTCCGCAGTCATAATTTACGTGGGGAAGAATACAAAGAAATACTATATTCCGCTGTGTGTGCAGTCATGGCATCAACAATGGAACTGCAAAAAAATCGATTTCAAAGCAGTATAAAAAAAGAAAATCAATCAGATTATAACCAAAAATGGTTTCCAATCAAAATTTTGTAATTTTGAAGCAAATTGTAAAATATGAAGGAGGTTTTGACATGGTTTGGGGGGATTAGTCTAATAGTCAGCTGCATTAGATTAATCAGCTATCTATTCTTAACGGGAAGGGAGCATTGAAAATGGTAGTTACAGAGTTGGTGCGATAACATTCTTGCTGAAATGCAGGAAACTAGCTCACAGCTAACCTCGCCGACTCAAGGATCAACAGGGGATATCAGCAGTAAATGGTGAACACAAGCCGCATACATACTTCATAGCGTCAATGGAGAGAGTTTCCTACATTTTCTAACACTCATACAACTGATAAAGCTGCAACGGTGGCAGAAAGTGATGAGATAATCAGCGTTTTCAGTGGCACTCGATTAGATGTTGCTCGTGAGATGTATCACTGAAAGAGTTGAAACAGGGGGCAGTCCCGGAAGATATTGAGGCCTAGGTATTTAGAATGCAGCGTTCAAAATAGAAATTCGGAATTATTATGTTTAAGTAGCTTCATAGTTCATGGTAAAAACTCTTACGCAGTCACCATATGATTTATCGCATAGTTTCTAGACCATTCTGCAACATACCCGCAAGTACACTGCAGAAAAATAATATCCAGCTGTTCTGTCGATGGCGAAAAAAAAGTCACATACCCCCTATATGAGGTGCAGCAGAAAACAAAACCCAATTAAGTAGCTGTCACTGTTCCACACCGAAATATTCGCAGAAAAGAAAGCAGCAGCATACACTTATACACAGTATGCATTAAGACCTCTTGAAGGAAAAATTAGAATTTAAAATGTAAAAGATACATTTAATGAAGTAATTTATATTGAATCAAATTCTGTATCTTTTATCGAAATTTTGGTGAAAAATCTCCTTGTTTTAGCATTAAGTACAATCTAAGCAGCATTTCAAAAGACAGGATAAAATTTTAAGGTAAAATACACACAAACAAACATTTTTCTTCATGGAATGCAACATAACTGCGATTAACTTAAGCAAGAAGCTTGTAATAAATTTTTAGCTCAAGTAGCGAAACATTTTACTTTGCTAAGACGCTAAATATGCCTATTCAAAGCAATAAACACTTCTTCGAATGTATTTAATAAGCTGTAATTGCAGCAGTTCCACAACAGCTTTAAATTCTTTTCATACATATTTCTTGGTTGGAAATCTGGTGGAAGAAGTATTAAAAACATAACTCGTCAAAATAATTCATTTGGTAATTGAAAAAATAAACTTTAGGTTTAGAAATATATTTTTGACAGGTTCTTTTCCCAATATAATGAAGCTTTTCTTTTTACCAGGGATTGAAATAATGGGAAAAAATATAATACATGTTAATGTCCTTTCTTCTGAGTTTCAGTATCGAGAGAAGCTGAATATTTATTACTGCACATTTCGAAACAATTTTTTCGGAAAAGTGCTCAATTGTTTTTCATATTAATTGTTCTTCACGCATAAAAATTTAATATGTTTATATATTTGGCGTTTCATTTCCCATAGCCAATCGCCTGCCAAAATTACAACAATATACGAAGATGATTTAGTTTGAAAAAAATCTCTGATCAGATTTCGGAGCTTTTACTTCGTCTCTTGTTCCAAAACGAATTTCCGTGGGCTATTAAAATAATGACACAAATTATTTGAACAATTAAATTAACGACTATGATACATATTATTACGTGCTTACGTGATTGTAATGGATTGAATGCTCACAGAACCGATGATTGATTTAATTTATTTTTCTAAACATAATAGAAATATTTGACAGTTCTAAAAATTTTCACATAAAAGTATTCGTATATCCCTTTTCAGTGGGACAGAGCAGTATCAGTAGTTACCCTTTCAAACCACTAAGGACATTATAAAAGTTTAGTTCTAAATCATTAACAAATTAAAAACTATTGTAATAAATTCTACAAAGCTGATGAGCAGAGTTGTTAGTGGATAATTTTGACATAACTTCTGAGAAGATTTTAGAATTTTGGAAAAGTATTTTGCAAATTCTGAGCAAAATTGAGCAATTTGGAGAAATTATTTAACGAAATAATGTTAAAAAATAAAAATGAAACTAAGAAAATAATAAATCTAATGAATAAATAAATTTAATAATAATAGTAATAAATTTAATAAACAAATAAAAAATATTGGTCCATATAAAATGTCTCCGTAGTTTTTTGGTACATTTTTTAACAAAAATTTTCTTCATTGAAAATAAATTTCAATCAAGTACTTATTAACCATTATTATCTATGACCTTTTGTCATTTTTCGGGTAGTTTCGTAATTTCATCGGTGTAGAACTTCTATGGTATATTGTCGAAAAACTTGGCCAAGTGATTTTCAGCGGGGCTTCGGTAGGCCAATTTTTTACCATCTAGAGTGTTTTACAGAGACTGAATCAAATGGTAGTCAGACGGTGCAAGTCTGGGCTATATGATGGAAGCATTAAAACTTCCCAATCAAGTTCCGTCAATTTGTTCCGAGTCATCGAATGTCTGTGTGGCCACACATTGTCATGATGGAACACAGCTTCCTTTCTGTTGGCCAATTCTAGTCATTTTTTCTGGATTGCTTCGTTCAAATGCTTGAGTTGTGCAGAGTATAGGGCCGAATTGATGGTTATGCGAGGTTGCAGCAGCTTATAATGGACAGTTCCTCATGTGGCACTCAAACATCGAGCTTTTTTCTGTAGTCTGCTCTTTGAAATGATTCCAAACTGTCATGTGGTTGATGTTTAGTGTCTTCGCTATTTCCTGACAGCTTGCGTGCCGGTTTTACTCCACCAGTTGCAAAAGTTCATCGACGTTTTCAGTGACTGGCCGAACAGAGTGAGTTGCATCTTTGACATCGAAATTTCCGGAACGGAATCGAGCAAACCACTCCTGGATCCTTCGTTCACTCACAGCATTCTCAACGTACACTTCACAAATTTTTCGACATGTTTTTGCAGCGTTTTTACCTTTTTTATAGTAAAAAATCGTGACGTAGCGTATTTCTTCAACTATTTCACTCATTTTCAAATCAGTATAGCTTTTTATACAAGCAACGAATTAGAAAACTATCTTCACAAGCAATGGAAGATGAATGTCACCTTTTAAACACATGTTCGTTTGAGACGGTCGGGTGAGTGGTGCCGGATATATAGGCAGCAACAGTGGCAAAAAACCGTGGAGACATTTTATATGACCTAATAAATAAATAAACAAATACGATAATGATAATAATTTCTCATGGTAAAATTTCAAGTAAAGGGTGTAGTATGCGATGCACTGCTTATATTTGTTACTTATTTCTTAGATGGCGTCATCAATCACTATTTTTAAATTAAATAGAAGTATATAGAAATGATATAACAACAATCAATTTCAGTCCCGTCATTTGAAAAATAAGTAACTAACTGAAGGTGGTGGATCACATAATTACATCATTACCAAATTTTAAATGCCGTCATAATGCCTTATGTGTCTTATTTGGTAAATTTCCTAATGCAGATAATTTAACCAAGTCTTCTCTACTACTTTCCGTGCTATTAAGAGCACATGCTATAGGAACTCAACAAGGAAGCAACAGGTGCAAATGTGCGAAACTGTGATAAATTCCGTAATTTAGTAGTTTGTTACCTTTCAGAGTGGTGGCAAATTATATGATATGGAGAGCTATTCATCAGTCACTGCCGTTATTGTCAAAGGACTGGAGAAATTTAGACCGCAGGACAATAGATAACCCACTTGCCCTAGATACCCAACATCGTTGGCAATACTGCGCTTCCTTCCTTACGGATAACTATTTGGGAATGGCCGTCACTTCATACTACGTACGACACTATTTCAAAAATGAAAGCGTGAAAACTGTAAGTGATAAATCCATTCATAAATTAACACATTTGATAGTGTAAAAACTGTATGCATGAATGTATATTGTTTTGGCTGATTAAAAAATTCAATGTCTCATTAATTGAGTATTTACTTATTTTAGAAACAATTAATCTATCATTTACTGAATTAATTCATTTCATCAAATTGCTAATTACATAAATAAAGCTGATCGAACAAACAGTGTTCATGGTCAAAGGTAGCGTAGTTCACCATCCGTAACTACATATATCTGCAAGCTGAATATTTTCAAGTTATTCATAAAATAATTAAAATACTCTGGTAATAATCAGTTATTTATTTTCTATCATTTTTTAAAATTAGTTAGCAAACATTATATTTGTTATGCATTAAACATATAAATAGTTTGAATAAAAATTAAAAAAACGATGAAAATTTAATTTTTTCTTCAAAATAAATGAAAATAACATAATATGTAATGAAGTGTCAAGATTTTCATCTTAAAATATTTAAAAGGTGATTAGTAATGCGGTTTCGTATTACCATGTGTAATGAGAGCCTGCAAGTTTATCTTACAGATTTTACAGTAGCATAACTACCATTTTTAATGTTCTTAGATTTAATAAAGAAATTAGAGTAATTTTAAATTTATGTTATTTCTGTAAGGACTATAAGAAGTAGAAAAGTTAAAACTTTAATGGATCATTATTCCTAAACAGTATCCTGATATTATAACGAGTTTAGTTAGGTGAGAATGCTTTTTAGATGTTGAACGTGTGAAAACTTACTTTGACGCTTATGCGTTTCTCATGAAATATGATCTGAGGAATGTTATTTATTGTAAAACAAATAGTGTTGCCGTTTACATTAAATTTTAATCCACGACTAGACTCAGCATCAAGGTTTCCAAATTAGAAATTTTATTTCAAAATAAAGAACGGTTATTGGAAAGCCATATAAAGAATCATTACTCTATGAATTTTAGAATCTAAAGAAAGTTTAGACGACTTATCGCCCCGTCTTAATTCCGAAGTAGAATAACACCAATTCAGAAGAAAGTTCAAAACAAATCTTTTTATTTACTATCCAGTATCACGACTACATAACTTATTTAATAACAGAAAATCAAGTTTCCGTATCTTCGAAGAAAAGCAGAACAAGGTCACAAATGCTCATCCAGAGCAAGTGCTCAAGCTATCCATCTATTTCGAGGTAACTTCATCTAGCAAAGTTAAAGTCGATTTAAACAATTTAAACGATTTAAACAACAGTTGCAGGGAGAAGCAATAGAGTGACTGTCAGCGGTAGCTGCCAAAGGCTGTCTTTCGAACTCAAGAAAATATGCGCTTAGGAGCATTATCTAACTTGCAAAAAAGCCCGGTAAATAAGAAGAGGAAGAAAACGAGGATTTACTATTGATAAAGTGTCTAGGAAAGTGTGACATTTCAGTGTTTTCAGAAAAAGACATGAAAATTTTCAAAACATGCGATGCCGAATTTGTTATATGCGAAGATCCGAATAATATTGCTGTTGTGACAAATATTAGAATAAGAAATCTGACGCTAACGCTTCTTCTTTGGATGTTCATGAAAATATATACAGCACGCAGAAAGTAAATTCCCTACTACAATGGAGGCCAAAACCTACAATGTGTGCCATTAGCAAGTATTTATTCACACAAACTATGGTAACTGAAAGTAACGAAGCCTTCTGATTATTCCTGCAATCCAAATCTGGGATAGCTACGTTTTTAAACTTTTGATAATTGATACTCAAAGCCGAACTCAAGGAACTTAGGGTGAACGGCCAAACGCTTTCCTCTCAGACATTTGTCAGGAGTGGACAAAATTGTCGGTCATTTAATTGTCTCATTACAGAAAGCTCGCCTACAGGTAACAGACTGATGTTAACTCGCAAGAAAGGGATGACAACACAGAGCCTTACGCTAGATTCTCACTCTTATTCTGGCGTTAAACAGTCAGCCTCTGCTATATGTACAGTCCACAGTGAACCACTGAGCACCATAAAATTCAGATTGGCGCTTTAATTACCAAGACTTCGCACAAAGCTTTGAATTAGTACCCTACGAACTGAAGGGTGACAGCAATGATGTAAATTGGATATAATATTTAGGAACTCAAAATAATTCACGTATTTCACCTCCTAGTATTTTAGCCCAGGTTCTAAACTTATCAAAAATGTTCACAGAAATTTCCTCTTTCTCAATGTTCAGAAAACGAGCTTCCCTAAATTTTAAAATGCATCCGTCCACGTAATGATAGTTTTCGTCTTAAAAAAAAAAACACTCAAGCCTACTAAAACTTCCTGCAAAGGTCACACCGAACCTTTCCCTTTTAATGTTTGAATTTTATGCCAGCCTAATACAAGAACCGACTCATCCCAGCGAAGCAAACACGAACTATCATTCAGTCTACGTTTTCGGTAAGTCAGTTGCGCATTCACATTCTATAATAATTTATGGATGATTTGAAGCAGACACAACAATAAGAAAGGACGAGATTCAAGTTACAAGGAAGGAGAAATGATGATATCATATTAGACATTGTAATGTTAACATTACTATGTATTCTTACTGGAATGTCGGTTTCTTTTAAAGAAATTGTAGAGACATTGGGTTAATTGGAAGCAGAAAAGATGAAACATTTGCAACTGCCTTCGCCGGGAATCGAACCACGGACCTCTGGAATACCGGCCCAGCGTGCAGAACCACTACACCCCGAAGGCACGCTAGGGAAGCGGGAGATATGCCTTATAAAATAATATAGGGATAGTTACTTGCAGTTGATTTATAACTATTTTTCATTTGTTATATTCTTACTGTAAGCCCATCTATCGAAAATTTAATTATTAGCATACTTTTTTCCCTCATGATTTTCGAGCGATAAAATTACTAATAAAAAAGGGGGAGGAATACACGAGGAAGTATGGTACATTCACTTATTATACTGAAAACACACGGATGATTTGATTTTAAACATGTGTATTCGCCAAAGTATAATTAGCTTTTCGCAAATTTGGAATTATCGTTTTTTTCATATAATATTTTGTTGCTTAATAACTTACATTTGCAGCAAAAACCTCTGCTCAGACATAATACAGATTTCAAACGTTTTTGATGTGAATTATTTTATACTTATTTATAGTTCTCGTAGCTATTACATAGTCCCTTCGGAAGATTTAATAATTATTTAAATAATGTTCGTTCCATCAATAACTGACAATAATGCTCGTGTAAAACAATTTTTTTTTATATATTTTAGGCACACAGTATGACTGAATACATTCACGAAGCATTCATCAAGATGCTAGGAAGGGCTCGTTGGATGGATGAAGAAACTTTTGCAGAAGCACTAGATAAGGTTTTATTAACGTTTTCTGTCTTTCCTCATATTATTAATAAAAATATATGTTATAAGATAAGCATAAAATCATTGTCCGAAAAAACTGTAATAATACAGCAAACTTATAGCATCTACTATTAGATCTGAAAGTATTTGGGTTATTGTAACATCTTCAGCTAGCTCTGCGCTTCTAATTATTGTGTGCTCATTCTGATGAGGACTACGGAAATGAGAAGTTATAATACTTTATAGTACTAATCGTTTTAAATCATACTAATCGGTTAATTAACATAAAATACCTTGAAAACCACTGAGCAATTTCCAAAATAAAACTTATTTATTTGCTTTCACTTTCCAGGCTTTGACTATATCGTATCACATTGGATGTTCAACTGAACTTTCGAATTATACTTTTGTCTCTGATACATACAAAAATGTAAGTATCTTAATATTTAATAGCTTGTTTCCAGAAATTTTAAACTAATGAAATATAGGACATTTTTAGAAATTGTTTGTAAGTATAATTTAATTCTTTTTGCAGCTATATATGAACGACAGAAGTTATTTTGATAATGCACTGAGCGTCCGTAAGTGGGCAACTAACAAATACTATTCTCAGCTTCGGAAACCTAAGATAACAAAACAGTATGTAACATTTAAACAATTAATAACCACTTTTTTATTTTTATGATTTTAATAAAGGTTGCAAAATAAAGTAAAAAATAAATCTTTAAAACTATTGATAATCTAGTTGTTACAAATGTAAGATGCCTTTTTTTCTGCTCTTGTGTTTTTGACGAGGGAAGAATTTTCTGCTTATGCTTATCCTAAAAGAAAATCACCTTAAAAATATTTGCTTATTTCGTTAGTTCTAAGCATCACAAAGTTATAATCCATGCGCGATAATGACAAGGACAGCCGAAATTAGTAACAAAAAAGATTAAACATCTATTCCTAACATTAACCGACAATTTTCACGCAGTATGACTCAGCTTAAAGAGAAAAATCGTTTTGGAAGATTTGTAGATATGCTGAAAACTTTGTATTTTTGCAATACTCAAAGAACCGTTTACTTAAAGAACCATCAAATGTACTCAAAGAACCATCAAATGTACTCAAAGAACCATCAAATGTACTCAAAGAATACTCAAAGAACCATCAAACACATTTACTAACAAACCATTATTACAAATCCATAGCAGAAAATAGTACAGGTGGAATTTCTAAACAAAGTTAAGGGGTTATCACATCTAGCGACATTTCCTGTTAGACGGGACTTAGAATCTGAGAAACAAGATTCTGGTAGCAATGGTTTAAGCGGGAGGATTCCTAGAAGGAAAAGGCTCCGCTGGAAGCATAGTCCCGCCTAGCTACGGAAACCATGTCCCGACTACGCGGGATATTTTGAAACTTCGCCGAAAATGTTTGCTGCTCTGTCTTGCCTAGAGATCAACCAATCAGAAGAAATTTCTGCTTCTGAAGGATCACGCAATCCCATTCTGAATGATAATCGATTACTTTTTGGCATTTAAGTCTTTGTATAAGTGAAAATGGTAACCTAGCTACGTGAGTTTCCTGGAAATGTCCCTTTCGACGTCCACGAAGAAAAAAAAAGGGATAGAGACTTAAGTGTCCTCAGAAGGTCGAAGAAAATATTAATTCGTTTTCGTGTTTACAGCTTTTTCATTATCAACCATCCACAATTAGTTGTTCTTTACCTAAATAAAAAAAAATCCTTAAAAATCGGTATCCTTTGTGTTCAGAACTAATCCTGATATAATTTTAAAAATATGCGATCGGTTCACTTGAAGAAGAAATGCATATCGATAGAATTTGTATAAAACTGAACTGAAGTAAACATAAAATGTCGAATTTTTAGTCTCTCCAGACATAGTAAGTTAATGACATAGCAAGTTTCATCAATAGATGGCGCCAATAGCTTAAATTCCTGCCTCTCATTATTACAACCTGAGCACAGGCTTCTCTTCCGTAATTTGCGCATCTGCAGCTGAAGAAGCAGATTTTTGTGTTTAAACCTTCGAAATTAGTACTGCAAATTTACGAATATTAAGCAGATTCTTTTTGCCTAAATATCTTCAATAGTGGTAATTTGATAACAGTTATACAAAATTAGCGTTTTTGTAATATACGGATTGTCTTTCAAAAACCAGTATTCGAAAATTTAATAAGCTTAACTACCTTTATCATAATCTTCCCTCCTTTTTTGTATATTATCACTATATATACTATTCCTGTTTTTCTTTAATATTTCTATAATTTGATTTAAATTATCTCTAATTTCGTCCTAACGTTTCTCTAACGTTCTACATATAGGTAGGCGCCTTGGATACTATTGCACGTTCGTTTGAGCATCTGTGTCTGTTTATTTGTTGGCAAATAAATATGAATTATTTTTGTATTGCTAAGACTTTGTTTTTATGAACTTCTTTATTTACATATTTATTTAAATAATTCACATTTTAGAGTAATTATATATATATTTTTTGAATTTGTGACCACTTGGCTTGTATGTGTTTTTTCATATAATATAGCATATATTTTTCAATTCTATTACTTTTCGAATTGTCCTGCTAGCTCAAAAAGAACTGAAAAAAATTTCTTTCAAAACCTTTGTTTCAATTTCTGTTGCCATGTCGGTAATAAATGGTGATTTCTCTCCATATTTGGAACATTCTGAAAATTTTCGCAAAAGGCACTTTTGATATCCTAGAACCGTTTTACTTTTAATACTTTCATAAGTGATTTTCCCGTCTCCTGAAGAAACCCTTCAAATAAAAGGCTGTAAGCAGTAATCACTTGCATCAGGCCTGTAATCAGCAGTACCCAGATCCTTAGGGTGACATAACATCGCGATTACTGTTTTGGACTATGGCTTCGCAAGAAGAGAGTTTGATAATCAACGGTATTAATCGTGTGTTAAAGATAATTTCACCTTTCCTTTCATTGTTTCCTTGGAAACGTATTCCTGTTTATCTTTCTGAATGAGCTAATGTTTATCACTGGCGTCTTCCCTATGCGGCACCCAATAATAATATGGTTACGCTCATCTAATCCTTTACGTGCGAATTTTTGCACATGACACCAGCAGTATTTTCTTTTATTTATTGGAGATGGGCAAAACCGATCTTTTATGGGATCAGATCAGAATCGTTCACTACCTGAAATGAATATGCTCTTTTTTATGATTCATCACTCATTAGCAATAATCTTGATGAAAAATTCGGGAATGAGGAATAAATCAAGGCCGGCTAGTTAGGATAGAGAAAAAAACCGAAAGAGCAATGGAATCGAAACAGTCAACTCAATGAAATGCTAACTCGCTGAACTGATTTCTTATAGTTTTGAGATTCCCTAAAACTTCATTTCAGCATAAAAATCGCAGTCAAAATTCTAGCGTGAAAAATCTTAAAAAATTACAAAATGAGGAAAATTAAATTCGCTTTTAACATGGTTTTGGCTTTGATTTATTTAATTACGGCAAAGCACTCGAGGGCTTTCTGCCTAAGGGTAGGTATACCCTCGTAGAGGACTTTCTAAGGGGAACCGACTCGTATACACTTTACACATAGAAAAAAACCACGAAAACGCCCCTGCAGCCAACCCATTCACTGGGAATCGAACCCCGGAACAAATTGCCAGTGCTTTTAACATGGGAGCATAAATATTCTTTTCTCTCCTGAAATGGGTATCTTGCATTGCTAGCACATAAGAGCTTTCGTTGAATGAACTCTGTAAGAACCACCGGACATTTCTTACGAATCAGACTTTCGCCTGCTCGGTAAAGCAAATCAGTTCGTGGACGAATAAGCACTTTTTTATCATTTCGTCTAAAAAATAGCCCCATCACATTTTGAAGCATTAGCTTATGCTGTTTATATTTTCTGGAATTAATTTCATAAGCTTTTTATTTATTCATTTGAATACAAATTGATAAGGAACAAGATATTTTTTAATAATGCTTTTTTTGTCATACAGTAAGTGTTTGCATATTACTATTGTAGTTTGTTTTGTAAAGTAGCTCTAAAAGTTTTTTCTGGAACTTTTTTGGGGAATGATTCATTATTATAAATATGTTACTAAGTTTGCTCGCTAAGATTTTACATTTCTGCAGGCGTTAGGAAAAAAAGTAATTAACAGTACTGCCTTTCTTCCTATATCTCCGAAAGGCGGAGGGTGTCTTTTTAAATTATGTGAAAATAATTCGAAGTGTATTGTTCTCGCAGAATAGTGAAACTCAAGAGTCCGACAACTTTTGGGATTTATTGTAATTATAGATGCATATTAAAAAAAGTTGATGCTCTATATTTAAAGGTTTGAAAGGTTCCTGCAGAATGTTTTCTGCTGGGCCTTCAATTTACCTTCGAAAATTTATATATCCTACCTGAACTGGAAAGTTAATCACAGGAAAAAAACAGATGTTGAGGAAAGTAAATTTTACATTTTTATCAATATATATTTATTTGCAGGTTAGAGAAACATGCAGAAAGAATTCTTGTGAACCCCTTTTATAATCCAAAGGATAACAACATTGGTATATTATTTTTTCTTTCTCAGTTCACATCTGTTATCTTGTTATCTGCTTAATATTAATTTTTAGACGTTGACTTTTTTTAGTATAAATGAGAAGCAGGAATGACTCTAAAAACGTATGATACTAAAAACTAACCATTTACATGAAAATAAATGCTACCGAAGGCAAAAAATTAATTTTTAAGATTTAGAGAAGTAAATACAAGAAGTCCCTCAAAGTAGCTCGTCAAAATTAAATGAATTGAATTGCTTAAAATTCTGTCAGTATCATACAAAAAAATTATTTTTTAAAAATAGGATTATCTATTTAATTTGCCTCTTCGTTCAGAAAGGCAAGGACTCATCTTTATAAAAACTGATATTCTTAATTACATAATTATTTTTGGATTTAATTTGCATAAAATACATAGAGAAGATAGTGGTTTTAAATTGTGTTTTTCTTCAAACTGTAAAACATTTTTTCAACTTGAATTTAAGATTAAACACATAAATATATAAAATCCTTAAATTTTAAATATTCAACCAAATTTTAATATAAGATGCTAACATTCCTTGTTTCTTTTTAAGATACTGATTCAAAGTTGAAAATTAGTTCTATTGCAGTTTTTAACACCCAGGCATTGAAAATAAATTATGATTTTTTACAAGTATCTATAAGATTCTAGTTTCAGAAAATCTTCTTTAAAATATCGTCTGCATAACTTCATGCGTTTTTTTTTTTTTTTTTTTTTTTTTTTTTGAACTACAAACCTTTTCTTGGAATGCGCTTTTGATTTAAAAATATTTTTCTTTTTTATTAAAATACTTGTCTATTGTAGACAGATAATCTCTAATCTTTCTATAAAAATACCTCAAGACAATCTAGCCAGTTCCAGAAAATTTGTATTAAACATTAATTTCCATTAGCATACCATCAATGGATATTAAGATCTGCAAACTATAACTGTAATATTCAAAACTAAAATCTTTTTTTTTCCAAAATAGCAATTTTATAGTTCTATTGTACTTAATTTATACTTAATTTGTCTATGAAATGTAAGCACATAGTTTTATATTACTATTTGCAATATATCTCTTCTACAATGTAACGTAACTAATTTTAAAAGAAACAGAACTGAACATTTTCGGACTACTGATACAGTTCCAAAATATTAAATAGACTCAAGTCAGGCTTTATCTCTGTTTATTTATTTAACTTTCAAAATAAATAAACAGAGATATAAACATTGTTATTCTTCAAAAGCATTATTTTTTGCAGTTGTGCATGCGGGAATATTCCAAGATCCATATTTCAACCCTGATCAACCAAAGTAAATTTTTATTTTATTTCATGTATTTCTTTAATTTTAATTTAACTGAATTTCGCTTAATTATTTAACTTCAAATTGTTTTTAATGCTGAAAATGTCTTCTAACTGATTCGAATATTTATTTCAGTTACCTGAATTTTGGAGCCCTCGGATCATTGATTGGTTTTGCATTGGCACATGCCTTCTATGACAAAGGTAAATCAGTTATTAATGTAAAAATAGCACCGAATAAGAGGAATAACAAAACACACCACATATATTTCGCCCTGAAAGTTAAAAAACATCTAAAAATTACTATAGGAAACCTTTAAAATATACTCATTTTCAAATATAACATAATGTTAAGGAAGATTAAAAAGATTACAACGATTTTCAAATATAAACAGTAACAAGTGTATAAAATATTTTCTCCCTCCTTTTCCCATGTTTTTGTGATGTAACTGTAATCATACACGACGCGTATTCGAGATATTCAGATTTCGAGTCCTAGCTGGAGGACACTGCTCATTTTTCACGCGTCCTTCTTCAAAAAAAAAAAAAAAAACCTGATGACTCTACAGGTGGCTGCCGAACTAAAAGTGGCCGACGATAATTCGTCATCGCCAAGATTTGACGATTGTGCCCCCTAATTCGCAGTCGCCCTTTAAAAGCAAAAGCATGTAAGTTATTTTCTACCTCCTTTTGCATGCCTTCGTGATATAATTGGAAGCGTACTCGATGCTTATTCGAGAGGTCCAGGATTCGAGTCCTGGTGAGGGCATTGCTCATTTTTTAAGTCTCTCTGCTTAAAAAAATGCTGAAACGCATTTGCTTCAGCGCTTAAGGAATACATTATCCCAGAAGAATAAAAGAATTTGTTGACCCATTTTCGCACAGAACAATAACTTGCTTCTCAGACCTGTGTTTAATTTTCAAAATTTCTTCTGTCTTCTTCAAAAGACTTACACTCTAGATCGACATACACTCTAGATCGACAGCAATAGTCATTTTTAAAGTGATTGATTTAAGTCTTTAATCAATCTAAGACATAGTGAAAATTTTGTTGTTCAAAAGAGTGATGATGATTAAGTAATTAAGTCAATAGAAGAAAATTTGTGTTCGTTTTTAATAATTTATTGCTATTTGAACTTTGATAATCTTTATCTTATTAACTAAAAACGAAATAAATTTTGGTGCACTCAAGAGATAGGTGAGCTTGGCGTTTCTTGTATGCTATTCTAGTTTTGGATGTATGCTGGTAAGCTTAATTTTGAGATTCGCACATACATCAAGTCGAGTTCAATGCTTTGTTTATATTTAAGTTAGTTATGAAAATCTTTTCTCATATAAATGCGTGGAAGCAAACTCAATTATAACTTTACAGCACCATTGTACATTTCACTATATTCCGTTTTAACTGATAATGAGGTCTAGAAATTAACGATACCTTCTGTTTGAAATTTTATTTTAAGTGCTGTGTCTTTCGAGATCACATTTAACTGTTTTCAGTATCACTTATGAATCAGTTTTGAATTTTTGTCTTTATTGGAAATCTAGAAGGCCCCAAAGTGCACGTTTCCAGGACCATCTGCAGTTCGCAGATCACAGACTGAGAAAAGCTGATCCTACAGCATAGACGCAAACCTTATTTTGAGTGGCAATTTTTTTATGCCGTATTCTGCCGTCAAATGAAAACTGATTTACTTGATGAATTATTTTTGTTCCTGAAAAACTGATATGCGCAACAAATTATGGTATAAACTTTTACTATAGTTAGAAAGCAAAGCCGAACCTTTGTTAAAATTCTTCATTATCTACCAAATAGCGCATTAATGTTTGTTAAACTACTGCATTTATTTCATGAAACCTTTGATTAAACAAAACTCGATGACAAAATTAATCTCACAGCCAGTACGCAAGAACCAGCGTCTGCAACAATGGTTACAGCCGAAAACATTGCGGCAAAAAGATCGCGGACGATAACGTCGCGGAGAAAACAACGCAAGGCGAAAACGTCGTGCTACAAAACATCGTGGGAGAAAACATCGCAAAGAGAAAACATCGCAGTTCTAAAACATCGTGGTACAAAACATCATCGTCGAAAATAAAGCGGTTCAAAAAACTTCGCAATTTAAAAACATCAGTCGTCGAAAAATATCGTGGTATAAAAAATAAAGTATCTACAAATCATCGCATGACGATAACATCGCAGACATGCTTTTTTCGCAGACATGCTTTAATAACTGTAAATGGATATTCCCATAATGATTTGTGAGCGCAAAAGGGTAAGAAGGATAATTTTTACTTTCATATTTTTTATTAATAATAAATTTTTGCTGAGAAAATAAAAAGGAAACTTAAGCATAGAAAATTAATGCAACTTATAGCACTTAATAGAATTTTAAACCGACATAGTTAACTAACAAAGACCATTAATAAATTAATTTTTTAAAAGTTTTTACTGGTAATTTTTCATAAAAAGTATAATCTATTAAGTTGCATTTAATTTTCTATGCTTAAGTTTCCTTCTTATTTTTTCAGCAAAAAATTTATTAGTTAATAAAAAATGTGAAAGTAAAAATTATCCTTCCTTACATCACTTGCGCTCACAAATCATTATGGGAATATCCATTTACAGTTATTAAAGCCTGTATGAAAAAAGCATGTCTGCGATGTTATCGTCATGCGATGATTTGTAGATACTTTATTTTTTACCACGATATTTTCGACGACGATGTTTTTAAACTGCGAAGTTTTTGAACCGCTTTATTTTCGACGACGATGTTTTGTACCACGATGTTTTAGGACTGCGATGTTTTCTCTTTGCGATGATTTCTCCCACGATGTTTTGTAGCACGATGTTTTCGCCTTGCGTTGTTTTCTCCGCGACGTTTTCGTCCGCGATGTTTTTGCCGCGATGTTATCGGCGGACACCGCAACAATTTAGCATAAACCTAAACGTTGCGGGTAATTCCTAGGGACGGACACCGCATTCAACACGTTAATTGCCCAGCGAGTTAATCAGAAAATCTTCGTCAAACCATGCGCTCTGCTTTACCACGCAGCAATTGATTCTGATTGTATCAGAAGATAAGTAAGTCTATATAACATCTATAAGCATGTCACTATATCTTATATATTATATTATAGCACGTTTGTTTATACATTGTAAGCAGCGTAATATTGTACCTGTAGTCAGCATAATATTGCCATTCGAGAAAGCTTTTTTTTTGGAAAAACCATTGGGTGACCTTGCGAATTATGCTTCTCAAATAAGACTTTATATGGACCTCCCAAAGGCACGAAAAAAACTCAAAAACTACGTTTCGTCCAGACTGCTTTGATCAACTCCAACTTTGTATAGAATATTTCGAAGCATTATATTGTAAATAACTTTTGTTATAAGCCATGTATGTTTCCATTCTACTTATATAATAATGATAATCTTATTATATCATGTGAAATATATTTCGAAATACGTATTAATTTACCTCGTCCTCAAGTAAACACTCAAACAAGTGTCATCAGTATTCCGGCGACTGGGCCAAATCAGAAGTTCAACCTTCTCCAGAATACGAGTGACAGGACTTGATCAGAATTTTTGTCGTCATTCGATTGCGGGTGACGCGACAGTCAACGTGTTAGCATATTAACAAAGGTGATGGAAGGAGAAACCAGCCCTACTATTAACAAATTCAAACATGTTATCAAAGAATCATGATTACTTTAAACTCTTTACAAGATAGAAGGCTAAACATCCCTATTCATAACTGAATGTTCCTCGTGCGTACTCTAGAATAGAAATGGGTTGAAAGATGAGTGCTTGGCTATCATAACCCCCAAAATATAGGGTGAATCGAATGAGTCTGGTGATAAGTATATTTTCGCGGATTAGAATTACTTATCATTAACAACTGTTTATCATTTCCTTTTCAGGATATGATATAACTATTTGTCTAATGTAAATTTAAGTAGTAGAATGGAAATTATGCAAGAAACAAGTAACTTTTGGACTTCCTAAATAATGATTTCAGAAAAGAGAGAGAAAATAAATCTCCTTCTGTTGGTGTTAGAAGAGCTTATAAAAAGATCTTGAGGAAAATCACGATTACAATTCTTCTCAATGAATTCGCTTAGCAGCTGGATTAAAATAATATTTTGTCCAATAACAAATTAAGCCTGATTGCACTTATTACAACATTAACCACGGTACCATGTGGAACGAACACACTATCGTGAAGACTCAGTACTGAATTTTGTAAAACGTCCTTAATTGTAATGATGTTATGTTGGGTAAGTGTCGCTACGAACTGCTAACAAATGTACATGTTATAAGGCAGAAGTGAAACAGCAGTGTATGGAAGCCTTTCTGTAAATATTGGACGCAAAACGTTCTCTTGAGATCATCTAGAATTGATTAAAAAATTTTTTTCACGCTTCTTATTTTCGATTTCCCATTGTAAGAGAATTCTAAGAAAATCATAAAATGCTTATCGAAACTTCCTTTGCATTGACGGAACCAGGTTTGTAAATTTTTTCTCTTCGTTTTCGGTAATGAATATATCTGTTTCTGTTGCAGTCATTAAAGTAAACCTATGGTTCATCAAGGGTCACAGTATATTTCCATTCATCTCCTAGTTTTCATAGTGGGTTCTATAAATTGTTCTGTGTTGACACACGACTCATTAAAAGATTGTGAATATTATTTCTTATTTATTTGTAAATTTTGGTTTATTTTTTTACTTATTATTTCCACAGATGTATTTATATACTTTGCAATTGATTTCTGCTTCGACGGATTTTCTTTTATTACCAAAGATTCATCTTTAGAAGCATTAGGAATGAGACGTACCTTTTTCTGTATTCGTTTGGTGTCTTCTTTCCATGTAGAAGTAATGATGGATGGTTCTTCTCTTTCTGATTAATAATGTTGCTTATTTTGCACTTCTAATTTCAATATCGTGTATTTCAAAACATTTCTGAGTTATGGAATATGAATATTTCTCTTCAAAAAGCGCAAAAACATTTACTTACCATATCTTACTTACGTGTGCAATTTTGAAAGAATAATAAACTTAAAAGCAGTAGTTAATGTAGCTGACCATATTTCTCATTTCAACTAATATACTGTTGCCAGAAATGTAATATACTGTTGCCAGAATTATTCCCAAACATTTCCTTTGTTAAAATTCTTAATCTTAATAGCTCTAAAAATGTTTAAACACCCTCTGTATTTATACGCATTAAAATTCTTAATTTCTGTTTAAGATAGTAATGCTGTGCTTAACATAATTTAAAGTATGAGACATAAATATGACTTTTCCAGTATGATTTTTAATACTAATGTTAACACTGCAGATCGACCGCTTGATAAGGATGGAAATAAAGTCAAAGAGTGGAGCGATTACACAATGGCAAGTTTTAAGGAAAACGCTCAGTGTTTTATAAAGCAATACAATGATTACAGAATTGAATTTTCAGTCGGGCTAAAGGATTATCGATTTATTAAGGTAAGAAATATTTAGTGGATTTCTGCCTTTATATATAAAGAGAGGTTAGAATTTTTGAAGCACGGTAAAGGAAAAATAAAAAGTCAGTAATAATAGCGCCTATTCTTTATAGTCTTTCTTAATTAAAGCACAACAAGGGGTGACGGATTAACATCATAATTATTTTTACTTCGTGTGCCACTGTAGATATTAAGTTTTCTTTTGCCAAGAAGCATAAAATATAAACTATGCTCTCCCCGAGATTTGATTTTCCAATCGCTAGTCCGACGTATACTACTTACACTGTAAGTATCTTAAGTTTTACTAACGTTTATTTTATTTTAAATCTTTACTATCACTTCTTATTTTCTACTTTCGGCCAGAATTAAAAGCTTTAACTTATTTATGCAAATCTGTCTTGCGAACGCCAAGTACTTAAGTTGTGGCTTTTTGCCAAAGCAAGAGAGAGGAAGGAGCTATTAGAAGCAGGCCGCTTGCCATAGTAGTTTTACTCGGTTGCTGGTTGCCTTCAAGGCCAGAGGTTTAATCTTCTTGATAATTTTAAACGTATCGTAGTGTTAGCAGTTCTCTGTACTACATACGGCTTTTTGCTAATATACGGCCAATCTTGGAGTAGGCACTTGTTTGATTAATCGGTAATTAAGTTAAGTTTAGTTAGCGTTTAGTTAATATTTTTATATTCTTATGTTCAGACCACAAGTAGTTGGTCTCTGTATTCCGAAGTACGGAAATTATTGTAAAGAGTGAAAAATAAAGGGTTTCGTATACCCTTCCTGTGTATCTTGTCTACTTCCCACATTTATTGGACACAGCTTTAGTAAGCTCCCTGTGCCGAGTCAGGTCTTTGCATGTTCCCAAAGAAAGTAAGGCGGAACACGGAACCTGATAAACTGACCTTTAGAACAACTGGACGTACACCCGCTATGTGATGTTAAAAACGGGTCAAATGACACAATTTCAGTCTTTAGACAATTTTGGTCACTCGAAAACGTTTATAAAATTCAACAGAAAAGTACAATGTTCTTACTGGGCACACAAAGAAAAATGTAAATGATGTTTATTTATTACCGAGTTAACCAAACGAAAAATAATCGTGCTTCTATATGATCAAGATTATTAATCAAGATAACTTTTTATTTTGAACGCATAGAATCTTCTCGTGCAACACAGATGTACAACACGGGACTCACAAAAATTATTAATCCAAAGTTAGTTTAGTTAGAGTTTTAGTTAGTATTTTTATATTCTTACGTTCAGACCACAAGTAGTTGGTCTCTGTATTCCGAAGTCCGGAAATCATTGTAAAGAGAGAAAAATAAAGGGTTTCATATACCCTTCCTGTGTGTATTGTCTACTTCCCAAATTTATTGAACATAGCTTTAGTAAGCTCCCTGTTCCGAGTCAGGACATTTAATGTTCCCAAAGCAAGTAACGAGGAACACAGAACCTGATAACACCACAACAGTATGTCCAAGGTAATGTGATCATAAGAAATACATATTTCACAATCTGTTTCGAACAGTCAGGTTTCATATTTCAAAGTAAAATTAAAAAGAAGAAAAATGAAACGAAAAGGGACATAGAATAGAAAAATAAAAATGGCATAAAACATTGAAGCATAAAAGAATCGATTAAACCAATATTAAAATATTTAAATCTTGTTTTATAATACTATATATAACTTGTTTTATATGTAGTATATATAAATGTTTAAGAACGTTTGATTCAAAAAGAAAGGGTATAATAGAGTAACTATGAAACATTTTCATTCTGGAGTAGATCATAATTTTATTTAATCTAACACTCTTGTAAATATATTTCTAGATGAAATTTAAAAACTAAATTTTAAATTTGGAAAATATGTGACACGTTTCTAATCCAGTAATGAAAAATATAACCTAAAATTCATAAGAAAAAATTTGCTGCAATGTGGCAAAAGGAAACCAAGCCAGCATGGCAGTCGGAAACAAAATGGAGCTCTGTAAATCCCAAAATAGTTTTTAATTTGGAAAGGAAGTTACACAATCCAAAATTCAGGGGAAAAAGATAAAAAAGAATTAAAAGTTTTCGTAATAGCTTAACTTTGGCCCATACGGGAAACAAGCCATTTTTTGTATCCAAAAAACATATGCTATTTTTTAAACCTTATTAAGGAAATAACGAATTTTATTATAATTGTGGTAGAGATTGCACATGGTACAGGTATTTCGTTTTCTAATAAATGGATCAATTGATTTCCATATGCTTACAGTGCCCTGTAAGGTGAAGACTTTCGACAATTTTACTTCATTTCCTGACGTTTTCTTCTATCACATGTTATTTAAATTCCTTTGTTAATTAAAATTTAAGTTATTAACTACATGAGTTAAACTAAGTATTACTACTAAGAATTACTTTACAGTTTAAATTAAACGTCTATCACCAAATAAATATTAAAATAATTTCAGTTTTTAAAAAATAAGAACGTTCTGAGTTCTTTGGCAATAATTTACATTCAAAATTCTAAATTCCGTTATTTACAATTTTATCCAAGTCTTCATTGTTAATTTACAAACCAATAGATTTGACTAAAGACCCAGCAATATCATGAAATAACAAATATGACGAATAATATATCTATATGACGAATAAATATATGACGAATTATTAGTCCTGTAAGAATTCTCTTCCTGCCAGTTTTTGTTAATGCGAGTTAAGCAATGGAAAATATATTTCAAGAAATCACAGAGTGTAAATTCTGTGTCAGAGGTCATCTTGAATTCAAAACATTTTTGAAAATCATTTGTTGGATACCAGAGTGTTCCTAACTCGAGAGGGCTTTCGCCATCTGCGGCACTTTAATGTAGTATTTTTACAACCCTCATAACATTTTACCTAAACAATCAGCTACGTACAATTTCACTCAACTAAATATTTTTTTTTTTGATTTGGCAACCAGTTGTTTTTTTCCACTTTTAAGGATGTCTCACCCACAGTAACAGTGAAATATCTTTCTTCATTTTTACTTAATATAGATTTATTTTGTTTTAAATATGAATTTGAATCTAACGTTTTATCATTTCTGTATTTGATTTATGGTTTGCGCATTTTAACCAGTTCATTTAAGTCGTTAATTTCACGAATGGCTTACATTGAGCTATTACTGGCAATTTTAATACTTTTTATAGTTTTTTTTTTGTTTTTTTTGTTTATTCATTCTGAACTGTGTCATTTTGTTTTAAATTTTAAGGGGCAAAATTGATTTCACAAAGGTCTATTATTTTCTCTGTTGCCATCACAGTGGCATTGTATGATTTTGTGGTACAGAGGTAATTTGTTTTCTGAGAAGTTTAGTTTTAACTTTTAATTCTTAGCCTCAAATTATCTTCAAAATTTCTCAAAATATAAAATGCAATTTTTCCATCTGTTGAGAAATAAATTCAGAAAAAAGGTAGATTATGCAAAATTGCGGTCGAGAAGAATGAAGATGAAGAATTGTAATATTTCAAAACCACTCCATTTCTTTCTTCCATTTATCACCTTTAACTGATTAAATGCGATTTTTCCCCTTTACCTTATAGGCGTGCCATCCATAAAAGGTAATATAGCATTCTTACAATTTATTTTGTTTCATAGCATGATTCACAGCAATATTCTGCTCTCAGTTCTTTCCTGGACACTTCTGGACAGATTTTCGGTTTTTAGTCGAGCTTGTCTTAATAAGAAAATATAGGTTGTAAGGGTATAAGAATTTTTAAGCGGTTTGTTAAGGGTGTGGCTTTTAATGATAGGGTACAAGACAGAAGGTTATGAAAAAAGTTTCCTGTTTCCACTGTAATTGAGTGACTCCTTGAAAATATAAAATGCTTCTCTAAAATGCATTGAAATCATAATTTTCTTGTAGGTTGATGGTAATGAGACACTTGATGAAAATATAGCTGACAACGGCGGTCTGAAAGCAGCTTATTTGGTAAGAAATACTTTTTGAATTTTATGAAATCGTTAAATAATGATTTTTAAGTTTTAGATGTGAAATGACTGAGTAACGAAATGGAAAGAAAGATAAAAAATGCTAAAATTTACAAGTAAGGTAACACCGAAAAGTAAAGCGTTATTTAATAAATACTATAAAACTGAATTAGGAGAAAAAATATATTTTATTATTTAATAATTTGTTGTACCTGTGCAGATTACTCAGTAACAGTAATCTTCAGATATGGATATAATCATGTTTTTTACATGTAACCGTAACCCATAAAATGCTGTAACCCTAATAACCCCTACAAATAGAAAAGATCTCATAAATCAACTGAAAAACATACGTGATATAAATTCAGTCAGAACTCCATTTTTAAAGCATTCATTTATTTATAATCAAGCAATTCTGTTTGCGCCCTTTTAAGAATACAGTAGTGTCTGTGAATATTCTGGGTTCATTTTCCCTTTCCTCAAAGTAAATTTATGGGAGCCCAACATGAGTTATTGCAAGAAAAAGATGCTATGATTTGTAACTCCAACATGGTTTCATACCTGTTTTACACATTAGGGAGAAAAAGGCCTCAAAGCAATATTTGTAACGAAAGTTTGACAAATGATTTTAAGAAACCAAGAAAGTTGTGACAATGAGAAGTTGAATGAAAGTTGTAACATTCGAAGAGAAACATACCAATGTAAAATTTAAATTTAGCAAAATAGTAAATTAATTCTGGCGTAGATTTTAAATAAAACTATATCGATTTCCAGGACGATCATACATAAGTCCCTCTTCATCTTTTCTTTGCCCTGAAGAAGAGGAAACTACGACTGATTGGTCCTCAAATCGCACAACTTTATTCAAAATCTACTCTAAAATAACGTTTCTGTTTTGGTTAATTTTAAACAATATTCATATATTTACCCTCAACATATAGATAAGAATAAAACCTTTTTTTTTTTTTTTTTTTTGAGCGTTATGTGAATTCTCTAAGGGTAAAATGATGTTGTATTTAGTGGAGACATAACATGGACAGGTTTCAGATTTAAAAGGTTATGGAAGATTCTAGTGCTGAAGGATTTCAAACACCACATCAGAAAAATCACATACAACTAGGGAAAACTTTGATGAAGCCGTGCGCCCTCAAAAAGGGGGAAATTGTCTTGGAAATGGATTTGATGAGGGCTGAAGAAAGCTCCCTAAAATTTCATTACCACATAATGTTGTTCACTTAAGTATCATGAATATGGACTTAATATCAAACACTAACTTTTATCGAAAATAAAGTCTCATGTATAAAGTCACCTCTACGTTTAGCTTATTATTAGTACAATTAATGACTCGACTGATACAGACAAGCAACTAAACTGATGTAGCATTAGTTTCCAGTTACTGGCACCAAACCAAGTGCGTGATACACTGATAAGTACTAAGTTTTCGATCAAAAACCAGTTGAAAGTTTGAATTTTGACAAAGAACGAGCTCGGAATGCAGGACGTATTAAACAATTATGAATGCAAAACTATAATTTACCTTTTCCTTTTCATATGGCTGCTTGCTTTTCAAAATTAAATACTATGGGCTGTGGTTTTGAGTTAAGATATAAGTTCAATTTAGTTTTTGAATTACAATGTGTAACGGGATTCTTCTTCTGATGGGCTATCTCGAAGAGCAGGCTGCCTGTGGTTTCGTTTTTTTCCGCCATGTGTAACGTGAATATGAAATTAAAGTATTCTTTAAAACGTATTTCACAAAGGCATTCCTTCATTTAAGTGTGATAATTTCCGCTTACTTCTCTATAACCTAAATGATCCAATCCAGTCATCTGACGGAAAGATGACGAATGGATTAAGTATCTCTTTGCCAACCAGTGGTAGAGTGATCCATACACCTCAACGTTAAAAGTTCGACTAGGATTTGGTTGGTTGAGTTAGATTCTGGTTTAGATCCTCTAAAAACATCCAGGTCATCTATATTAGATACAAGATTAAAAGTGCTGGACACTTAAAAGATTAGAAATGCTGATTAAAATGTGTTCACTTCCACTACGTATATCGAATTAATTTCCACCTTTTCGTTTCCCTGCGTTGGCAACACGCTTTTGAGATTTGTCGTCGGAAGAATTAGGTCGCTAAAACTGTAGCCGACCTCTAACAGTTGTAATTATTATTTTAAAGCTTATATGTATTGCTGAATTATTACTAAATGTTTAAGTGTGAGTGTTTTATTATTAAATGTATGCACTTTGGTTTGAATAGACGAGAGTGGTTGCATTTAAAATTGAAAATACTTCATCCATTTCTGCGCCATTCTAAGACAAGAACGTAAACAAAAAGAATAAAAATTAAGGATTAAGAATTAAAACCTACACAAGCAGAAACGTACCTAAATATTGGCACGTCTTAATATCATGAAACACAAATCACAATAATTTTAAACTTAAGCAGTTAAAATTCAGATAAAAATCAAATTATATTTAATAGGGACGCAAAAGGCATCAGTTTAAGAAAGAAAAATTTCGCAAAAGTTGAACCTTGCACATGGTGATGATGCCTGATAAAGATACACTTCGTGATCTCAGAACAATTATATATGTCTCACATACCTTAGATGAGTTGCTCCCAAAAGGGCTCCGCGTGCAGTGCCCAGGGCCTATGTGATCATTTCAGGAATATAAAAACATAAAACTTATAAAACGTAAAATAAATTTAAGGATAAGAATCAAAACGTAGAATAAAAATAAGGAAATGAGAAATTACATTGTGAATTAAAATTTTCCAATTTAAATTAATCGCCTGCTCTAGCAGACGACACTTGGCCATTTTGCTGCCAACAAATGCAAAGTTACTATTGTGCGAATTGGACAGAGGACAATACTGAGCAGAGCTTTAGCCTATTATACACATTGTCTGGCGTGCCGCGTTTAGTAGCCTTTCCTGATTATACAGAATAATTAGGAAATTTTCCTGAATACAAAGTGTCTGAATGACTTTTGGAGTGGCATTTTCAAGAAGTTTTCTTATTCGTTCTCTTCTTTTCAAGAAATTTTACAATCTGTTTGAAAGTTTACGGTTATTATCCCCATCAGTTAGAAGATGGCTATTCAATTTAGGGTAACCACAATAAATATTCATAGCAGATCTTTCAGGAATGTTCTGTGCGTTTGATCTCTTTGTGAAGTTCAATTGCATAGTTAGTAGGTGCTAAATGATTAAGTATTGTGTTTTGTACTACTAATATTTTCGGATTCCGAAAAACGGCGATTCATTCCCTGGAGAAAAACGATACATTATGGCTAGACTTAAGTGTTTTTTCTTTTTACGTAAATGCGCTTTTGTATTTTGTTCTAAAATTTTTCTTTGCTTTTATTTTTCTTTACTGTTTAAGAGAGATGAGCTCTCTGAAAAAGAAATCATTTTTGAGTCTGCGGCGCTACATTAAAACCCTCTGGGCGGTCAGGGTTTTCGCTAAGAAAGCAGAAATTTCCCAAAACTACTATGATAACAAATTATTTTTTTGATTTTAATGCAAAACCTCTCCTGGTATTTCATACTTGGGTTTGTTTTCTTTTGATATATTGCCTTAATTTCGTTGACATATTTTAATATTGCACGTAAATATATGTTCTTACACATATCACAATAAATATTCTAGGCCGTATATATACGGCCTTGCCGCTTAGAGGGTTAATCATTATTTCCCAAACTATAGATGTCGGGTAGTGGAGGAAAGGTACCTTAATAAAAACGAAGAAAGAAATAAAAAATCTGAAAATTTAGGGGGCGTTTTTTTAACATTTTGCGTGTTACATTTATGTATTAAATATCGTCTTCTTCGCACTTACACCATAAAATTCCATTCAACAGCAATATCACAAAATATTTAAAAGAGCACACAGTTTCGCGAGGTGGAGTTACAGGTTGCCATTGCTCACTTTGAAGTCGTCGAGTTTCTTAATCAGAAACTCATAAATGCTTTGCAAACTATGAAACAGATAATAAAACAAATATTACAAAATTCAAATTTGGGCTTCTAGATGCCCATATTCGGGTAGAGATGTACGTTATTCAAAATTTGATTGCTCCAGGTACTTTGCTTTATCACAATGCGAGAAGCATATATACATTTATGCAGATTCTTCATCATTATTTAATTTCTTTAAATATAATACAGGGCTCTAATATTTGATGGCAGCAATTTAAAAAGTGATTCACCGTTTATAGTGAATCAATTCAAAATGCCAAAAGGAAATAACCTTCTTGGGCTAACAATTATTAGAATATGCTATTAAGAGAATAAATGCTGGTCAACATCTATATATTATTTCTGATAGAGCTTTGATCAATAGTTCCATGCTCGCTGCTAAAGGTATCAGGACTTGTGTTCCTCTTTACTTGCCTTGGAAACATGAACTGTCCTGACTCGAAACAGGGAGCTTACTCAAGCTATGTTCAATAAATTGTGAAGTAGACAATACACACAGGAAGGGTATACGAAATCCTTTATTTTTCTATCTTTACAGAGATTTCCGGAACTTTGGAATACAGAGACCAACCACTTGTGGTCTGAACCTAAGAATATAAAACTACTAACTAAAACTTTAACTAAAGCTAACTTTGGATTAATATACAAGTGCCTAACTTTAAGATTGGCCGTTATTTAACAAAATCCGTATGTAGTACAGAGAGCTGCTAAAACTACGATACGTTTAGGCAACCAGCCACCGAGTAAAACAACTATGGCAAGCGGCCTGCTTCTAATAACTCCTTCCTCTCTCTTGCTTGGCAAAAAGCCACAACTTAAGTACTTGGCGTTAGCAAGACAAATTTGCATAGATAAGTTAAAGCTTTTAATTCTGGCCGGAAGTAGAAAATAAGAAGTGATAGTAAAGATTTAAAATAAAATAAACGTTAGTAAAACTTAGGATCCTTACAAAGGAAGACATAATTTTGAGGGAAACCATGCCGAATTAAAAGAAAAATTGTTTTATTTTTTAATAGGAAATGCAACGAAATATCATCTTCCAAAAAATCATGACAGCATTTGCTAAAATCATGAATGAAAACGTAAGGGAATTTCCTACCTGATCAGTTAATGTGTAGTTCTAATTGATGAAAATTTCAGAGACTCTTGTTGAGTACACTAAATATGAAAGTGTGTTTGCCTGATAAAAATGTTCTAAGTATACCTCTAAGTAAAGATAAATTTGTAAGGAATAGAAAAGAAGTGCTGTCCAGCATCCCTTTTTACCCTTTACTTTAACCATACTACCCTTCCTAGATGAATCAGATATATAGCCGATGACGTCAAAGAGAGACTTATCAGGTACACGAAAAAAGCCATCAAGGAGACTTTCTTTGGAAACCACTACCAACCAATACGTAAAGGTTTGAAATACTTAATCTATTAGATCAATTCTTCTGATCAACTGAATAACCGAGAGAAAACTGTGTCGATATATGAAGTAACGGGAGATATTCCTAAAATTGAAGAAAAAAGAAAGAATTACAGCAGCAGTTTCATCATGCTAGTCTTGAGAATAATATTTCTTGAGTTTAAGGTAATATTGAATGATGGAGTTAAAAAAGTCCTGATAGGCAGGCTTTCTAAATTAATGTGTGACGATATGAGAAGTCTTTTCTACTGCACAGTTTAGTAAGGGATTGTTGCGAGGAAACGTGTTGACAAGTCTGACAGAAATGCGTGCAAATGTAATAGCATTTTGTATGGACCAAAACATTTTATTGGCTCCGGATTTCAACAATGAAGAAAAGGTGTGCAAATTAGCGTAATCTGGCCAATAGTTTAGCAAAATGAATGAAATGAATGTGTCTTTGCAAGAAAAACGTGCCACAAATTTTGATACGAAGAAAAATGCTCGGCATCGAATACTTCCTTTACAAAAGCTTTCTGCATGAAAATAAAGTTGGGAATTGAAGAACAAACCCAGAAAATACTCAAGAGCATTCGAAGCTTTGAAAAACTGAATTGAATACTACATCGCTTCCCAAAAATTAAGCAATAAACAGCAAACTGAAAATGTATGTAAAAAAATATGTAAGCAAATTGGACGAGACTTGGTGGTAGTATTTATTATATCATTTCTAACTTAAAAATCCTGAGGAAATGCTGTACAGTATATTTACATTTTATAATGTCAACAACAGCACAAAATATTCTAAATTCGGACAAATAAATTAAATACAAAAAAATGTCTCAATAATGAGTATGATAACCTCGAACAGCAATAGTGGCCTGACAACGATGCCTCATGCTATTTATGGTGAAACACTATTCCGTTGGGGAAAGTAACGTAGGACAATTGCAATTGATTCTAAAAAAGGCTCTGCAAGTCGAAAAGTTTGGGAACCGCTGTCTTAGATGTACACATGTTACGTATAGAATAATTCAAAATCAAATAAAAGGGTTTAAACCATGAGAGTAGAATATGCATTTAATTATACACGGGACATTATTAGGTGCTAAACATATGTATGCTATAAAATGAGAACACTTAGTAATTTATTACATTTACGTATTTTTTCCAACTTGTCTGCTGTATAATTCAGGGTAAGGCCATATGGTAATAATTTGACGTGTAAAGATCGACGGACACCGACGCAATTTTAAGCCTTAGTAATCTTTTTATACATAAAAGATGATCAAAAGTGGCGGTTACCTTTTTGATACATCAGTAAAGTCGACATATTTAAAAAGGTGTTCATTAGAAAGCTGTGTATTAATGATCCCATTAGTGAGATATATCCACATACTTTTTATTCCTTATTTCACTATAGGCATATCAAGCATGGGCAGAAAACAATACACCAGAGCCGCTATTGCCGAACTTGAACTACACCCAACAGCAGTTATTCTGGATAAGTGCTGCTCAAGTAAGTCTGTCTTACTTATGTCAAATTTGATTAAGCTTACTTTTAATGCATGGTGTTTGAATAGAAGATATGTAGAGTTATTAGATTATATTGATGTCAGGAAACTGAAAAATGTGCAGTGCTCTGGCTGGTATTTGAAATCGGGAACTCCCAAATAATCGTCGATCGTGCTTCCTGTTACACCGCAAACCCACGCAGAAAGAAGAGAGAAAATACCTTATATACTCCTCCTTTTAAAGGGCGACTAAGGATGAGAGGACCCAGTCGTCATATCCTGGTGATGATGAATTACCTTTTTAGTTCGGACGCAGCTGTGGAATAATTTAAAATTTTTCGATGTAAGGAAAGTGATGATATCCGCAGTGCTCCTTCCCGGATTCGAACTCTGGACCTCCCTAATACACGTTAAGCGTGCTCCGATTTACACGACGAAGGTATGCAGAAAAGTGAGAGAAAATAACCTTACAGATACTATAAAAATTTGTATGTATCCATAGAATGATAATTTTGCTTTTTAAGCGGGAAAGCAGATACCGAGTCTTGGGCTATCAACCATCGTACAGACAGTATAATGTAAATCATTTGATATAATATATGTTAATAATCGTCTTGTTTCCTGTTCATTGCGTTCCAACTAATAATTTGGATCATTCAATTCGAACCTATTTTCCCTAATGCTGTTGACGATTGCGCACATCAAAATATTGTTATGTGCATCTTATATATTTTTCAATATCAATTCATTTATTAAAAATATAAAAAATGCGATATTGTCATGCAGAAAAGAAATATTTGTGAAATTTATAAATCCCCAAGACTCGGGCTCACGCAATCATTAAATATACTACGAACATTTAGTTAATGCATTAACTTGAATTACTCCACCGTCTTCTCGAATATACATGGTGATTCTAAAATATCTGACAAAGGTGCAAAGGCAGATAAAAGAGGGTTCAAGCAAGCAAGTATTTTTAATGGAATGGCTTAGGTGAATGGATTCCAGATTTCGGGGCTTTAAACAAAAACTTGATCCCGTGCAGAGCGTGGAATGAGAAACCATATCATTTTTATAAATATTACAGTATGATGATAGAAGAAAATGATGATCGAGACCTAATTCCCTTTATTAAAGTAGCCATTAAGGCCTCCAAACTTCAAACATTGTGTTTTAAGAGATTACTGCCATGGAGTATTTGACGCGCTGTTGCATCAGATTTGAGGTGTAGTTAACAGGATGATGACGCGACATCAGTAATATCTAATTACCGGTCAGGTCAGGAATATCAGGATTTTAATGAAATGTGTATATGCAGAAATGATGATTATAAGTGCTGGGTAGGTAGGTATGAACAACAGGTAAATAAGAAACACAGGTAAAATTAAATTAAGCAAACATTCTAATGATTCAACCTTTTACAATTAGGTACTGGGAAGTTCGTTCACCATCTGTAATACAAAATTTGTGGCGTCAATTAACATGTTCGAACGTTCAGCGATTTCTGTTTGGGAATCTTTCTCTGTAAATCCTTTGAGCAACTATTCCACCTCCGTCCATAACTATACAAATAAAATGCATATTGGCGAGATCCGTGTTCATAGAGCAGTATATAACACTTAAAAAACGCATGGGAAATAAATAGCTTTAATAATAGCTGGACTGATTTCACCAACTGAATCTTACCAGTGTCCTCTATCACATCAAGACGTCTTTTCCGCATACACATTCCTTTAAAAAATATACTTATTTTCGTCTCTTCTACATTTTCTGATACATATTTTAGAATCACACTATTTAGAATCACCCTGTATATCGCAAAAAGGTTTTCATTCTGTCTAAAATAATTATTCTTTCTGGTGAATATTAAGAAGAAAACATGGTATATGTTATGCGCATCTTCGAATAGATCATAATTTCTAAGAAATGGTTTTCATAGTGTCAGGCTATTTTTCAAAAATGATCGATAATTGCATAATTATGAAATATATGGGTTTGCTTGTCTCTTCACCTCGATATTTATCGATTCTTAAGCTTTTGCCTTAAATTAAGAAATCAGCAGTGAAATTAATTTGTTTACTTTGTTGTCTTGGATGTTCGAAAAGATGATCTGCTTGCTAATACGTTTAAAGCGTTTGATTCTTTTTTTTTTTTTTCATATTAGCTTTATATGAATAACATTCCTTCATCGCTCATATTTTGAAAATTTACATAGCATATGAAAAGCTGTCTGATTTGTCAAAGAATCTTATAGAAATACGGGAAGGAGATCAAAGTAAAGTAAATACGATGATAAAATGAAATATGCTGCATCATATCTGAATATTTAAAACTTTGTAATGATTTTTTTCTTACTTATTCGAATTAAATGTTTTTTCGGATATGCTTGCTCACCAGTAACCGAATGGTCAAGTCACTGAATACTGTCAATTCAGTACAGACATAAATCATGGCGAACGGAATAGCTGCGTGAAAGTTTCGGTGGTTGTTTTTTTTTTTTTTTAAATTTTTTTTTCTTTTAAATGAATATGAGAATGCTCGTTTCTTCAATGGGTAAATAAAGAAAATGATCTATGCCTTAAATAAACAAAGGTAACAAGCAGGGAAGGAGAAAGTAAACACATTTTTCTTGAATTGTTAAGGAAGGATTGCAAGGCATCTTTGGCCGGGAATATGAGAAATCCAGAGGGAAGGAATGTTTCTCCAAAAGGAGGAGCAGAACAAAAAAAATTCAATACAATTATCAATGCGATTCCAAAGAAATGGGGCACAGATTTTCATCTATTTCTTCTATTTCATCTAGATTTTCATCTATTTCATCTAGATGATTTCACATCCATTTCTTAAGGCACAAATTAATTTTATTAGTAACTGGAAGAGATACAGATCACAACAGAACAAATCTAGGTAACCAAAATAGTTAATTTGCTTAATAAAAACAGCATGCGCTGTTTCAGGATGTTACTAGGAAAGAACCAGACAAGTTTAGAGAAATGCTTAACTTTTTATATGAAAGAATACTGGAAAGAAGCAGAAGAAACTGAACTAAAAAATTTCAAGACTTAATAATATATCTACCTATCTATCTACAGATAGATAGATAATAAATATATATATAAATATATTATATAGATTATATAGATTATATAGATATAAATATATTTTATAAATATTATCTATCGATCTATCTATAGATCGATAGATAATAAATGTATAGAACCTGTCGTTCTATAATAATTCTTTTGCTCTCTATTCATAACGTTTGTAAATGCGTTTATAGATAATATATTATTAAATATCTAGCTATTTCAAATACAGTGGTGTTTTCAGTATTCTAAGAAATATTTACGATGGGTAAGGATTTTAGACCGAGGTCGGAAACGAATAAAGTTTGTTCCTAAAATAATGTATGGGAAATAGTTTCTTGGATAACGAATGCCATCGTGGATTGGAATCGTTATGCAAGGCATCGTTATAGTTTAATTAAATAAACGAAACTGCCGTAGTGTAAAGGCTCAACTTACTTGATTCATCTTTTGCAGAGAAGTGTGAAGCATAAGTTTGTGAGCAAGCACATAAGAAATGCTTAATTGTTTTTGTATATTGTTATTGCAAACACAATCATTACTTTAAACTTCTTTCAGGCAAGATGTGAAAAAGCAGACGGATTATTCCATTATGTAAGGTACCTAACTAACTCGCACATCCCACAAAATTTTAGGTGAGTAAGAAATATTTTTAAGTACTGGAAATTTTCCTGATATGACAGAATATTCCTAATTATATTGGTCTGAAATAGTTGCTGTTTTGGTGTGAACATGTTAAATTTTAAGTGCTTATTCCAGTTGCTTCATATATGCTTCGAATTTATTAATTAATATCTGAATAAAAGCAAAACGTTTGGAGAAAAATATTTAAGACAAAAAGTCACATTGTGAAGCGAACCCAATTAAGTTAACTTTATCTCTTCTGTTTCAGAATTATAGGAGCTATGTCCAACCTACCCGACTTTGTTCGAGATTTTGATTGCTCATGTTTTAAGGGAATGGATCGCAAAAATAAATGTCGAATTTGGTAGAAAGTCAGCAGAAAAAATTCAAGTCTTTTTAGTGTGTAATAAATACTTCCTATTTGTATTATATGTAAAGTATCTGAGCAGATCTACACCAGCGAAAAAATTCTTTTGTTCAAATAAAATGTTTTGATATCCTTCAGTATTTTTATATCTTTATACTTTCTTTAAGTATAATCACGAAAAATTTCGGTACCATATTTCAACGAAAACATCCATTTTGATTGTTATCGAATGCAATTTAACGATGTCCTTGCGTGATATCTGTACGTAACGACAGAATAAAGGACTCTTTCGTCAAACGAATTATAAAACTGATTTAAAATGGATTCAGAAGAGATTTTTTCGTGGTATCTGTACCTGCGTACGTATGTAAGTATTTATTTCGCATAACTCAAAAACAAGTAGCCTCAAAACGCTGACATTTTGTATATAGGACTGTTATAATATGCAGCTGGTTTTAGCTGCACCAAAAGTATATAAATATATATACATATATATATACCTACTCTGTTACTCGGCTCAGTTAGCTCATTTTTTATTCTTATATGTTGGTAAATTGCGCATTTTTTTGCTTTGAAAATGATTGAATTATGTTGTTCTTATCTTCCGGTTAAGCGTTTTATGCTTTTAGTTAAGCTGCTTGCAATAGTTGTAGAACTCTCAACAAAGTTGTTCATGTGCGGCTAAGCCTAATTTTTGTTTACCATAACAGCCATATTTGTTTACATATGAAACTCTGCAGAATAGTGAATTCAGTTTTTGCATCTTCAGAGTCTTTTTTCCGAGGGTGACCAAAATTAAACTTTCATTTTTGAGCACCGAAAAATGTGCCTTGTAGCTCGCTGGCCGAATTGCTTGTTTTTTGCGTTTAATTGTAAAAATTGTTTTTTTAATTGTTGTAATTGTATTTGGTGTTTTATTTTGTCTATATTTTTCAATTTTTAATGAAGATATTTTGAGGTTTTATGTATTCTTGCCTTGCAGGGAATTAAGAACATAATTAATTGAATGAGAAATATATCTCGAATGAAATTCGAGGAAATAAATTTTAATGAAAAGCAGCAAAAAGTGCGTATAATTTAATATTCCGTACAAAGAAATCATGTGGTGTACACAGCAAATTTTTTATATATAGTGCATTTGATTTAGGTAACAACTTTTGCATTACAAAAAAAAAAAAAAATTGTGAACATAAAAAAAATTGTGAAGTGAACTCATCAATTTAAATTTGAAAATTGAAAAAAAATATATAAATTTTTGTTTAAAACAAGCCAGTTCAATGCTACATTTTGTCTTCATTATCCAATACTACCTTTTGACAAATTCAAATTAATGTACTTTGCGATATTTGTATTGCGATTAAATAATTGAACTAAAACGGGAAACAGTTGTTGGCAGAATATTTTCAAAAGATCCCAGAGTTTGTGTTATTCGAATGATATTTCGAAACTTCCAGCGGAAATAGCTTCATTTTCTATTTTAAGCTAGTTGTGAAATCCCCGTCCATCCATTCCAATATATTTTTTTGCTTTCGATTAGTAGCGTATTTAAAATTAAATAAATTGTTTTATCAATAGAGGCATCATGCAAATTTTATCTTCCAATAGTAACGGAGCCGGAAAACTTACATAGCCTCTTTCGTCGTACTGAAATTCTAATTATTTATTTAAGAGTTTCAGTACGACGAAGTTTCAGTACGAGTCAATTCTATGTCGACACATAGAACCGACTCCGTTAGCTCAGATAAACCCCAGTCTAACAGGCACGCAACACTACCGCCGAACGTAGTAAGATAGTCCTAAAACTACGACGTGGCTCGATGGCAGAACTCGCTTTACAGAGAACTCCTGAACTCTTCTACGGAAGTAACGGAACTTTCCATTATATACTGGCTCTACCTCATTTACATAAAACGCGATACTGAAAACTCATTCTGGCAGGGACTTGTAAGTGGGAATAAGAATTTAAAGTGAAAGATTTTAAAATTACAAATAACTATTAGAAAATTAAAATAATCCCTAAAATGTGTTACATTAATTTAATTAATTTAATTGTTATTTTAATTTCTTAAATGAAATAAGGAATTTTTATAATTTAAAGATTTATATTACCTAAATATTTGCTTGAAAAGTAATGTATTCGTATTTAAAATAGGCATTATATTTGTAATATACTTTCTCGGTTTCTATAGTTTTAGTTGAAGAAACTATGGTGATAAATCATTTTTGAAAGCTTGAATGAATTTCAAATATTAGTTATAACGTAGTTCCTGTGAGACTCTACATATACGAGTAAAATCAATGTAGCTTTTTTACGCTCGATCAAAAGTTGTATGTTATTTTGCATATTTCAAGTGAATATTAATAAAAAAAGGATCAAATACCGAAATATGAAAACGTAGAACTATTCCTAAAACACAGTAAATTAATTATTAAATTATTTAAAATATATTTGCTAAAAATAATTTATTATCATAAACAAAGTTACATTCATAAAAATCATAGCAAATAATAAAACAATTAACATATTTGTCACAAATAATATAGTGGGATAGTCTTCAGTCGAAGATACAATGGACGACCCTGAATTCTCGACGCATTCCATCAGTGTATTACCATGTTACCAGAGACTTAATCGCGGATCGTACCTTCGTCAAATGCATTTTCATTTAAAGATTAGACAATCAATACACACGCGCACACACACACTCATACACAAGTAATCCTTTTTTCCAGATAAGTTCCAGTTTCATTTAAAGCTCAGTTTTTATCGTGAAATATAGCTACCTGTAAAGCAAATAGACATTTGTCATCTCTAGGCATGCACATTTCATTTGGAAAAAGTACCTAAAGCATCTTGCCATGTACTTCAAAATCACCATTTGTACTCTAAAGTTGATTCTTTCGCTTAATCTTTGTGATCTCGCAAAAACTCTTGTTTCTCTTCCTCAGTGGCCTCGGACCATTTCTTTCCATATCCATAGAAAATATTTTCAGAGTAGATGTGATCTTCTTTGCGAAGAGTGCCGTGAAGGTAATCGAATAATTTTGTATTCAAACCGAAGTTAACGTGGAAAAATCTATAGAGAAAATACGGAGATAAATATCATTAACAACTAGTTATAGAATTTAGAATAATAAATTAACTCGAAAGATAACAAGTAACAAAAATTCAGCATTTGCTTGAATTAATAAAAATTAAAAACTAAAACGAATATCAAGAATTTTGTTATAGCACGAACTGGAAATCAGTGACTTTTCAAAGGCTCATCGTGCTTTTTGTCCCCTTTATTGCACATATTTTGTTTGGTAAAGCATTCGATGTAATTAGTATATTGCTAAGGTATAGGTTACCTTCAGCCAAAGAGCATAACTTTACTGGTTCATGAATAAAATAACGAGTCGCGTATGATTAAGAAGAAATAAAAATTCGCATTGTTATAATAGTAATGCAAATATTTAAAAAAATAAATATAGGTGCAATATAAATTAAAAGAATTGAGCTTATTTATACGTTACATAATTTAGTTACATACATGTAACAGTAGAGCTATTCTGGGAAAATGAAGTAAAGACATAATTTGTTATGAAGCGCACATATTGTTTTAAATCTTCCAGTTAGTTTATCCTTCCAGCTAACTTTCAGTTTTCAGTCAGTTTTAATCTTTCAGTTAGTTTCAGTTAGTTTAGTTTTTAAATGTTTCAGTTAGTTTATCCTAAGCATTTATTTGAATATGAGAGATAAATTTAAGATCATTATAAAAAGATTTTATTTCTCAGAAGCTTGTTATCAGTAAAAGTTGTTTGCTAAAATACAGAAATATCCAGGGGCAAGGTTATGGCTGTAAAATAGGTTTTCCTAAATTCTCCTCGAAATTCATACAATCACAAAAAAGAAGTTGCCGGTGCGGATACGGAAGCATGTAGGAAAGCGTTTCTATGGAGAATGATTAGGTTTTACGTGAAAAATGCTTTATTAGCAACATAGAAGTTCAAAAATTCAGAAGTCAAACAACAAAAATCAGCGTTATATTTTCAAATTTTCACAGGACTAGTTTCGATGGTTTACAGAACCACCATCCTCAGCTGCAAAAGCGCAAATGAACGAGATAGGATATAATGGTTAGATAAGATAAGAAAGCCTGCACAGAAGATAAGCTAATGGCGCCATCTGTTGATGAAACCAGAACTAAAACATAATTTCTGTAAAGGCCGAAGGCAAAGATGGGTTGGAATTAGGATCGTTAATTAGAACAGAAAGATTTTTTTTAATGTGAAATGCCTCTAGAAAATCCAATTCTCCAATGGAAAATGATTTTTGAATAATTTTGGCAGCAGAAAAATTGAAAGTGTGATTTTCGGACCAACAATGTTGGACAACAAAAAACTTCTGTGTTTCCTTTTTTCTAACATATGTTCTCATGTTCCTTGACGCGAAATTTTAAGGCTCTCTTAGTTTGGCCAATGTAAATTAAACCACACTGGCAAGGAAACCTATAAATACCCCAGGAATTCATATCGGGAATGGGGTCCTTGACTATGGAACTCGGAATTTTATTGATGGGAGAATAAACGAACCGAAGGTTAAATTTCTGCAAAATTCTCATCTCAACATACTAAAAGGCACACTCTTGTTTTAGGAGATTATAAAAATTCTGTTGTCATTCCTTTCTTTCCATCAATTAGCTATAAAGTTGCACATATTTCGCTTCTGTTGCCCAACATTGTTGGTCCGCAAGTCACACTTTCAATTTTTCTGCTGCCAAAATTATTCAAAAAACATTTTCCATTGGAGAACTGGATTTTCTAGAGGCATTTCACATTCAAAAAAATCTTTCTGTTCTAGTTAACGATCCTAATTCCAATCCATCTTTGCCTTCGGCCTTTAAAGAATTATGTTTTAGTCCTGGTTTCATCAACAGATGGCGCCACTAGCTTATCTTCTGTGCAGGCTTTCTTATCTTATCTAATCATTATATCCTATCTCGTTCATTTGCGCTTTTGCAGCTGAGGATAGTGGTTCGGTAAAACCATCGAAACTAGTCCTGTGAAAAATTTGAAAATTTAACGCTGATTTTTGTTGTTTGACTTTTGAATTAGTAAAAAAAGGTATGTTCAAAAAAATTCTTTGATTTCTTTTCCATTTTCTCTCAGATAAATAAAATAGCCCTGTCTCATAGTCACGCCCATTTCTGTAAGAAATGTTCATCTACTTAAAATCATTAAGTCGTCTATTTAAAATCATCTTTCAGCCGCTATATGTGATATTTTGGTTTCAAAAACAGATGACATTTTAGTTCGATCTTGGCTGTAGGATAGAAAGAAAAGATATATAGAGCTACGAGTACATTATAAAGTGGATATGCAACATGCTATCATAATATTTATTGTGCTGAAGGCAATTTACGCAAAATTCTGAAAAGTAAGATTTTGATGTATTTTGATTAAAATTCCGTTTCCTTAGAAGACAAGCGTATTCTTTTAGAATATGTTTTTTTTGGAAAGTTAAGTTTATGAAGCGTTCAAAGGAGATGGCTGAATGGGCGTTTTTGTGGTTTTCCTTATGCCTAACGTGGATACAACCTACTTTTTCCTTAGAAAGTTCTCCATGAAGGCATCTCTTCACTTAGGCAGCTTGTCCTAGAATAAGATAAACCGAATCACAAAGTATTCAGTTAAAGTGGAACGTTCAACGTTCTATCATTTAAGGGAACTTTCAACGCTCTATCAACGTTTTCGAGTAAAAGTTCGCTCGGTGGAGCCGACTAACAACTAAGAAATTTAATACTTTGTTTTAAGGTTTTAAACAACGAAAATAGCAAAGCCATCGTGTTGTTGGATTTTAATCGAAAGCAACATTAGTGGTTTTATTGAGCAATATGCTTCTTCCTGATTAAGTTATCCTCAAACAGAGTGTCTTATATTGTAAAATGTAAAGATTATAATTTTCATGAAATTTAAAATAATGCAAACTTAAGATTGAATTTTGCTAATTTTAAAGTTAACATACTTTTCTTATATTCGCTACTGATCACGGAAATAATAAGAAAAAAAAAAAAAAAAAAAAAGCAGCCTTAAAAATTGGTTTACTTAAAATGAAATCTTACTCATGATGATTGTCATGGTACATGGAGTCCGGCTGCCAAGGCCACAGCGATTTTATTTTAGCACCCGAATGTCCGATGACGCTGTAGTAGTTTTCATAAAACACAACACCAATAAAAACAGCTAAAAAATAAATGAAAATAAGGCAAAATTTGAAAAACAATAATTCTATTTATAATTTTAGATTTCTAAATTCTACAATAACTAATTTTTCGTTTGATCTACTCTTTAAATTGTTAAAATGTGGGTAAAACAAAAGAAAACGTCATTAAATCATAAAAACTGAAACATTTTACATGATTAGAGTAGATATAAATTAGGTATTTTAGAGTGAATACCGAAAATAATTATTTCTGATAGAAAGTGGCGACATGATGCTGCCTGGATTGTATTTCTGAGAAAAGAAAGTGGCGACATGATGCTGCCTGGATCGTGAACAAAAGGATGAAAGGTAATAAATAGGAATTCAGCGTTTTAGTTGCAATGAATATGTCCGTTAAGATTTGGTATAAAAGTATGTGCTTCATCTGCAAGGCAAGTGTTTACAGTGTAAGTAAATTACAGTGACCGTACAAGACCATGCATTCAACACTGTTCAGTGCGAAAGCTTTCGTAAGGGTCTGGAACTCATAAAAATGACATTAAATGACAGCTGCAGCTTTTTTCAGTAATTTTTAATGAATATTCAAACATGTAGTTCCTTTGATACCATCTGGATTTAATGCGAAAGGGGCATAATTGTTTACATTATAGACTTATGTTAACTGGACAGCGGAACAAGGGAACAGTTTTTTTTTTTTTTTTTTTTTTTTTTTTTTTTTTAGTGATGAGACGAAAACCTCGGTGTTTGGTAATGATAGCATAACGTACGTGAAAGGAGTAGAATAAAACAGATTTGCATTCTGATTACATTACGCCTACCACTATAAAACACCTACCATAAAACATCTATTTAGTGACATTATCTGGAATTGTATGGCATCAAAAGATATTTGTAGAATTAATGCGAATATAAATGCTCAAAACTATGTTAAAAAAATACTTGAGCAGACACAGAAGCCTTCTGTATATGAATGTTTCCAAGATGATGATGAACAGGATTTCTCTGAACAGGATTTAGTTTCCTGTCATATTGCTGCTGTGTGAAAAGAGTTGTTTCAAGAAAATCATATTCTACTGCTGATAAAATGACCTGAGAAGGAAACGGAACTTAATCTATGCCACCGATTAAAGACACTTGTTAAGCAGAAACAACTGCTCAATAAAACTCAGTTAACAGAAATAATGATTCAATTTTTATTTCAAATTATAACACCTGCAGAGATTAATTACTTATTTAATTCTATGGGAAGAAATTATAATAGCGTAATTAACACTAGAAGTAGCCGAATAATCGCCCTTATATATTATTCAGTTACATTCTTGATGAAGCTATCTTTCCATTGATATATAATTCTATAATGGAAAAGAGTGATATTATGAGTCATAAAAACCTCAAAAATGCATATTTTTTTTTTGAAAGGTTTCAACAATTTTGGCTATTATTGTAAAATTCCATCCCTACACTATGGTGACTCAGTTCCGAAATGCCAAGTATAAAGAGAAGAGAGAGTGAAGTAGAAGTAAGAAGAGAAGGTTTAGATAAGTGATTCCAACCTCATGTTCAGCTTATTACATATGATGAAATAAATATTCCTTAACATATAGGGAAGATTTGTATTTTGTTACTCACCATAATGAATAGGAATCGTAAACATAGGAATGAAAGTAACAGTTTGCAGAACGAAAAATTCCAAAGGATGCATCGCAGTAGCTGAGAAAGCCGTCGGTTGTTTGTAGCGGTGATGAACTTTGTGGTAAGTCTTGTATATGGCAGGCCAGTGAAATATACGGTGATAATAATAAAAGAGGGCTTCCTATAATTCAAAAACTCAGTTTAGTCAGTAGGAACATTTTAGAGAAAGCTTTAAATTAGAACAAATATTTGAAATTTTGATAATGCAGCAAAAATTACTTTTTGTTATTCTTGCATTTGATCTAAATGAAAGGCTAGCCTGATTAAGACAAATTTAAAGCCTCGCAAACGTAAAGAAATGATTTATTAATTCAGGTTATATCAAACTTAAAAACGGAAATCGTAGTCAGCTAGGTGTTCAATTGAAGCATTTTTCAAAGTATACTAAAAACCACGTGCGAGAGTAATTGTACTGAGCTGAGAGATATGATTTGCTTATGGTATGAGTTGCCTGTATCCTCTGTACAGACATCAACATAGTTCAAAAGCCCGGAGCTCCAGGCTAAGAAGCTTTCCGTAAATTATTGGAAAGTCACAATAAGTTCTTATATTCTAACAAACTAAATGCCATTTCGAAATGTGCACAAAATTTTATGTAGTTTTTCTTTACATTAAAAATATGAACCCTTTTTCTGCTGGAGATTAACTAAGTATAATTGCAGAAATACGAACTTCACTTAGAAAACTGCTGCATTCCAGTCCATCGTAAGGTTAATTTCTACCATTTCATAGTCTTAAATTCGCTAATAATTTTTAATCCAGTTTTTCCAAAGTCTTTCATGTTTCTTTGAAATAATAGTCTCAGAGAACTTCCACATAAACATTACTTATTACTAGTTATGCATTTTCATATGATTAGTTAACCATCACCATTATTCGTGATACCCAGGGCGGTGTCTTACGGAACACTAAAGTTTCAGGGAAATTCGAATGAAAAAAAGCTTCTTTAGACTCACTATGTATAATAAAAATAATGGAAATTTTGACTCCTGCGCTATTTCCAGCTTTTTAAAAATAAATGTAATAAATTTTACTAAATGTATTTTATACAAACTCCATTTATGTGCTATTTTTCTAAACTTCTAGAAGAAATGATGGGAATATTACACATCAATCTTTCAGGTATATTACTATACAGGTACTTAAATTTAATCAATCGTTAGATGAATAACATTCATGTTTAGAAATGAGTTAAATAGGAAATATTAAACTTTTATTAATAGTATGATAAAATATAAGTTCAAATATTCTCCTTTCCTTATAGGACACATAGATGACATGAATTATACCAGATTGAACTGAACATGATTTGGTTAGTTGGAGATTTAAAATTTAGACTAACTTATCATCATTTCACAGTAGACAGTTTTTTTAACCTGGGCCCTATAGTACCACAGTAGGCTTCCTAACCACTATACTGCGTGGGCGGCGCATAGTAAGTAATGAAACTATTTCGTTTCATAACTTAAAAAGTAATTAAAGAAAAACTATCTAAAGTAATTCACAAACGCAAGAACTACAACTGGTGGAAAATGTCATTCATAGAAAGTCTAATCCAAAGGTGCAACAATAAAAAAAAAAACGAAATACAGTTCTTAAACAGTATAGGAAATTAAAGCAGTACTTGCGTGTTACCGCAAAAACTTTAGTCGTCGAATTTTTAAATATGCCAAAATCTCGCAACTATGCGCAAAACCATTTTCTGGACAACCAGAATTATAACAGTCATCAGTCAAGCAACGTCGCCATTTTTGTATGCGCTGTTTTTGTTATATTCCAAGATCCAACAGTTTTTATAAACAAGCAGTGATATTTCTCGCCTTGAACTTTGTTTTTCTCAAAATCTCTAAAGAGAACATTGAGGAATGCGTTTGCCAGGTAGTCGATGTTTCGAAGTGTGCTCGATGCCTTGTGCAATTTTTTAACGTTTTTTGTAACCAAAAATAGATCTCTATATGCTTGGAATGAAGATTACACAAAAAAATTATAGAAAGATTTGGAAAAGAATGTAAGTGTTTTAGTTTTTCATTTATCCCTTACTCCTTATTTAATAAACACATTTGCATTTTAAATTGCTAGAGTATGCTTTCTTTTCATGTGTTGATAATTTTGGAAGACTTCAGATAAATATAGATAGTTTGGAAATCTTTTTAAAAACATTCGCGAAAACCACCAAATTTGCCCGATGAGTAACTTTTAGCTTTTAATCTGTAAAAAATCACCAGTAAAGTGCGTCAGTGTAGTGGCGTTAATACGTAAATATATTGGCAGCATATTAAAAATCTCGTACTGTCTCATATTTTATAAATAGAAAAAGAGAAACATTTTATGACATATTATTTATGAAGTTGGTTGATTTTAAAATAAAGTTTTCAAAAAAACATATGTTAGACTTACTATAACAAGGTATGTCAAAGGTATAGAGAGTAGAAAGTAAGGAATGCCATAATCATAGATGTTGTAATACAAGGCAGTGTAACCTCCATTCACAGTCCAGCATGACAAGAAAGCAGAGATTACGCTGCCTATAAGAAAATACAAAAGCGTATTGATCAAATTATGCCTTTCATTCTTCTGTTATGCACGAAAATAACATATGTAATTAAATTTATATCTAGTTTTTAAATAATTATAAGCAAGAATTTTAAGCTTGAATTTCAATTTTTAAACAAAAATTTGGTCACAATAACTTACAATTAACACTGCAGCATATGAAACAGATACAAGTCAATCTGAAACCTGAATCCGCTTCTAAAGTTTCGCTTATTAATATAAAATTTGCCATCCTTAAAGACCGTATTTCTAGTTTTAAATTCGAAGGAAATCTTATCATTCATTAATAAAACATCTTATTACGTATACATCTGTCAAATTTGGACAGCATAAAATAATTCTCGTTAAAGCACATGAAAGTTGCACTATATATAGAAAATGAATAAAACTTCTGTAACTATTCATTGTTCACCCTTAAATCATACTTTATTAATGCTTTCAATTCCAGTCTAGATTAATCATAATTCTTATTTTAAAATATTTTAGTACCTGCTTTGTTCGAAAGAAAGCAGTGATTCGTTTATTTTAGTATGTTTATTAACATTACATATTATCGACAAAAAAAAAAAAAAAAAAAAAAAATTTTCTCTCTGAAGAGAAAAACTTTCTATCTGCCTTTTTCTGAATGCACAGAATTTTTTCAGAATATTTTGGAATTAATATCGATTAATTTCTGATTTTTGCTTAAAAGCATAAGACCAAATTCGTTTCCCTAAAACCTGTTTTGTATCTTTAGTTTTATTTTATAAAACTTAAGATTTTATTTTATAAAACTTAAGATGCAAACCGGGTTTTGGGAAAATGAATATTGGGGAAGCTAATATTGGGGAAATCAATATTTTGAAGAAGTTAAGGGGACTCATACACTTTAAAACCCATAAGATGTTCGAATAGGTGACTGTTGCAAGAATTGGGATTACTTATTGATTTTAAAAGCAATTACTTCCAACTTTTTACAGCTGACTACATAATATAGCTGCTTTCTGAAATAGTGATCAGAAAGTTTGTGTTGCCACAAATATTTTTATAATTTAATCCGCTTTGTGACAACATTTTTCGTCATGTTTCCACCTTGCGCGCACAGTTTAAAACATTCTGTTTCATAATTTAACTCCATATTTAATATATAGCTGTTATAACATTTGGAAACTACTGTGAACCTAAAATTCTATAAATTTCATATTCAATTTTTATTTTATTTTGAGTTCAGTTTATAAAATGTATTTTATTAACAAAATTTGTAATGTTTCGTCCACAAAATTTTTCAATATTAAAATATTTAACAGATTGTTGGTTCAGTTCCAAAAGTGCCCATATAAAGAATTCCATCGAATTTCAAGTATGTACCATTAGCCATTTTAAATATCATGCGCGCAAGGTGGAACCATGGCGAATATTTTGTCACAAAGAGGATTAAATTACAAAAAATTTGTGGCAACACAAACTTTTTTGGTTACTATTTTCGAAAGCAGCTGTATTATGTTGTCAGCTGTAAAAAGTTGGAAGTAATTGCTTTTAAAATAAAAAAAAAAATATCTCAATTCTTGCGACAGTCACATATTCGAAGATCATGAGGGGTTTAAGGTGTATGAGTCCCCTTAAGATTGCTGATTTCAAAAATGTATAATATGTTTTAATTTACGGTGCTAGTTAGCAAAAGTACCAAATGCTATCAAAGTAATGTAAATTATTATTCAAAGATATATATATATTGTTTAAATTTAAATTATCAAATTCAAATTATGAAACTAATTAAATTACACAATTTTATAAAAGAACTTTCAAAAGGTTTCTTTCCTTCCTTTCAAAACGTTCAACCATGTATTTATGTATTTATTCTTAGAGGTATATTATGTTAAAATTTAACTAATATTTCTAATTTTTCCTTATGCAAAGCATGTCATTTTTTTTCCCAAGCAACCCAAATAAAGTTTAAATCATGTCATGTTTGAAGGTTAATACTAAAGGTTTGAAAAATTAAGCGAAAGATATACATTGACTATTTTTTATTTGTCAATGATATTGTTACAACATTAAATTTATTTATCCGCACCTGTTAACATGCAGGCAGTTCCTAAAAGTATTCCATGCTTTTCATCTTCCCATGAGAGGAATTTTTTCGGCTGACATTTCCACTCTTCTGGCCTATCTCTTTGACGCACATAAAAGTACCTGAAATAAAAACATTATGTTACATTATATCGGGAATGAAATATCTGTACGGAAGATCTGATGCTGTTCACATACCTAAGAAAGCTTTTTATTTTTTTTATTTTTGAGTTTTCATGTTCGTTTTGTGTGATTGTATGATTTGAATTTACCAGATGTTTATTAAGTTTGTTATTTTCCATTGTGTTAACCTTTTTTTCTGTTTTGCTTTGTGGCTTCGCCTGTCAGCTCATAGCCATATGGCAGGTTTCGCATGCTAGGTGGGCTAGGGGCCAATGCTTAGACTTAACTAACCTAAGAAAGCTCTAAACAGTATTTGTTAAGAATATATAAATAAAAATATCAAACATCACCAATAGTAATTTTCTGGAAGTTGGCCTTCTACAGAGACGACAACATTTGTCTAATCATCTTAAACGCAGATTCGGGTGCTTTGTTCATGACAAATCCTTTAGATATGAGGAGAAAACAGTATCTGATTCTAATTTACCACGAAAAAGCAGTTTGCAAGATGACGGATAAGGGACGTTTGAGTGTTGAACAAAAGGTAAAAGTTGTAATGCTTTTCGAAGACATGAAGAGTTTGGTAGCGACTCAAGGTACAATATTCCATGCCTGCTTTGGTGCAAGATGAGCTTATTGCAAACAGAGCATTCACAGATTATACCAGCAATTAGAAGCCGCTTACTCTTTCTTGGAAAAGAATTGAGAGCAGCCATCAATTTTCGGCATGACATATCTCTCTATACACACTCAGTGGTTCAAGCAAGACGAGGCCTGCTCACTCATTGCACATAATGCTGTTGATATAGTGTGAGATGTTTAATGTGCGAGTAATGTCATATTGGTCTTCTATACGATACTGAGGTAAGAGGCAGTCGCCCCCGCATAATCCTGATGTTAATACATGTGGCTTCTTTATGGAGCTTTTTGAAAGATAACGTATTCCCAAGGAAGCCTGCAAGTGTAGCGCAACTCAGGGCTCTAATTATGCAGTTTTGGAAAAAGTGTACCAGAGGGTTGTAACAAATGCCCATTCGTTTCTATAGGTATATATAGGTTGCATTACAAACGTAATTAAACACATTCTACACTAAACTCACTTTCCCTGCTTGGGTAGTTAACTATGTATTCATCTTGTAATATTTGAGGGGTAAATAGATGTGTAATAAATAAAGTACTAGATATGGTATTTCATGAGCCGCCCTATTTTCGGAAATCATATGAAAGAAAAATAAATAAACTGTTGAATATAAGGATACCTACTGGTCATAACATAGTTTCGAAATACCGCGAAACAAATATGATTGATAGCAAACCAAGAAGAGGCCGTCCGAGCCCTTTCACTCAAAATGAAAAAAAGTGATTCGTTTTAAATTTTATTTGTAATTCTAAGCACAATGCAGTGATTTAGACATTAGGAGCTCAAGAAATATTTAATATGATGGTCTGATGGTGAATACACTGTAAGCAATATTTTAAGAAAATAAAAATTGCTTGGCCAACTGGAAGAAAACCATTTCTCTATAAAGTGAAACGATAGGCAAGATCACAATTCGCTAAGATCTATATTAGAAAGCGTTACGATTTCTAGAATTCGATTATATCTGTAAATGAATGCAAATTAAATATTTTTTAAATTGTTAGAAAGAAGTTGATATGGGGAACCGAAGTATTGAGTTTCAAATGAAGACTCTTACTCCATCGGGCATAGTAGAAGTAGCCAAATTGTCTGCGGCTGTGTGAGTGCTCGCGGCGTTGAAAATCTGCGTTTTATTGATGGCAAAATGGATAAATTTATGTATTTAAATATTTAAAACAAATTTGAAACACAGTGCTCAAAAATAGGCATATTTTGACATCAAAAACGTAATTCATACAATGACTTCAAACAAAATGTTTATATTTGCAAACTGTATTTTTCAAGTGTCCATACGGTTAACAAAACGCCAGCATATAGTCCAGACCTCAATCCTATTGATTAAATTTGAAATAATTTAGAAAGAAAAATTTAAAATCTTAAAATTTCAAATAGAAATGAACTTTAGAATAAATAAATGAACTTTAGAATAAATAAATGAACTTTAGAATAATAGGAAATTTTACAGTAGAATGAAGAAAACGGAATCAAATCTTTGTTAAAATATTGCAAAATCCATGCCTATAAGATTCAGTGAAGTCATTTAATGTAAAGAAGACTCAATACATTATATATGTATTTTTAGTGCATTTTTCAAGTATTTTTGTGTAATCAAGTACCTCTTAACGGTTACTTTTGTTTTTACAAAAGAAGTGCATTTATTTAATAATATTTTAAAATAGTTTGTACGATTTTCTGATTTTGTTTAACTCTAAGGTAAGGAAAATAAGAAAAGAATTTTATTTAAGTTAAATATTTAAGTATTCTTTTAAAAAATGCTTCAAAGCGTGTTGTGCCCTAATATGTTATTGACTTGCTGTACTTTCTATTTCTGCTTTTTCATACAATTTCTGACTTTAATGCTGGCATGAAATTTTGAATCATATTTATATTATAAAATATTTAATAGAAGCAATCAGTTTCAATATGTCATGACAGGATAATGGTATTAAAATGACACAACAAATGTTTATTCTTTCTGTAAGAAATAGTTATCAGAAACATTTAATTTTCTCTACTAGTTTGCACCTTTACATTTACAATTTAATTTGTAAATTAATGGCTTACCATTGCAGGAATCCACAAAGACCAAAATAGAAAATAGAAGACTGCGTTACTGAAGTCAAAATGTAGTACGGTAGGCCTCGAAAACGTGACTGTAACTGAGATATCAATTTGAAAAGACTTTCTTGACCTTCTTCCTTCGGATACTCATAAAACCGTCGAACGAAACTAGATAAAATTAGCAGCCAGTTGCCTAAAATATCATAAAAAGACATCTGTAGTGAATTATAAATGAATATGTGGAGTGAGATTATGGTATGAAAAATAATTTAATACCAACGGAAGCCAAACAAACAAAAATAAATAAATATAACACAAATATTTTACTTTGAATAAAAAAAACTAAAAACTATGTTATAACTTATCATTCATAATTGGGAAAGAAAAACTAAAGCAATAACAAAACAGAGGATATAGTTCTGTAGAAAAATTAATATGGTACATGTACACCGCTGAATGTAACACGTAACGTGAATCATGAGTGATTTTAGCAAGATTTTGCAAGTCTTGACGCAAGTTTCACCCACTGCGTTTGAGCACTATTATCAGATTCTTTAGGATTGTTTTCTATATGCTTTCTAACCATGTCGTCATATGATATCTGTTTCTCTGCATTTACATTGCTGGAGTATGGAAATCAGTTCATTCAGTTAGTTTTTTCAATTTACATGAAGATGATGATTAGAACGGTATAAGCATTCATAAAGATAAATGGAAATTCTGACAGCCATGCAAAATATCCTTTTATAACTTGACAACAAAGCTAAATATTTCACTCCGTTTACCAACAGTCCTCTTCTTGTCCGCACTATTAAGCCATGATACTATCTCTTCAGTAGTCAATTCAGTGACATCTGCCGCGAAGCTGATTTTGTGAGCTGAAACCAGAAACCAGATATATTATCATCATACAATCAATCACAAAAAGGAAAATAAAAAGAAAAACAAAAACGTATGCTTTCTTCCACGAGTAGAACATTGATCTATTGCCTGACATTCCTATTGAAATATTCACGATTTCTTTTGTGGTCTTATGTTAGTAACGTCGCGGGTTGCCTGGCGTACAAACCAGCCTGAATCAAATGCTTGAACGCAAGATGGCAGTATATCGTAATACCTGTGCTTCAAAATTATTTTTCTAAACTGTGAATAGGTCTACGTGATAACATGATTTCGTCCTTACGACTATGTAACGGTATTCTGCTGAAATTGCTTCGTGGGCTAGTCCTAGTTTTTATCTTCGGAAAGCTGATCAGCTTTCTGAAAACTGCTTTCAGAACCACATGAATATACTTTAGCCAAACTCATTCGATAAGTCTTGTACTAACACTCATTCAACCAACTTACCCATAATTCTGTCACGCATTTTCGTCATGATACAGTTCCATTCAATTTAAATATCTGTACATACAAAACGAACTCTCTTTATACGCTTCTGCTTCAGCATTTATTGTAACGAGATTCTACGCATTTCTTTGATCGCCAACCATTTGGGTATATCTTTCTCATATATTAGCGGAAAATCTACGTTTTGACCCTTAAGGCAAATCAGCCATCTCATAGAATGTGCATTATAGCACCGAATATTGTTTTTCGGATTTATGAAATTAATAATAATTAATAATAAAAAATTAAACATTTCGGTGAGTAATAAATTGTTTCATTAATGTATAACTTACAATAGAGTTTTTCAGAAAATATTTTTGAAGGTCGTCGTTCGGCTCGAGCTGCTATTTGCTAAGCAAGTAAAGTTTAGAATTCTTAGAGTAGACACTTTTTCGTGTGCAAAGAATTTTTTTAGTAGACACTATTTCGTGTGAAAAATCTTTCTGAAGTTTTCTTCGTTTACAAATTTCATTATTTTATAACTACCGAACAAATGGGAATATCTGAATTCATATGTCAGAAAATAATCCCATAGGAAAAGAAATAAAGGTAAAGGCTTTTTAACAAATAAAACATAAGACATTTAACTTTCTAAAACACGGAAAGCCTTTTAATTAGAGCTTTTGCTCCACGAACTACGTAAAATTTATATTTTCTATATATATGTATTCGGAGAATCGTCCTGCCCTCGTTATGGGCCTATTTTCATACCTTACTCGAGAAACTTTATAACAAGAAGTTAATGTTTAGAATCCATATTTAAGAAAATAAAGCTTGTAGTCTCGATTTTCGGACTCTGTGCATAAAACTGCAACTATCGAGTTCAAACTGAAGAGTGATTGAAATTTGCAAAATATTTAAGTACTGAAGTCAGGAAAATAGGTAATATTTTTTCAATGTTTTCGCTTTTATCTTAAAGGAATCACAGGCCGAACAACTTTCTTTGTAATAAGCCTGTAAGAAAAGAGAAAGGAGAAAGTTTAATAAAAATAATAAATAATTTTTTTACATATCCGAGAAAGCTTGAGAAAAGTTTCCTTAGTATATATTAGTAGCTTTTAAGCTATGCTGGCATCATAGGGTAATCGGAATATTGTACATTCATCTCGGATTCGAACAAAATGGATCTAGCTACATGCGTGTTTCTCGTAGATACCTCATGCATAGTGCAATCAGCAGCCAGTTTCTCTTAAGAAGTCCTTCTTTACATAGGTGTTCGTTCCCACAGACAAATAGTCCTCACTTACTTTGCCTTATTCAAATCCTACTTCGGAGGACTGAAGGCCAATCAATCCTTTTAATGATTCTACAAGTCAAAACCAAAATTTAATAAAATTTTAGTAACAAAATAAACATCTTAAATTAATTAATTAATTATTATTATGTTGTTGTTATTATTAACTGAACTTTAAGAAGAGGTTCTCTTTTTATGAGCAAATATTAATAAAATAAAATATTTCATTTTCACTTTTCGTATAAAGTGAATGAAACATTGATAGTTGCCTAATTTCTTTTAGCCTTTACTTTTCTGATTAGAATTAATAATATAAGAGTAACCTAATATTTTGATAATAAAATGTTTTTACTGAAATAAACTGCACTTTTAAGGAATCGCTGTATCGGCGAAATCTGACGATCATTGATGTACGTTAAATAATTGTTTTGGGCATGATATATTTTTATTTATTTTAAACTCTTTTCTAAAATACTAACCTTGCATTGCTATGCCAGCAAACAATATTAATACTATGGCCAAGCATTTCCCAGCTGTTGGATGTAGTCTGGACCACAACTTTTCCAAAAAAAAGAATACAGAATCTGTTGGTATGAAATGAAATATTTCTCGAACGTTTTTCCGGAGTGTGGTTCGTTTTTTGGCGAAACCATTCTGAAATAAAAACCAGAAGTGCATTTTAACTTCATTCAAAATTATGAAAGATAAACGTAATTAATTTAATACGGCAATGTAAAGCACTTTTCTAAATAGAACTATTGACATGTTTTCAAATTTCCTCATTATTTATTTCTTATTAAAACGTCCTTCAAGTAAATTGCATAATGTATTGCCTTTTATTCCTTTGTAAAAATAATCTTCGTAAAAATATATTTGTAAATTACAAAGCACTTGTTTTAAAACTTTATATCTGTTCTGGCGCGGACTCGCCTCGAAACGTTATTTCTTGTGTAAGAAAACTTTTTCGCTTCCACATCGAAAGTGGTGGCTTATTCTAACGCGTCAGCTTAATTGTCTGTTAAAATATTCGGTGTTATGCACCTTCTTCTTCTTAGCTCAGTCTCGAACACATGACCTCGTATCTGCTGAATGTAAATTACTACTCTTTTTCGAAAACTAATAGTCCAATTCTTTTAATGCATATTTGAGAACTTGTAAAAATGATGTTAAAATATATTTGTAAATTACAAAGCGGTTTTATTTTCTACCTTTATATCCATTCTGACGGTAGACACCCCCATCTTCTTACCTTGATGCTGAAAGTTAACCTATCTTTATTAAAAACCAATGGACGTTCTCCTTAATACTCATTTGAGAATTTATCTTATATTTGAATTAAACTTTAAAACTTTAACCGTACATTTATATTAAACATAATGCTTGAAAGCGCAAAAATGATTTTTTATCATAAAATTAAAACCAACAGATGTATGTTAACATAAAAAACTAATAAATCTAATAACTTATAAATATAGAAACTAACATATATGAAAAATAGCTCAGTGAAATATTCTAAAGATAGATAAATTTCGAATTAATTTTACCAATATTCCAATTCAAAGAGAAATTTGATGATTTTCTGTCAAAGATTTAGTCTTCCTTCCTGTTTAACATTCCACCAAAGACTGCTATGAAATTTCTCACTTTTGCTTCGTTCTATCAGTTATTAGAATTGTCATATTTAGTTTTTTTACATATATTGCTTTTAAATTCTCATTTTGTGCTTAAGGCAAGCTCTGACCGAGATGTTAACATCGTTGAATACTGGTTTGACCCCGTCTAACGTGCCGCCTGCGTGGAGGGTTTTCATGGTTTTCCTTATGTGTAACTTGAATATAAGCCTGTTACTCTTATAAAGTCATCCATTTTAGGCTGTAGAGTCATTAGGTTATTCTGAAGCAGGACTACAGGAAAAATGTGCAATACCTTCGCCGGGACTGTAACCCGGACCTCTCGAATACACGCTGAGTGTGCTACCGTTACACCACTAAGGCATTACGGAAGGAGGAAGAAAATGCCTCATAAGACTTTCCTTCTCTTTTAAAATCCACCCCCTAGAGCAGCTAACTCTCGAGGGCTTGGCTGTAATACAACAATCTAGTCTTACTACTGGTGCATATGCTTTTATATAAATTAAAGTTTGAACTCTTTCTGGAATTTTCCTTAAACTCTCACTATTCAATAATTTCTTAACTTATTTGCACCTATATTTTGTTTACACATTTTTGAGTATAATTTTAGTCAGTTTTTATTAAAAGGTTTTTAGTTAAATGCCAAAAGATCAGAAGTATCGCTGGGCATTGTACATTTCATTATTTCTAATAATTTAACTAACATCATGGACCACTAGCTAATAATTTCTATTAGTGCCTGTACAATTACGTTATAGAATTCACGGCTTCCTTTGTTTTGTTTTCAGGGTTTCGCAGAAATGTGACAGAGATTCATCTCTCGCAGTTTTACAGTCCTATTCGGGTGGTGCTTTTATACAAAATCTTGCTCCCGTTCTTAAACTTTATATGTTTTCCTAATCACATTTGAAGTGGGATATCTTTTCCTCTATTCCTCTCCCTCTTCAGGCGAGATCTCCTATATGACTTGCTTTCGATGCAGATTGATAAATTCGTCAGTTGTCAGCTCCTGGTCCTGTTCTTCCACTAAGTCTTGAAATGCTGTTCACATTCATTTCAATCTCATAGTTTTCCCCATGAACACAATTTCATGGACAACTGGCAGCTCCTATTTATGACCAACCCATCCAAGTCATGTCCATAAGCTCAGGCAGGAGCTTCTCCAAGCAGAAATCAGAATTTCCTTGGTAACCCAAATCCAGGCTTTACCGGTGATCATGAAGCTGATCACGATATGGTAATTATAGTCCCACGTTCCGTTCACAGAAACAGTGGAGCAAAACTTTTTAAAGTTCAAAATAAATAAAATATACGTGTACCTAGAGCTATGAAGGGTTACTGAGAGGAAAAACTTGGGCTTAGTGAACACGAATTCCGCCAGTTAAGTCGCCCTCCAAGTGTAGGGGATGTGCAGAACCATTATCCATAAACAGAAAGGCTTTAAGCGGCTGATTCATTTCTAAAAAGGTATTTCTTTCTTACGGAACTGAAGACCTTGTTGACCCACTCAAAGGGACAAAATAAAAGCGCCGCAGACTGTGCTATGAGACCTTAATGTAACGTTAAAGAGGCTGTTCTGCATTCTGCGTTTCTTGAATTTCGTGAATTCTTGGAATAATGTACGAGAAGGGGCTTGGCTTTAAGATCTCCGCATATAAAATCTATGTTTTACGGGCCTGTAACCGGAAATTGTATTCTATTCTGCTATAATGTAGGTCATCTTCGACATTTTTTCAAATAAATGCTTTTTCATTGCAGATAAAAATTTACTTAGGCAAGTAACAATCGGCTAGGCAGCGAAATCGTCAGCTGCCTGATAGTCTGAAATAGTAGCCTGTCGGTGCTTCACAACATTATGAGTTTCGCTTTTTTAAAATTATCAAATCTTCCGGATAAACTTTATTATTCGTGATATAAAATTGTATATGAATTTTGCAAAGAGAATTATGTAATCCTTTGACGCTTGTATATAACCTTTAAATTCAAAATTGCCCCGATAGTGTAGTTTATTTCGATTAATTTTATATATATATATATATATATATATATATATAACTCTATATACTTGATTAATCATCGAAATGAAATTGTAATTATTACACATTATCGAATTACATAAATTTACCTGTATAACAGAAATAGTCCTTTCTGTGTGGATTATAATTGTTTCGGAACTGTCACAGAAGCAGCATTAAGTAGAGGCATCAAATTTGCATTTCTAAATAATCGGAATCTTGTAGAACTCCTAGGGAATCCTAGGAAATATTTTCTTATATATCTGCGAAGGTTCTTGAACTTCTGTAGCTTATGGAATGATGACGAGTCAAAACTAATTACCAGAAAAATAGCAATAATAACTCTGATAATAGAGATATTATTTGTTGTCCATAGGTGTGAATTTCATCAGTTTATTTATCTCGTTTAATAGAATTGATAATGCTGCCAAAGCAAGGTTATCGCATGCCTTGAAAAATAAATTTCAATGACTATGCAGTAGCTATTAAAAGTCTTGTGACCTTTAACCTCAGTTACAGAAAGAAAAGTATTTTAATTGAATTATTTAATTTCTGAGATGCTGTAAGCGCTGCATGATTCTTGATATTTCTTAATATCCCATAAACTGATATATAATGAAAAAATGCATGGCTTCAGAACAAGAAAGCAGGTGAAGAAAAGGCAATTTTATAAGCTTTTATTTAACTGTCTCACGACGCTACGATCAAAAGTTTGTTATCTAATTTTAAACTATTTCCTGCAAAGATGTCTAGAGCAAAATTTCATTATATATTGTTTGTAACTGATAATTGTTAAGCTACGTTTTTCAGAATTCCTTTTCGATTCTCCTCTAATTTAACTCTGAAACGATTTTCTGCTCATATTATTGGTTAACGATGAAATTTAAGTATGCCAGAGTATTAATATGTCAGAATTTTAATATTTGCAGCATCTGATATAAAGTGCAAAAATTTTTTTTAATGAAATTTCTCTTTTTTTTTTTTTTTTTTTTGTAAACTTCCGAATATCGTTCGATTTTTTGTTACTATTTGATATATTTTTCTTCAAAATTTCAGTATCTAAAAATGCATTAGTTAGGAGCTTCCGGAATTTCCTCAACTTATGTAATAAAGCCTTTGCTTGTTTTTAAAGCAAGAATTATTAAAAGATATTAATTGAACGATTTTCTACATTTTTTAGAATTATGCTGTAGTAAAAAAAAGAATGAAATGTATAAGTTCTTCCTTGGGCGTTTCTTAGAATCAAAATTTTCTGCAATGATATTACTTCATGCTATTTTTCTTGTGTCCGCAGAAATGTTTCTAAAATTGATTTTCTTTCATTATCTGTCTCATTCTCCTTGCTGCAAAATGTTATTTGCAATGAAATTAGGCTTACTATTGACATTTGTGCCTTTTTGTAAATTCTATATCTTTTTCTTCTTCTTTTATTAATGCATTTTGCATTTACTATTAATTTCACTTTAGTAATCTTAAAAACAGCAGAATTTAAGAATTGATTTGCATTTAAAATTATTCTCAATGAAATCTACTGCGTCATTTTTAATGTTACTTATTTCATAAGAATATTTACAATTTTCTCAGCATTTCATTTTAAATTTCATTTTCTTGATTTTATTATGAAATGCAGTATATTTCTTTACGGAACTTTAAAATTTTTATATTAAAAATGTACCTGTTATAAAGATTTGAAATTTTGAAATGTTGTAAAAGAAAATATTCACCATCATTTTTTAAAACAAGAATGTTAAAAAAGTACTGCTTATGCCATTTTCTAATTTCTTTTTAAGCTAGCAACGCTGTTATAAGCTTTTATTTAATAGGCCTTAATGTTCTTCACTATCGTTAAAATCTTATCGTCGATTCTTTCATTGTTTTATAATAAGCTAAAGAATTCAGAAATGTTGCTTCTACACTCATTGTGGATGAGTGTGTGTACAATAAACAAACTCTTAGAACTACTATCTGCAGCGTAGGATAGACTAAAACAAAGAATCTTTTAAATGAAGTTTATACCTAAACCTAAATTTCCTAGTGTATAACCTAATTTCCGATTTTTGGCATAATCTTCAATTTCTTTTTGACCATTTGATATAATGCAATTCTTAGACGTAAAAAAAATGTCGTCCATTATTTAATTTAAGTGGTTTTTAAACTGAGTAATTTGATTGATAACAGTCTAAAACAATTATAAAAATGGTTATAAAAAAGCTTTCCTTTAAAATTTATAAAATTCTAAATGAAGTAAAAGAAAATTATTTATCATGTAGTTTCAAACAGATTAAGTAATTCTCCTTAAATGTTCATCTGCTGTTTTTTATACCACGAAAAATAAAACACAGCTGAAAAGCTAAATCGAAATTTAAAAGGAATTGCGTTATCAAGAATGTGAGCTATATTAAGTTCAAGGGCGCTCCATGCATTTATGTTTAGTGATATAACATTACAGCTGAATTTTTTAAAGGGCATTTAATCCATTGTTCCCATTAAGTTATATGATAAATTACTTTTATCTTTTTAAACCATTAATTATTTTATAAGTTTTAGATGAAAGCTTATTTTATGAATTTAAAAAGATTTCTTTTTTTGATTATGTTCTGCTTTTTTGCTTTATTGGAAATGTCAAGTTAATTAAGAAGAAAGTCATACCCAAAGGTAGTACATGAAAAATTAAAAATCAAAGTACTAACTGAAAAACAAAAAAGCATTACATATAAAAATGAGCAAAATCAATTTTGCTCAAAAAATGGTTAGGACCTTCATGGCATAGGAATTCTAAACTTGCATTTAAGCTTCTTTAAAAGATTTTGAAATCTTTTAAAGAAGCTTTGACTAATGACTTTTGAGTTTATATATATATATGAGATAAAAGTATGTAAAGCAAATATTTTGATTTTAACTGGCAAAAGCCCCTTTTATTCTTCATTTTAATTTGGACATTTTCCCTTTCTGTTCTAAAAATAATATCTTTTAATAATATATCAATCTAAACTACGCTATTTCAAATTAATTCGTTTCAGAAGATCCTACAACACTGCAAGGCAGATATCTTTTAGCCAATCAGTGAATAAGATTTCAATTCAAATCAAATATTTTGTGAATCAAACATTTTGTCATTCTCCGAGGCTTTCGTCTAAATACGTCGGACTTTCCCACTTGCTGGCTTGCAATTAACAACTCAATTTTCTTTATCATTCATTGTCTTAAGATGTGCAAAGCTTCCAAAAATGTTTGGTGCATATTACGCCCATTATGATGCGTGAATAAGAATATGTGCCTCAAGAATTTTTTACCCAGTAATAAAATGTGTTGAATCTACAGCTACATTTGTTTCCGAATCTCATCATGTAACTGATGTGAAGCAAAGCTAAAAAAGCAGGAGTTCTGGACACAGTAGTATTAAAAAGATATATATGGTCAAATTTTATAGCTCACATTTAAAACATATCTTATCAAAATAGGAAGTTAGAGGATAAAAAATCACAAGAAAGATACTATAACATCAGGAAACTTCCTGATTAAAGAAAAGCCAAATTAATGATTCTGCCTCATGTTCACTCAAAACTAACAAAGACTATATGCACGTTAAATAACAATATTTGAAAACTGATATAATATGAAAATGAGTTACATAAAACACACTTCTTATGTATGCATGGAAAATATTTTATTAATATCTATAGACTTTTCTGGACAATATCTTCAGAAGAGCTACAACAATTCATGGATATCGATAGGCCTTTTTTCACCTGCGTAGAAATTCAGAGATATGATTCTGACATACGAAAAAAGAAGTTAGTAATGCCAAATTCTGAAATAAAAAAGAATAAAACCAAATTAGCATAAATGAAAACTTATTGAGAAGCCAAACTGTTGTCTAATAGATATATTTATACTAGTTTTAAACTGGTAAAAAATCAACTGCTAACTTATTTTTTCTATAGAAAGCAAATGGCTTCATATGCTTATAAGCTACTATGTTAAAGTGAAGAAATTTTATTGGTAGGAAACACTTAGTTGCTGTGAATTATATCTTCTGTAATCCTATATTAATTCAATTGCCTTTTCGTCCTAAACGCTTAACAAAGTCGCCAAAATGCTCCTAAATAAATTAAATGCAACAACTGTTCTGTATATGATATGATATCTATGTCGTAAGACATTATTTGTTAATATCTTATCTGAATTCTGTTATGAAACAACAATTCCCCCAAAAGTTTACATTACTGGCCGTTAAAACTTCTTGTGTCCACGTGTGCACACACTGTGGAGCGTTAATATTTGAAGTTTTCTTTCTTTATCGTGATGCCTTTGGCATGACGGAATGAAGTGCTTCTGAGTGCACATACTTTCATCTATAACTCTCATACCCGGTACTTTGACTAGCCGATATTGTATTGTTGTGATTGTAACGCTCGTGGTTGTGCCATACTTATGGAGCTTGCATCGATTCACCTTTCTACAGGACAATGAGACAATGCATTTCTTCAACAAGCAAGTTGTTCGACTCCCATTTGTTCGGATCATTCTCTAAACCTGGCATCACCTGAAAAAGTATTAACTACCAGTTTAAGGTCAAATTAACACCCTCGAACCGGTAAAAAAGATACACTCAGGCAGAGTAGTGAAGATTCATGAACATCTGCCGTCGATCGCACTTATGAACGACATGCGATTCTACTAACTGCTCTTTTTCATGATTTAATACTTTCAGTGACCATCGATACAGTTGTAATTGCATATGACAGAAAACGTAATCATAGTTTAAAAAATTACGTTTTATTTTAAAAATTAAAATTGTTTTAATTGCATTTCACTAAAACGTTTACTTACATGTGTATTTCATTTTAAAAGCTTGCCATTTAATTTTACATGCACTTGTTCAAAATTAGGAGAATATGCGCTTCTTTGAAATTTTCAAAAACATAATGGACAGAACTTAGTGGAATTCCTTGCAGATCTAAAATTATATGCGACAGACATTTATATTTTAGGACATTAAAAGAGTACTGATAACCGTGAGCAATACTTACAATAGCAGGACATGTCCAAACCTGACCCTGCAAAGTAGGGCTTAAAACGATGCATAGAACCTAACATTTCAGATAGGATAATCTATATAATTGCATGTAACAAACACTCACTTCACACAGAGAGTTATTATGTTGACTAGACAGTTGCTGAGTAAAATATATCATAGCAATTCGTAAATCCTGGGCAGTTTAGAGGCGCTTATCGAACTGCAGTTGCCTTACCAAGTGCATCTCAAATGTTTTTCATCTGTTCAGTCTGAAACTGTGTTGAAGAGTCAACCCGTAGGATATTCTAAAGTTGAAGATTCAGTTCAGTTGAGCTCATGTAGTTTGACAACTGAAATAAATTTGAACTCAGCGCCAACTGTGCTCTTAAATATCACACATAAGATCAATAATCTGTTTTTATTTCTGAGGTATCAGAGAAGTGCCAAACACGTAGAGAGATGAGGGGCCGTGTCTTATGTCATACGGATCACTTTCCCTAATGTTGAAGGAAGTTTCTCAACAACTTTCTCTAGATGACGGTACACCGGAAGTCAGTACCTAGATTAAATCTAGATTCGCCAGTCTAGAGGAGTTGTTCCAACAGAAGTTGGGAAATACTAAATCAAGTAAATGTTAATATTCTAGGGATAATCCAAAATTGAATTATGAATATTTTATGAAAATTAGTTTCTGATGATAAATACTTAACTTTCTGATAAAATTGGAAAAATTTTAAAATTTCGTAAAATCTGCAAAATTGATTTGTAGATAATTTATTTCTTATTTACTTTGATTTAGCAGTCGAGGTTCTTAATATTTTAGCTTCTAAAGGAATAAAAGAATTTTGAATTTCCTGTGTATTGCTTTATTTCCATAGTTTTGATATATTAATGAAACATCCTCATTGTTTTAATAATAACTCAATTTGCACTTACTTAAACTTTAATGTTGGTTCTACTCGCTTAAAAAAAGATTTAAGTTAAAATTTACTGATAGAATCTTGAAGATGAATAAAAATAAAGCAACCATGGTGGGGGGAAATGAAAATTTTAATAACCTACTTCTTTTCAGTACTGACCGCGCTTTTAGAATTCTTTTACTTCGATAGTCGTAGGTCAAGAAATACTCCTTCTTCAATTTGGAGCCTTCTGCACATTGGAGTTAATTATGACCAAATACCTTTATTCCCATTAAGGTTTCTTCTATATAGATTGATTTTTATGCCGCATAAAGTAAGATGCCTCACAGATATCAGTTACCTAATTTCGTTTACAAAATAATTAAAACACCATAGTTTTCTTGCAAAATTAGGTCAAGTATAAGTCACTATGAAAACTTCACTACCTCTTTAGATAATTTATAAACAATACATGTTAAATATTGTGAAATAAAATATAAACAACAGCTTTCAGAGACGCACGCTAGAAGATCTACAGAAGCCCATTGTCTGCATTAAAAGTTCCTCCCTTGGTTGCTCCACCGATGTGTAAGTAAGAATTACACAATGATCTTTTTAAAATACTTTTAAAACGCTCCTGATGCATATAATTACATGGATGTTTTAAAAAAAAATTTAATAATAAAAGAGTTATTTGTTATTTACAGCTCAGATCAGAAGACTAACGTTTGAAATGATTAAAATTCCTAAACAGTAATATTTCGTTAAGGATTTGGTTGCTCTTCGGACTGTGTACTATTATTTTTTTGTTTGTTTTATATTAGACTAACATGGATAAGGACCAAACTTTCGCAAGAGAGCTGTCTACTGTGAATCGTGATGCCTTAACATCTCCAAAAATTAGGGTTACTTAATCTAAATGGAATGTCTTATGTAGCAAAATAAAGCGAAGAAGTTCATATTGTAATCGATTAGATTTCCAATCCCTTTTACTCCAACAATTCTAGTAAAAATAAAAATCCGAAACACCCGGTTCTGTTCTATTGTGAAACTGGTGGTCTACTTATAATGGTGATCAGAAAAAATTGCTATAACGTTTATTCCAGAAATGAACTCTGCTGAAGAAATATATATTATACATATAGCTGAGTAAAAAATGACATCACGATTTTCAAGTACTAATTAAACCAAAGCAGCTGAAAGATGAGGTGCTGAGCATCCTCGATTCCTGCTGGGTATTTGGATAATCTTGGTTCCCGAGCGATATGTTAGGTTCATTTTTCTGTTAAATTAATGTAACTTAATTATTCCAATATTAAATACATCTTTTGGAAATTAGAAGAATAGCTGGACGGGATGCAAATGATACATTGCTGTCTGAGCTCTTTGGAAGAAATAAGTTCTGAAACAGTTCTTTGGAAGAGACGTTGCTGCTCTTTGGAAGCAACAAGCTCTTTGGAAGCAACAGAACAAGGTTTCTACTCTTTGGAAGAAATATGTTCACGAATCATCTAATTATATTAGATGGCACTTATATTAGATGACAGCAAAGATATATTAATTATGTGAATAAAAGAAAACGATTTTGTTTTTTTATATTTTCTTTAAGGCTATAGAAATATTTTTTTCTGTTCCAGAATGTATTTAAAAAACACAGTTGTCTGTTAATATAAAATAATGGGTTCAGGAAAAGGAATTACAAGTCATGTATCAGATAATTTTAAAGATTAAAGAGATATGCATACAGAAACAGATGCAGATAATAGAGATTAGACAGTTACAAAACAATACAAATTGTATCAGATTATACTTAAAACAATAAATAAATAGAACAAATTTGTAAAAACAACGTACGGTAATTGGCAAAGTTTTGAAATATGTAACTTTATACGTGATTACGTTTAATAAAAATTAAATATAAAATAAATGCAGCATTCATACATTTTAATAAAAAAATTGTGTGCACCACATGATTTCCTTGTACGGAATATTAAATTACGCTAATTTTTTCCTGCGTTTCATTTAAACTATTTCATTCCGGCGTTAATTACCTATGTTGTATGATTTACTATGTTGTTATGTTACATACCCGAAATTTTTCGCGATTACAATGCTTCCTTTTTACTTCCTACAAGGAAGTAAAAATACTTAATTTTTTTTTCTTTTTGAAAACAAACACACGAAGACACCGAAATAACAGTTACTGATGACTTTACCTTTTCAGTGCTTTTTTGACTTAAATTTAAGAGATTAAAACATTTTGGAAACATTTACCAACATAGTAAATTTTTCTTTAATAATTAATATTTCGGTCTCGAATAAAACAGCTTATAGCTTTAAATTTATAGTATATGCTGTAAAAGCAGTTTTAAAATACATTTCTTAATTCGTAATATTTTCCTTTAATAATTTTATACTACGAGGAAAAACAGATCACGATGCATAAAAACGAAAGGAAAGTGAAAGGAACGCTGTAGTTTATCTCTTCTTAACATTCTTAGGCTAGGTCTGTGTCGATCTACCGAGCGCAAAATAAAAGCAGTAGATGTATCATATGTACAACTCTTCAAATGATTTCGGTGCCGAAATAACAAACAAATGAAAAAAACAAATTCTTGGTTTTTTTCATTTGTTTGTTATTTATGTCAAAGCTCTCGAATGGTTCAAGTTAGTACGAATATTTTCATTAGCTTAAATATTTTAAGAGAAGCTTCTCATATATACGCCATATAGAGGAAAATAACGAAACAGTGTAGTCTTCTAAAATGGTATCCATGGACAAACACAGTGCTTAATAGTTCCCAAAATTTAAAGCAAATGATTGATTGAGAAATTTTCCCTCTCGTAAAATAGTAATCAGGAAAATGATCAAATTTCTTTCATAAGTTTTTGCTGGTAAAGACAGCAGAAAAAAATTAGATAAAACAAAATAGTTTAATACTTACATTTGGCGTCATCTAAAAAATCGTCAAATTCATCAGCCTGTGCGTGAATAAAAGTCAGTAAAGCCATTGCCACAACGAAGCTGAAAACCAGAGAACGTTGTACAAACTCCATACCTCATGCACGAAATCAATCCGTATATATCCTTTCCTTTAGAGCATCCTTTTATATGAAATTTTATATGAAAAGTCTAGAAACTAAATGCTGCATCATGAAGTAGAATGAAAGCCGGCAAAATTGTTTTTAAATTAGAATGTCGCAAAACATAAAATCTGCTATATTAACTACATTTAGAAATATTGCATAAATTATACAAGTTTTGCATTTCATTATTTCTAACTATTTATTAAAATTAGTGACTTTACAATCTTTCTTACTCTGACAAATTCACTTATTGCGTACTGTAAGAATTGCAGCAATTTTAGCCCAAGGTTAATTCTGTATGTAGCATCACCTCACAGTAGTGTAAGTAATATAGCAGTTTTGCGAAAATTAAAATTATTTGTTTTTTCATATTAAATAATTCTACGAAGTTAGTCCTATTTTCTTATTATTCCTTAAATTCCGTTAATATATCTGATATACGTATTTATACATGCGAAAAGTAAGTAAGGTATTTGAAGTACAGATATTAATTTCTCGCGTTCTTTATCAGAAGTAATGAGTTCTAATTTATTGTAAAATGCTGAAGAAAATTACATTATTATAATAAAAGGAAACCTGTCAATTTAAAGCTCATATAATTAAAAAAAATCAAACATAGATTGGAAATGCGTTTCCACAAATGTCGTCCATTAGAAAATCCCTCAAATTGACGTAGAAATGTTTTCAGAGCTCAGAGTTTATTTTTATATGTAGTCTGTTCGATGTTATGCAAATTGTATTTCTTTCTTTGTACCGAGGAGCGGCGCAGACGCAAATTTGTTAGGTTTTTAAAGCTCACGTTTAGAGCTTTGAGGAGGCTGTGAATTACTGGAGTTTCAACTAAGCAGAGGTTCTTCTGAGTTTCTTGATAAGCCGCTACTGAAGTCTGAGGTTTCAATGTGGTCTTCGCCGTTCCTCAACCAACTTACTGTTTGAAAACCAATAAAGAAGTTTCGGTCAACGTTATGACTCTGAGGTTTCTTGGGTTCTATACTGAAGTAATATCAAGTCAATTTACAGTCCTCTATTTTTAAACAACGAGACGTATATAGTTTTTAATACAAAATAATTAATTTTAAATTTATTAAATTATGAAAGATTGTAAAACAATAACACGTCAATTTTAAATATTTCCATGCTTTTTAGGCATGAAAAATCAAAATCTAAATTATAAAAACGATTCAACATTTTGTTTTCAAGATTTACCCGTTTCAAGAGTTGCTCAAAGTAGAGCATTTTCTCGTGTAGGGATTGATTTAGCAGGACCATTTAATGTTAAATATCGTCCTGGTAGAGGAGTCAAAATCTTTAAGTGTTATATATGTCTATTTATTTGTTTTACTACAAGAGCAATACACTTAGAATTAGTTGGGGATCTTTCAACAAAATCATTCCTCGCGACATTTAAGCGGTTTATAGCTCGTAGAGGCAAACCGTGTGAAATTCAGTGATTGTGCAACGAATTTTATAGGAGCTAATAAAGAATTAAGGAAAGCCTTTTCTACTGTTCAACGTGATGAACAGCTACAGGGTTATATTTCTTCAGAAAATATTAAATGGTTATTTAATCCTCCCTCCGCCCCTCATTTTGGAGGGCTTTGGGAAGCGGGTATCAAGTCTATGAAACATCACTTAAAAGATGTTTAGGAACACTTACTTTAACATACGAGGAATTTTTGACATTAATAACCCAAATTGAATCCCGTCTTAATTCTAGGCCTTTGGTACCAGCTTCAAGTGATTGTAGCGACTTGGAGGCGATAACACCAGGACACTTTTTTACCGGAGCCGCTTTAAGCGATATTCCAGAATCTAACCAAATTCAAGAAACCATGAGCTGCAGTGATCCTTGGAGGAACGTGCAAAGGTTATTTCAACATTTCTGGAAGAGATGGAGTAGTATTTATCTAGGTTGCAGCAGAGACCCAAGTGGTGCAAGTTACAATAAGATCTGAAGATTGGTGATACGGTTCTTATTAAGAACGAAAATCTACCTCCGCTACGTTGGAAATTAGGTAGAATTACTAAAGTGTATCCTGGTCTTGATGAGAAAGTTCGAGTGGTGAGTTTACGCACGTCCAATGGTGAAATAAAATGACCTATAGCAAAGCTATGTGCTTTGCCATTTAATTCCTGATTTAGAGACTTTAATTTTTATTTTCAGGTTTATTCAGTTTAACAGATTAAATTTATTGTTTGAACCCTCTTGAAACTTCAAGGCTGGGGGTATGTTTGATGTTATGTAAACTGTATTTCTTTCTTTGTACCGAGGAGCGGCGCAGACGCAAATTTGTTAGGTTTTTAAAGCTCGCGTTTAGAGCTTTGAGGTTGCTGTGAATTACTGGAGTTTCAACTAAGCAGAGGTTCTTCTGAGTTTCTTGATAAGCCGCTACTGAAGTCTGAGGTTTCAATGTGGTCTTCGCCGTTCCTCAACCAACTTACTGTTTGAAAGCCAATAAAGAACTTTCGGTCAACGTTATGACTCTGAGGTTTCTTGAGCTCTATACTGAAGTAATATCAAGTCAATTTACAGTCCACTATTTTTAAACAACCGGGACGTACAAGTTTTTGGTCCGTCAGCTACGGAGTCGCAGTAAAATTGGTGAGTCAGTGTGTTTTTATATCTTTCTTATTAGATAATGGAATTTACAACGCTTAAGACTGAAAAGTGTGTAGCTAAAGCTAAGTTGAGTAAACTGAAAGAGAAAATTACAGTGACTTACGATTCTGCTGATGTTGATCAGTTAGAACTTTTTAAATCTAGATTAAATAATGTAATGACCGAACTTTCGGATATTTTTAGTAACATACTTGTAGTCTGTGAAGAAAAAGATATTGATGTCTTTATAGAAGAACAGCAGGTCATACAAGATGCTGTTGATGAGCTAATTTTAATGCTAACCAGAGTTAAGAATGTTAAAGACATTAGTGTGGAAACTAAATCTTGTGAAATAGCGAGTATACGCTTACCTAAGCTAACTCTTCCTGTATTTAGTGGCAGTACTGAAGAATGGTTATCATTTTTTGATTTACTTAAAACGGCGATAGTGGATAATGACCGTTTATCAGGTGCACAAAAGCTACTATATTAAAGGGTTCTTAAAAGGAGATGCTTTGCGGATTGCTCAAGCTTTAACTATTTGTGACAGGAATTTCGAAATAGCGTGGCATTTATTGTGTCAAAGATTTTCACATAAGAGAGAATTACTTTCATCGTTATTAAAGAAAATCTTGTATTTATCAAATTTACAAGCTGAAATTCCTAGTCAGATATTAGCGTGAGTAGACACTCTAAGAGAAGGTGTATGTTCGTTTGAAAATCTAGGATTCAAAGTGGAGCAATTCGCGGATACTATTTTAATGTTAATAGTACAGTTTAAATTGGATTCTTCGACGAGAGGATGGTGGGAAAGAACATTAAAGAGTGAGGAACTACCAACACTTAATGAGCTGTTAGAGTTCTTGAAATCTCATGCCAGAACCTTGCAAGCAGGTAAAACGCAAGGTGTTAAAAAACAAGTTACAAAAGACAAATTAACTTCATTGGCTTCAGAGATTCGCGCGCAGTGTACGTATTGTAAAGCCGGTCATTCAGTTTTTAAATGTAATAAGTTTTTAAATCTGAATGTTCAGGAACGCGTTAATTTTGTCAAGAGAAATAATGTTTGTTTTAATTGTTTGGTTTCAAATCATAAAGCTTTCGAGTGTAGAAGTACACATAAATGTAAAAAGTGCTTTAAAAATCATCACACACTACTGCATTTCGAAAGAGTTCAAAATGAACCAAAGGCACATAAAGGAGTTACGAACAGTTCGAATGAATTATCAGTGACGGCTAAGCCATTTTTCCCTGAAGCCAGAACCTCGCGTTCAATCGGCTGGGTCAGGGGAGAATATCGCAAGTTCTAGTCCAGTAATTAAATCTTGTGTTTCAGACTTTAATTTTCAGCGTGAAGTTTTATTATGTACGGCTGTTATTAAAGTGTTAGATTCATCGGGTGAATACCAATTGTGTAGAGCCCTCCTTGACCCTGGCAGTCAAGCAAGCCTGATTTCAGAAGATTGTGTACAAAGGCTAGGGTTAGCAAGAAGAAATGCCAAAGTTTTTATTTCATGTCATTTATGTCTTTGGATACGAAAAATAATGGAATTACGGAAAAAAAACTTCGTTCCGCATTTTCCGGCGAAAGTGTCATTTAAAACACCAGTATTTATCATCAATAGAATTATTGGAACCTTGCCGCATTTTACATTGGATAAGAAGTACGTTGAGGAATATAATGATTTAATGTTAGCAGATCCAACATTTTACAAAAGTGGGCCTGTTATATACTTTTAGGCGTAGATATTGCGTTACCTCTTTTAAAGGGGGAAATAATTAAATGCGAAGAAGGTAAACCGGTAGCTTCTCGTTCTGAACTACGATGGATTATTTCAGGTAGTGTGAATAATTCAACAGAAATTAATCCTACTATCTATGTGAATAATATACAAGTGGAAACTGATCAGACGCTGTCTGACTTTTGAAAATTCGATGCTGTACCTACGTTTGACATGCTTACTAAATCGGAGAGAGCATGTGAAGATTACTTCAAATCTACATATACGAGAGAGGAAAGTGGGGTATATACTGTGAAATTACCGTTTCACTCTCCGCCTTCTCAGCTTGGAGATTCCAGACAATTAGCTATGCGTAGATTCCAATCTTTAGAAAATTCACTTCTAAAAAGGCCTCAGATATATGAACAGTATAAGGATTTCATGAGGGAATACCTTGAGCTGAGACATATGGAGGGAGTGCCTGAGGGAGAGATTCTTATTGACTCTACGTATTACATGCCTCATCATGCCGTATTAAAGGAATCAAGTACTACGACTAAACTGAGAGTTGTTTTCGATGCTTCAGCTAAAACGACATCGGGTCTTTCATTGAATGATATTTTGATGGTTGGGCCAAGAGTTCAGCAAGAGCTGTTTCCAATTCTTCTAAGGTTTAGAACTCACAAAATTGCAGTATGTGCCGA